CCACAGTCCCTTCCCCTCGCCCCCTCCTTCAAGGCCCGTCTCAAGATTCTCCTCTTCGACTGCACCTTTGCTCACCCTCCAACCCCCTACCCTCCCTGCCCTCCGCCCCAGCATATTCTGCGAAGCGTCTTTGAGACGTCTCGAAGATGCGATAAGGCACTGTATCAAATGCGAGGATTGTTGTTAGTATTAATCGAACCACAGTCCATTTCAAAGTCTTTCCTCTTTGTGTTTTTCATGCACAGACCGGTCTCCCACATAGAGTAGGATGTGAAACTCTCTGTCCGAGACCATCTCAAGGCACAACTTGTGTGCATGTGCACAGCTTCCTGCAGCAGCTCAGCAACATCTTACACACTTCTTCATGGGACCAAACAAAGCCAGAAAAACCTGTGTGATGGGGCGTAGATTTGTTGATTGGCGCCTTCTGACAGCACCAACACTGTACTGAGTGACCTCATAGCACTGTTTCCTTGCTCTGTGGTCTTTCTGCTCGTCCTTCCAGACCACAGAGTAACAGAGACCTCTGCCACCAAACTGCAGCTACAGGGGTGGGTGTTGTCGAGGTGCTGCCAAGCTATCTGACTATGAGAGCACAGAAGGAGGCCATTCGGCCCATCTTGTTCCCATCCAAATACTTTGAGACATTCATCCTCAAAGGTCTTATGTGTAAGTTGCTGCTGTTGACACCAATGCACACATGCTTTCCTGTAGATACAATACTGATTTACACTTATATCAGTTTTACCTTTCACCTCAAGAGGACGTCCCGAAGACATGTTAAGGCGCTATATCAACTGCAAGGATTATTATTATTATTATTGTTAACATCTCAACCTTTTTTTNGCCACAGAACCGCAACGATCTGGAAAAGCTTGTCACCTTTCTGGGGTGAGGAGTACAATGTCCATCTTCCCAGCACCTTCCACTCCATCTCCTTCTACGTGATGGATGAAGATGCCATCAGGTATTTACTCTCAATTTCGATGAATGGGCACAGATCCGAAATATTCAGTCGTTGAACAGTTAAAGGTGTTCTGCTGCGATCTGTTCAAATCTTCAAGACTGAGGTGGACAGATGTTTATTAGGTCAGGGTATCAAGGGATACAGATCAGCCATGGTCTTGTAGAATGGTGGAACAGGCTCAAGGGGCTGAATGGCCTCCTCCCTTTCTTCTGTTCCTCTCTTAACTTGGAGCGTTTATCGTTTACTTCCAGCCGTGACGATATGATCGGAAAAGTTTCCATTACTAAGGACGTCCTTACTGCCAGCCCACAAGGTAAGCACGTTCCAATATTCTCCCAACCCTCTCCATGTACATACACCATCCCACCCACGCCATAAATGCTCCCATTTGTCAGCCAGTAAAGAGTATGACCATCAAGCAACAATTTGGATTTGTAAGGCTTTCCAGACAGATGTGTTTTTGTGCAGCGCTTCTGACGTCAAAGACTGTCTCAGAAAACTCGGAATAACTCCAATTCCATTGGGAGGGACAGGTTTTATGGGTTTGAGGCCCACAACACTCAGTGAGTGTCTCACACAGAGAGAGAGAGAGAGAGAGCGAGAGAGAGAGAGAAAGAACTCACGTTAACAGCACAGCGACAGCCGAGGGAGAGACCAGAGCAGTTTAACAATACATGTCTCAAAGCGCTTTACAAAATATAATATCTGGAAATGAAGTGCAATTTGTTTGATAGGCAAACAATCTCTCTATATCTATATATATATATTTTATAATTGCTGTGCGCAATTGGCTGCCACATTTCGCCCACAGAATCCAGTCAATCAATTCACTTTCCAGTATATTCTGTGAAGTGCTTTAAGACGTCTTGACGATGTGGTAAGGCGCTATGTGGAATGCAAGGATTATTACTATTATTAGTCTCACTGCATAGCCACCTGGTCACTAGTATTTTCTTGGTGGAAAGCTTACGTGGGCTGAAATTCCAGATCAGGGTGACACATAGCGCCTTCGGCCAGGCAATGATTCCAACAAGGAAATCCCATTAGTGTCTGACAGCGACACAGAACACGGAGCAGAATTCCAGCCCTCTCTCCCTAGTGACCTGCCGCTCCTCGAGACATCGGATGAACAAATCTGCGGAAACACTACTCCAGTGAGCGAGCAGTGAACTTGGGGAACAGGCTCATTCGGGAAACAGACCGCGGAAACAGAAAGCGGTGGTTGTTTCAAGAACAAATGAGATAGATTCCTGCTCGAAAATAATATCTGGGTAGACAAGGTACAGTTTGGGGACACAATATAAAGCTTCTGCCAGAATGGTGGAAGGTGAACTACATGGACCTTGATCTTTTGCCAGAAAATTCTTATGCTCTTAAGAATTGTGATCCAGTAAAAGATAGCGGTGGAAATAGCGGTGAGAGGAGGTAGCTCTTGAGCCGCGCACATATAAGGTAAAAGCAGAGGGGAGCACTGAGAAATGAATGTAAACAAGACTGAAGGGAGTGTGATTAAAAACAACATTTCCCTCTGAGCTCAGTGTGAGCAACACAAGAGACTTTAGTTGGGAGCAGAAGTTGAGCCAAAATTCCTAAAGATACAGGACAAGTTTGACATTCTTATATAAACAGCGCAGAAAAAAAACAATAGTGGACGGATATTTGGATAATCTCTGGCATTTGTCCTGAAACTGTTCCCAGATTTTTTTTTCTGCGGATCTTAACTTCCTGAGTATGAGAAGAAACACTGAATCTAAGATTGCAGTCTGTGAGTGATCAGCACGGATCATCACGTGGGAATTTTTTTTTTTTTTTTGCCTGCGGCACAAAGCTTGTTTCTCTTATTCGATCGCACCTTTGGTCACCCTCCCACCCCCACCCTCCCTGCCCTCCACCCCCTCCTGATCCTGATCCCAGCCCCCAGCTCGGGTCCAGATCCCTGACTGTCCAGCGCCTTGGGACGTCCTCCCAACATGAAAGGCTCTGTACACGCACAAGTTGCTGTTATTGCAGTAGGAACCTGTTATAACATTGGTGGTTGGGGAGGAGGGGTCAAAAATATCGCAGCCAACCTTATAAAGGGACTCCATCGCTGGTCAAACATTGTCAAGCATTTTGCATCTCAGGCCATTCAGAACGCACAGTAAGTGACATTGGTGATTCGATGTCCGGCTATTTATTGTGTTAGGAAAGCAGCCGACAGGATCCACAGCAAATCCACCTTATAACTACAATAATAATCCTTGTATTTGATACAGTGCCATAACACAGCGTCGAGACGTCTCAAAGCTCTTCACGGGGTATTGCATGGAGTGGAGTGGCTGTATGTTTTGTGGGTGAAACACGGCAGTCAGTATGCACACAGCGGTGTCCCACAAACAGAGTGCGTGCCCACGGGGTTTGTTGGCCAGGACACGGGGACAAACTCCCTTTTCAATCCTGTATTTTTTTCTTTTTTTCTTCTTTCTCAATGTTAATTTTACTCACTGTGAGATTAAACCACAGCATTTACCTGAGTAACATCATTCACGATCATATCAGGTTTGTTATTTATAGCTCATCGACCGATTCACTGATTATGCTATTTTAGCTTCTGTCTTCCTTGTTTTTCGTGTAGACGTAAGGGACGGTACCTAACATCGCTATTATCCCGACTTTCTCCTGGTTTCCTGGCTCGTCTTCCCACCCTCATCCATTCTCATTCCCAAATTCAAATGGATCAGATGCTCGTCTGGTTTACAGAATGTCTCTGGCACTGATGTAGTTTCCACGTTCAACTTTTATAACATTCATTTCATTGGTAATCAATTCAATTTCATAAATTGCTTTGAAACATTTATTTTCAAACGAAAAGCACAGTGTAAATGCGAAGTGCTGTCATTTTGTTAATGATCCCAGTACATTTATGAAGCACCTGAGACACAGGCTTCTGTCTGCCAATACGTTGAGCTAACTAACCGATGGTTGAGACAAAGATTGGTAATGTAAACAACTATTTGCATTTATACCAGTGGTTGGCAACCTGTGGCCTGCGGGGCTGTTAAGAAGCCTCCCTACTCCCAAACATTTGCACGAGTCTAGGTAAGTCCGTGTTGGATTGTTAGTCTGTTTTCAGTTTATGGCACACATCGAGATGTATTGAATGGAGAAAATGTGTGTTGTTGTGGTTGTTGTTTGATTGTGAACCTCTCTGTCTGGTGCAGGTGTAGACAGTTGGTTGTGCCTGAGTGAGATTGACCCAGATGAGGAAGTTCAAGGGGAGATCCATCTGCAGATAGAGATCTGTGGTGAAGCCTCCACCCGAAAACTGCGATGCCATGTGTTTGAAGCAAGGTGAGAGAGCAGCAGCTGGCCGGACAGTTGAATTATTGTGTAGTTAGAACATGCAATGGCATTTCCTGTACAACAACTGACGGTGTCTTTCATGTTGGGAGGACGTCCCAAGGCGCTGGGCAGTCAGGGATTTAGACCCGAGCTGGGGGTAGGGATCAGGAGGGGTGGAGGGCAGGGAGCGTGGGGGGGGGGGTTCGGAGGGTGGACGAAGGCGCAGCCGAAGAGGAGTGTCTTGCGACAGACCTTGAAGGAGGTGGGGGGGTGGGGTCAGGCAAAGGGACTGTGGGATGGAGTTTCAAAGGGTGGGGGCAGAGATGCCTGTAGTCAGGCAGTGTCTATGGAGAGAGGAAAGTGGGGTAAGGTTTCAGGGCGATGGCCTTTTGTCAGCACTGCACTGGGGTATTGCTCAACAGTGAGGCTCTTTAAAGTCCCAATGTGGGGTTTTGAACCTGAGAGTGAGTGTGAGAGACTGAGAGAGGCCGACACATGTTCACTGTAATAAGGGAAAGAAATTTGCTGAGCAAATTCAATAAAACACAGATTGAGCCGTAATTACACTCATAGCTGTGGATGGTTTTGCCGAGAGCAGAAGTTGACTTTCAGAAACTGCCGATCACAACATCATAGAACGAATGAGTCACAATATGAGTCAGATCAAAGGAGTCACATTTAGTATTTAGTTACCATAGAACTGGAATTGCATCTGGTCTCAGCCAGCAGTTCCATCTTGCTTTAAAGTTCAAAACGGAATACAACAATCTTTGAATTTGGTTCAAAAGCACCTTCTCACGTCATCGAGACGTCTCAGAAAAGAGCCACGCAGGATGTTTCTGTGGAGTGTAGTGGATTGTGTGTTTCGCTTGCAAACACGGCAGCCAATTTGCTGATGGCAATGTCCCAGTTGAGACGTTAAAACCAGGTCCTTATCAGGTGGACGTCCTCTCTGACCAAAATAAAAACAAATAGGCGGAATAATCGACGGACAGAGAAGAGCTGGGGAGTAATCAGCCTCTTGTGCTGCCTCTTTGAATATAAAAACACCACAAACAATCTAAACTTGCATTAGGACAGTCACAGGGCTGAAAAGGATATAAGGTGGTTTGCTGTGGAGCTCAGTGGACCTGAATGTTTAATACCACGCTAGTAAAGTACCCATGTTTTATCCTAAGAGGGATAGCAACTGTCTTAGCAAAAAAAAACATTTTAAAAATCAGGAAATGAAGGATAGAGAAGAGCTTTGTCTGTCATAAACCTGGCTTTGCTCAGAGCTGGATTAATCTTGTTGCTTCCCGAAACAAACACATTTTCCGTGGGATTTATAACCAGACTCTGATTAAACCGTTATCCTCTGTTTACCAAAACAGAAGCACTGAGCACACCCAGTACGTAAATGTCACGTCCCTACTCACTTCCTGACTGTCCTCACTGGGATTACTCCTCCAATGCATCTATTTTGACAGTCATCTCAGCCAATGATGGGAAACAGCAATAAGTCAGCTTCTCAGTTTGTTTGCGGGAGTTAGGGAAGGGCGTTGGTGTGTGGGTGTGAAGAGGGGGAAAGGGTCAGGGACATAGGAGCGCGATGTTGCTGAAATCACAAGAACACAGACTACAAGCCGATAAAATAACTAGTTACTGGAGGCAAAGCCGAGGGTTCAATAGGTTTCGCTTTTGAGAGATAAACACAGAGCACGTTGGGATTGAAGTTAAGGTGATAATAATAACAGCAATAATGATGATAATAATAATAATAAGCTTTGCATTTGATATAGCTCCTTATCATGTCATTGCGACGTCTCAAAGCGCTTCACAGAATATACTGTAAAGTGGTAACTTTTTACTTTATTAATTATTTTATTGCTGACTCTGCACTCCTAAGAGTATGGGGAGTGGGGGGGGGGGGGGGGGGGGGGGGGAGGGGAGGGGGCAGAGAGTGGAAGGGTGTGGTGAAACAGCGAAGTAACCTCACTGTAGCTATGAAAGCGGAAGACTTTAAGCTGTCAGGCGAGGCTGGTGTTCCAGTGTTGCTGGGGGGGAGGGGGCTGCTGTATGTTGGACGTGCTGTGCTTCAAATGAAATGCCAAATCGAGGTCCTGTGTGGAATTGCTTTCGAGTATAGATATAGTCAAACACAGCGAGCAATTTACACACAGCAAGATCCCACGCACAGCCACGAAGTGAATAACCAATGTATCGGGAGGATTGTCGGCTCAGATACAGGAAGAAATTCGCAGCTCTTTTCGATCTGCGCCAATGGGATCTTTAACCTCCACTTGAAATTTTTCTTGGGGGGTGGCTGGCAGGGTGGGGGGTGTCAGCCGGGCGTCTGACACACTCGGAAACCCATCACTGTGTTTTAAGAGTCTCCAAACCAAAGCTGAGATTTCAATGCATCCCACCTACACATGGAAATCCCAGAGATAGATTGTTGGAATGAAAATGTGCGTCCGTCTCTCTCTCTCTCTCTCTCTCCCTCTCTCTCTCCCTGGAGGGACGTCCCCCGCTTACCTAATTCAGGAAAACATTGGGTGTGGGTTGGCGAGAGCCAAGGCTTGGGGGGAAGCCCAGAGTGTGCATTGGGGTAATTGCTGGAGTCTAACCAGTGAGAGTCTCGGGAGGTGTGTGGGAGGTGTGTCCCTTGAAAGTCTCATTCAAGGGACACACCTCCCACACCGAAGCTCTCCCCCCACTAGTGCACAGGAGCGTCAGGTTTGATTGTGAACTCAAAGTCCCAGCTCAGAGCGAAGCCAGAATTCTCAACCTTCTGACTAAGAGCGCTATCGACTGACGGGTGGATGATTTGGAAGAGAGGACCCAGAGAGGGTGTCAGGAAAAAAAAGTATCAAAGGACCATCTCGATCACTTTGTTTCTCAAAGCAAAAAAAAATTCAAGAGGAACAATTGCCTCGAAAACAGCCTGTCATTTTCGCAGTGAGTGCCACAGCCGTTTAATGGAGCTTGTGATTGCTTTGCCCACTTAGAGGAGGCTGTAAGTGCAAGCGACTGAATGCTCGCTGCGTGACAGGAAAATTATGAAATTACACAGGGAACATCTCAATGAGAATTCAACCGAAAACACTAGGAATTAGTGCAAAGTGGAGCTGTTCTGTAGGCGGGGAGGGGGGGGAAAAAAAGGAAATTTTAGTTTCAGTTCTGGGTATAAAGGAAACGTATAAAGAGAATAGTTAAAGGAACCACATCGTGTGTGGAGTCCTATAGCTCAGTGATTAGAGCATTCGCCCTCCAAGCAAGAGGAACTGGGTTTGATTCCCAGCAGGGCGAAACCCGAGCCGAGTTTCCTTACTCCACACGTCTCTGGTTATCTAGCAGTGAGGAGGAACCCGGTTATTGGCGGATCGCTTTCTGGGGGGATAAACGCTCCCAAAAGAAAATGGTCACACAATCCACGACCGTTTGTGGGGACGCTGCTGTGCGCATTTGGCTCCTGCGTTTTGCCCACAAAATATACAGTCACTACACTTCACAGTATATTCTGTGAAGCGCATTGAGACGTGATAAGGCGCTATATCAAACGCAGCGATCATTATTAAAAGCATTAGATACGTAGAGCCCCAAACCTGGAAATTGCCACTGGGCTGAATGAAGAGAAATGCTGCCTTTTTAAGGAGTTAGTAAAGCTGTTTGTTCCCCCCGTGTTTTGTTTGGCCCTATCATTCCCAGGCCGGCTGATGAAGGTATACAAGAGACATCTGTTGGCTGGCAATCTAATTCTCCCGTAAATTGCTTTTTGCTGTGAAAGAATGAAATAGAGATTGATCTGAACAGCCCTCTGCCCACTCACCCTTCACCACGGTGAAGTCACTCCTCTCATTCCACCCAGTGCCTCTGAGTCAAACTTAGAGACAACTGCAACCGTGTGCGGAGTAACTGTTACATTACTGTACTTCCAAGGGCATAAATGGTATTTAATAATAATCCTTGCGTTTGATACAGCGCCTTATCACGTCTTCGAGACGTCTCAAAGCGCTTCACACAATACTGTAAAGTGAATTTGTGGATGAAACACGGCAGCCAATTGCACACAGCAGCGTCCCCACAAACAGTCATGGATTGAGTGACCAAATAATTATTTATTTATTTATTTATTGAAGGGATTATTACCCCCGGAAAAGCGATCCATGAATCAACTAACAACCTGGTTCCTTGCTAACATTTGGAGTAAGGGGGAGAGGATGGGGGAAACATGGGAGGTCAGACAGAGGAGCTGTGGTTGTGGTGGAAAAGAGGAGCCTGGGACTGTCCTTGGCCTCCATGATAATCTTGGAGTACAAGGATGATTTAGCTGAGGGGAGGGCAGAGTGGCAGATCTTGACGCAGTCCAGCCAGATCTGGTTTGATTAGACTGTTTGATTAGATTTGTGCCAAATTGTGCAATTGGATTGTTAACGTTTTATTCAAACTGACCAAAACAAGGTTAAGTCCATCACGAAACAAAATACCATACTTAGTTTAAACAAACAGAACTCCACAAGTCCTTTTATCCTCTGTCTCTCTCTGTCTGAGTTTATGCGCGTCTCACTTTCCCTCTCCAGGATGATCCTTCTGGCTCGGGTTAATTACCTTATTATGCCTCGAAATGAGCTGTCAACATTCCACATGCCTCTTAATCGCTGGCTTTAAAGTGAGCCTCTGTTGTCTCTGCCCTGTCACACTATTGAGTTATAGTTTATTACAGAGTTACGCCAATATTATTGTAATATGGCATGTTTCAGCCTTATAGTTGACTTATATATGTTGACTTATAGTAGATTTTAATTAAGAGTTGTCTGTCTCCACCACTACTTCTCCCCTCGAGCCGCCAAGACCCATATCCATACTCTCATCCAGGCTGGACTATACCAACTCTCTGTTTGCTGGACTTCCCAACTCTTCCTCTCACAGACCATCTCCAGCTCAGGTCCTCTCTCAGACTGATCCCTGCCCGGCTCCACTGCCTCCGCATCCACCCTGAGTTTAATATCTTCGTCGTGTCTCTTTAATCGCTCCACTGTCTTGACCAACTCGCCCTCTCCCTCCGCTTGGCAGGCATTGCCCATCTTTTATGTTTCCTGCCCTGCCCACCCCACTATTGGTGGTTGAGCAGTCAGCCTATCTGCCCCCACTCTGGAACTCCATTCTCTCGCCTCCTTTAAGATCTTCCCCTTTGACCGTGTCTTCGACCATCTTTTACCCCCTGCCCCCCACCTCCCCCTCCTCTCCACTCAGCCCCAACCCCCACCCACCCTCCTAAGCTCCAAAGTCTGAATGTAATTTTCCTGGCATCAACAACTTGTCTGCGTGCCAGTGTTTTGGAAAGGCATATTTCCCTGATAGAAAAGATATTTATTGGCCAAACTGTGCTTTTCTGGCAAGCAGTGAGGGGAGAGCTGTATACCAAGTGCACAGAGTGAAACCACCTCATCCCTTGAGGGAACAAAATGGACCTGACCACAGCTTGGGGCTGGTCAGGGATCAGATCGGAGTTATTATCAGTCGCACGTGAAAATTGGGCTCCAAAAGCAAGTCATTAGGAGGCATCCCATGGAAACTATTACTGTTTCTATGTCATCGCATTGTAGGAAGGAGAGGGAGGAGACATGCAGAAGGTTCATTATTTTAAGAAGGGGAGGTTTAGTACTTTAGGGTATGATCTCTCGCTGTGACTGTACAGAGCACACACTTGCCCCCTGAATACTGCTGATCAAACCCCCTTATTCACTGCCTTGGTGTCTGGGGTGAGGGGGGGGGAACTGCATCTTGTTCTGTTTAATGTTTCTCTTCTGGAAACGACCCAATAATTAATCCTTTAGAGCTGAGGATCCTCAGAGAGCCGTCCGGGGTTTTATTCTGTGCCTTGTCCAAAATTCTTCTCCTCTTCCTCCTCCTCCTCCTCCTCCTCCTCATCATCAGAGAAATTCACTGCTATTTGACTTTCTGCTGTAGAGACCTGGCTCGAAAAGACCTGAATGGAGCCTCAGACCCCTTTGTGAAAGTTCGTTACAACGGCAAGACCGAGGAGAGTGTGGTGAGTCCAGCCACTTGTGCTGCAGTAGAACAACAACAACAACAATTTCCATTTATATTGTGCTCTTCACGCGGGATAGTGTCCCAGAGCTTGACGGTGGCAATCACTTTTACCCCCGGAAAAGCAATCCACCAAATCGACTAACAACCAAGAACTGTTGCAGTTGGGACTTACTCCCTTCAGGTGATGGTTGGGAAGTAATTTTATATCATGGAAATGTAGGCAAACAGAAATAAGATGCCATTCAACCCGTTGAGCCTGTTCCACCATATTTGTTCATGGCAGATATGTTAATCTCAGTGCCCTGCCCTTTGGCCTTATCTTTTAATATCTCTGCTACCCAAGTACCCAAGTCTGTCTCTCTTTTAAACACCCTGATTGATTATTGATTCGGTCTCTATAGATTTCTGGGCCAGAAGATTCCACATTTTTGCAACCGTCTGTGTCAAAAAATGCCTCACCGGACCTCAGTTTGAATCAGGAGATGATTCAGGATGAATCTTTCCCAGTATTTTTGAATCCTCCGAACAGCCGACACCTTCCCAGCGAATCGAAACCAACACAAAGTGGCGTTTCATGAAATCTTAAAATCCCACCCCTTCATTAGCATGATAAAAACCCGCCATTAATAATAATATTCCTGGCATTTGACACAGCGCCTTACCACGTCTTCGAGACGTCTCAAAGCGCTTCACGCAATATACTGGAAAGCGAATTGACTGTGTATGTTGTGGGCGGAACACGGCAGCCAATTGCGCACAGCAGTGTCCCCACAAACGGTTGTGGATTGTGTGACCGCATTATTATTATTATTTTTTTATTACTATTATCGCTGTTGTTGTTGTTTGGAAACTCGTCCCGATTAGTTCTTTCGATGCAGGTGGTGAAAAAGTCTTGCTACCCACGCTGGAACGAGGTGTTTGAGTTTGACCTGGGCAACACAACGTCAGAGAACACACTGTACATCGAGGTGTGGGACTGGGATATGGTTGGCAAAAATGATTTTTTGGGAAAGGTAAATTACCCGCTGTGTCCTCTGGTTACCGACCCGCCCGCCCGTGAGAGCAAGACCTACCCAATCAGGCCCACTCCCCCGCTCTTTCCCCATATCCTTGCAAATTTTTCCTTTTCGAGTCGCTGTCCCATTCCCTCTTGAAAGTTGTTATTGAGTCCGTTTACGCTGCTCTTTCAGGCTGCGTATTCCAGACCGTAACAAATCTCTGTGTATACATTAAAAAAAAGGTCTCCTCGTCTGGTTTCCCCTCTGGTTCTTTTGCCAATTATCTTGAATCTATGTGTTACTGACCCACCTACCCAGTGGAAACAGTTTCTTCCTCTCTACTTAATCAAAACCCCTCATAATGTTGAACACCTCTATTAAATCTCCCCTCAATGTCCACTACTCTAAGGAGAATAATCCCAGCCTCTCCAGTCTCTCCACATAACTGTAGTCCCTCATCTCTGGTGTCATTCTTGTCAAACCACGGAAAAGCGATCCGCCAATCGACTAACAACCGGGTTCCTACTGCTGGGTAAACAGAGGTGTATGTGTGTGCGTGTGTGTGTGTGTGGAGTAAGGAAACTTTACCCTAAGGTTTCGTCCTACCCGGCCGGGAATCGAACCCGGGTGCTCTCGCTAGCGAGGCTATTGCTGACATCGGAGCAGCTGTGCGAATGGGACTGTAACTGAAGTTTTCAGCATGTTGGTGTGTGACATGAGTTTGCTGTCGGTGGGGGTTAGGGGGTTAGACATACGAGGCAGATATTGAGAAGATAAGAGCTGGACACTGCCTGAGGAGACTCTCCTGTCTCTGCTCTACAAGGTGGCGTTCAACATTAACAAGCTGCTGGCCATACAGCAGAAAGAAGGCTGGTTCCTCCTCCGACCTGACAAGGCACAAAGGAGCAAGACAGAGTAAGTCACTTCTTTCATATTTTCATCTCCTTTATTTGAGTCCCTCACACTAACCTCCTCCAAATTCTTTGCGACTTTTAACCTCTCTATAAAAAGCTCTTTGCTGCAGTAATGCAGCAGGTGTTAATAATAATAATAGTATTAATATTATAATATAATATAATATTATTAATAATAATCCCGGCATTTGGTATCACTCCTTATCACATATTATTACCCCTGGAAAAGTGATCCGCCAATCGACTAACAACCAGGGTCCTACTTACTGCTGGAGAAACCGAGGCGCGTGGAGTAAGGAAACTCGCCCAACGTTTCGCCCTGTCTGCCTGGGAATCGAACCCGGATCCTCTCGCTTGCGAGGCGAGTGCTCTAACCACTGAGCTCCAGGACTCCCATCTAAACATATCCATGGACATCACTGCTGGATTTGCATTGGAGACACACTGCAAAAATAATCCATAAACCGCTTCACACGCCAGCTGAACCCCATCGTTTTCAGGGTCAGTCCATCGCAAACTTGTCACAGTCAATTACGAAGCATACAAGGCCAGAATGTCGACAGCCAGTGAGAGGAACAGAGCTGACGGCTGATTTGTTTTGAATGAGACGGACAGGAATAGGTACAGACTCCGGCTGACAATAAGGGAGACTTAATCAGCATCAACACTGGACACCCACACTCGTGCTCCTTGGCCGTGTTAACGCTTTAGGCGGAGTTCTGTAGCTCAGTGGTCAGTGCGCTCGCCTCTCAAGCGAGAGGACCTGGGTTCGATTCCCGGTAGGACGAAATGTTCGGCAAAAATTTCCTTACTCCACGCACACGCCTGTTCCCCTAACAGTAAGTAGGAACCTGGTTGTTCGTCGATTGGCGGATCACTTTTCCGGGAGTAATAAACCTTTCAAAACATTTATTTGGTCACTTCAATCCACGACTGTCTGTGGGAAGCTGCTGCTGCTGCTGCCGTGTTTCGCCCCCAAAATATAGGGTCAATTCACTTTGCAGTCCATTCTGTGAAGCGCTTTGCGACATCTCAAAGACGTTAAAAAAAAAAGTCTGCCCTAGTTTCTGGCTAACAGATTATAGCTGCAGTGTATTCCATGTCTCTGTTTCAAGGATACATTGAAGGCTTTGTTTTATTTTGCCCAAATGAAACCGAGGCAGGACACCGTCACTGACCGAAAAAGTCTTTGGAGGGGACCTTGAGCTCAATCTCTCTACCTCTCTATCTCTGATACAGCACCCGCTGTTACGTGGGCTACGGATGATACGCATTAAGGAGAAGCGTCTGTAGTCCAACATGTTAAGTGATGAGTCACCCCTCCTCTCTTCAGTTACAGCAGCAAGGCAGCTAAATCACATTACAAAGCAGGCTGGAAAATAAAGCCACGCACACACACACACGCACACACACACACACACACACATACACCATCTGTGCAGTTGGCTCGCAAAAGAAAAGGAACATAAATGCGCAACTTTAATTTCTATTCGACACTCCAACCAGCTTAATTCAAATTAAGTCTTGAATTTCTTCTTGTCTCCTCCCTTAATAATCACTATAATCACTACAGTAATCCTGGCATTTGATATGGCGCCTTAATCACGTTGTTGAGACGTCTCAAAGCGCTTCTGAATGACGTCCTGTGTTGCAGGGGGAACCTGGGCTCACTGAGGCTGCAGCTGAGACTCCGAGATGAGAGTGTTCTTCCTTCCAGATACTACCAACCTCTCGTTGAGCTGCTCCTTCACTCAGTCAATGATGCCAGCAACGTGAGTTACAGCATTCTGTCTCCCACTAACAACCCCTCCTCGCCCTCCCTCCCTCTCTCCCTCCCCAGCCTCCCAATTGATATTCCAGTGCTCTGGGACTCTACCCTGTGTGAGGGGCGCTGTATAAAGGCAAGTTGTTGTTGGTTTTGACATTGTCAAACAATCAGAGAAGTCTACCACACAGTAGGAGGCCATTCGGCTATTGTATCAAAGTGTCTGTGTTGGCTCCTCCAAAGAAGGTTAAACACTGCCCTCGTTGTGCAGCCGGTGGAAGGTAAACACTGTCTCCTCTTTAACTCTAGGGTGAAAGTGGACACTTGCTGACGCTCATTGATGAGGCCATGACAGCTGAAAACAGGCAAGAGGTGGCAACCAACATGGTGAAGCTGTTCCTGGGGCGAGGGCAGGCCAACAAATTCTTAGACGCTGTGATTAAATTGGAACTGGACAGAACAAGTAAGAAAATTAATCCATTACCACGTTTCAGTTGAGAAAGCCAGCAGATAAATAGAGGAGCTGTCTGAGAGAGAGAGAGAGAGAGAGAGGTACAATATAACGCTGGTTATCTGATCGCCAGTTTTGTGTATGTTCATTCCTGGACTCGGGCTGTTGGCAAACAATCATGTGAATCACATGAGGTTAGAAACTTTGTGCTTTATACACTCTCACAGGCTGCATGAATAATACTAATCCTTGCACTTGATGTAGCTCTTTATCGCGTCGTTGATAATCCTTGCGTTTGGTAGAGTGTCTTTCCTGTCAAGAAAACGTATCGAAGCGCTTCACAGAACTTGCTGCGATGTGTAGTGACTGTGTAGTTTGTAGGCGAAGGTGCCAGCCAGTTTGCATACAGCAATGTCCCGCACAACCTCATAATGGGCACAGCACAATTCTGGCTGTGATCTTGTAAACGAACGTGAAACAAATGACTAACTTTATCTTGATGGCGATTTCAACACAGAGCAACCGTTTTCCACCGGCTCTGACACTGCTTCTGCACTCTGTATGTTTTCAGGTGAACCAAACACAATATTTCGTAATAATTCCTTGGCCTCCAAATCCATGGAATGTTTTTTGAAGGTAAGACACCGGGGGAGGGAGGTGGGGGAGGGGGGGGGAGCAGATGGACGATTAATGGAAGTGTTTTAAGTTATAAAAGGGTTTGATAAAGGTAACGTGAGCCAGTCTGCACTCACTCCACAAGGTGGACACGCAATACTTTCACGATATATACACCTGTCCACATTCCATGCTGCAAGGGATTGGAATCGGCAAGAGTTGCTGCCGGTTAGTGGGAAGATTACACTGAGCAAACACACCAACCAGCTACAAGCAAGACACATGAGTGGCATCTCCATTGGGTTGTTGGTTCCCAATAATGGATGGAAATCCTCGGACAGTGGGGGGGGGGTGTGATAATCTGCTGGTTCTCCTGTCGTTGCCCGTTCCCTGAAGCAGTCTCTCTGTGTTTGGTGTGCCTGCTCTAGGTGACCGGGATGCAGTACTTACACAGTATTCTGGGACCAACCATAAACCGGGTGTTTGAAGAGAAGAAATATGTGGAGCTGGACCCAAACAAAGTGGAATTCAGGGAAGCGGGGTAATGAGATGCTGCTTCTCAACCGGCCCGAGAGCTTGAGCTGTGTGTAAATCCTTGGCCACAGGGATTTACACTGGATAGGTTGTTGTTGTTGTTGGGATAGGTTAGGCATTTTTTGCTAGAAAAGAGACGTTTAAGATCGATTTCAAGATCCTCACACCCGTTTTCAAATCTCTTCATGCCCTGGCACCTCCCTGCCTGCTTACTCCCCAACCCACTGTCAAGCACACTGCGTGAGGGGCACTATATAAATGCAAGTTGTTGTTATTGTTTAAAGGGGTGGAGGTGGGGAGGGGGGGGGAGCAGACGGGCGACTAATAGAAGTGTTTTAAGTTATAAAAGGGTTTGATAAAGGTAAAGTAAATAGGCTGTTTCTGATGGCCAAGGAGTCCGTGACACAGATATAAGATAGTGACCGGGAGGAGCTAAAAGTGGATTTAGAGGGGAACTACTTCACGCGGAGGATAGTGAGAGTGTGGGTCTCGCTGCCTGAAGCGGTGGTCGAAACTGGGAGCAGAAGCTCATGTCGTCTGTCCACCTTGAATGGAATGCACTTCAGATAAAGCACACCTATACATTTTGAAGAGCTGTGTGTTTGCCTCTCTCTCTCAGGTGCTCAGGGCTCCATCGATATCAAACAGAAGCCGAGGTGATCCAGCAGAGCACGCAGTGGGTGCAGTCCTACCTGGTAGAACTGATTGAGGCCATCGTCAAGTCAGTGGAGCAATGTCCAGGCATCATCAGGATCACCTTCAGGAAACTCTTTAAGCGTGTGGAGGAGCGTTTCCCTCAGGACCAGTACAAGGTCAGTGATTTCTCTCCCTCTCTACAACAACAACTGGCATTTACACAGCACCCCTCAAGCAGGGTAGGTTCTCGGAGTGCTTGACAGTAGTGGAGCACAACACCGAGAGGGGGGGAGGTGCCCGTAGGCACTGGTCGAAGAGGAAAATCATCGGCCGGCCCTTGAAGATGTGGAAGGAAGGGGCAAGGCAGAGGGATGGAGGAAGAGTGTTCCAAAGTTTCGGGGCATAGTGGCTGAATGATCTAGAAATGCCGCACCATTAGAACAAAATTGGAATGAATTCCACCACCCGCTCAACGTTTCTGAATCCAGCAAAAATTGTCCCTGATCCTTTATGCCGTCAGCTGTGAGCCTTTGTTCCAGGTTAAATGTGTTCACATTCAGTCACTGGCAGGTTCATGAGTTGGGCCTGGATTAACTTGTTCTGGTCGAGGCACAACAGTGAGTGAACAGAGATTGACTCAGTTCTATACAAAACCACTCGCTGCTGTGCACAATTGGCTGCCGTGTTTCACCCACAAAATACCCAGTCGATTCGCTTTACAGTATATTCTGTGAAGCGCTTTGAGACGTCTCGAAGGCGTGATAAGACGCTGTGTCAAACGCAAGGATTATTATTATTACTACTGCATCAAACAGTTTCTTAAATGAGTCCAGTGTCCCGGTCTGAAGCATATTGTCCGGTAACGTGTGATCACCTCCTTCTGTTTCCTGTGTAGAACATCAAGTACGTGGCTGTGACCAGCTTTCTGTGCCTGCGCTTCTTCTCGCCCGCCATCATGTCTCCCAAACTCTTCTATCTGCGAGACAAACACGCTGACGCTCGCACCAGCAGGACTCTGCTGCTCCTCGCCAAGGTAACCTCCCCTCCCCTGGGCCTCGAGAAGCCACAGCTAAATGATCACAACCTGCAATGTTGATAACGAGAGACAGTGATTTTACTGTGGGTTTGGCCTCTTCCCCCCTCCTCCCCCCCGCCCCAGTGCCTCCACCATCCCCTCCCCCCTCCCTCCCCACTCCCCACCGCACCAGACTGTTGCAGTGGTAGGGCCCCAAAGTGGTGCTATCCATTCGACCCGGATGATGGCTTTGGAGAGCCAACAGCAACTTGCATTTATACAGCGCCCCCTCTCCCAGGGTAACGTCCCAGAGCGCTTAAGAAACAGACTTAAGAACACACTTAAGTTAACAAAAACCCTCCAGAACAAATGCTAGCAAACCGTCGGAATCATGCACATCCCAGAGACAGAGTTAAAATAGCGTTTGGGCCCCGAGGAACCTTCCCTCGTGTAACACAGACGGCATTTGGGTGACGTTCTACTGACCATCTGTTTGTAGGTAATCCAGAGGATCGGGAACATGGAGGCCCAAGCTGGTGGGGGGAAGGAGACCTGGATGGCTCCCCTCCAGCCCCACATCATCCAAGGCGTCTCAGTCTTCAAAGACTTCATCGTCAAGCTCATTGATATTGAGGACAATGAAGGTGATCCTCATAACAATAATCCTTGCCTTTGATACAGCGCCTTATCACGTCTTTGAGGCATCTCAAAGCTCTGCACAGGATACACTGTAAAGTGTAGTGACTGTATATTTTGCAGCCAGTTTCAAAGCAGTTTATATAGCACCTTTACAGTTTTCTTTTAGGAAGTAACATTATATATCACATAATAATAATAATCCTTGCACTTGATATAGCGCTTTTCATGTCTTCTCGACGTCTCAAAGCACTTCACAGAATAGACTGTAAAGCGAATTGACCGTATGATGGATGTGGTACATAGATAGTTCGGGAGATGTGATTGCGACCGCCAGGAAGGTGGAAAGCGAACTAGACGGACCTCGGGCTCTTTTTCGATTAAGCATTTCTTATGTTCTTCTCACGTCTTGACATTCAGATTTTGATCCCATTCAGGCCTCGGCTGAAGCCACTTCTGCTTATCTCGTACACCCTCTTTTGTTTTGTCATCGACCTGTTTTCTCTTTCAGTCCTGGAATGCCAGAACCGTGTCTCCCTGCAGACCACTTCAACGATTAAAGAAGGATATTTATTGATGCACACATCGAAAGAGAGAGGAATACTCACCTCCTCTCACTTCAAAAAGCATCACTTCTGTCTAACCCCTGAAGCCCTCTACCATTCCAAGATGCCAAATGCAAAGGTGTGTATCTGAATTTTGTCCGTATCACAGACCTCAGTCTCGCTCTCTCTAACACATTCACTGTAAGAGTCTAATCTATCAGTCCTCACTATCACTCTGATATACCAGGCCTCACTCTCTCTAAAACAATCTCAATTTAAGTCTCCCGCCCCCCCACCCCCCACCACCCCTTCCCCAAATCACAGTAGCTCACACAGCGTTGTGTCTTCGCTGTGTAACTGTCACTAAACTGCCCTTTTTTCTCACAGAAAGGAGCGTCTATCCCACTGGAGAAGATCAGAGCGGTGGAGAAAGTGGATGAGAAATGCTTTGGCAGCCCCTATGTCATGCAGATCATTTCCACCAACGACACAGAAGAGTTTGAGATCATGTATTTGCAGTGCAAGGTATAGGAAACTGCACATTGCCCATAACAGATGTCATTTATATGTGAGACTCCACTTGCCTATCACAGCTGGTAGATAATATTGCAATTGGATAGGACATGATTATAATCTTTAAATGGCCTGTTCTGGTTGTTAATTACTCTCTGGGTAAAGAAAAACATATTGATCCCTGCCACATTGGAATTCCAAACCTATGTCATCCTATAATAATAATAATAATCCTAGCATTTGAACTCACTTTTTTGAGGCGTCTCAAAGCGCTTCACAGAATACACTGTAGAGTGAATTGACAGTCGTGGATTGAGTGACTACATTTTTTTTTGAATATACAAAATATAGAATCAATTATCTATACATATATATATTCTGTGAAGCACTTTGAGACGTCTCAATGACGTGATAAGGTCTTATATGAAATGCAAGGATAATTATTATTATTATTATTATTGTTATTATTATCCCGGGCTGCACTGTGTTTCCTGATTGCTACCAGCACCTTTGACTGTTCGGCTGAAACTTATTTCATTCCTAGAACGTGAACGAACTGAATCAGTGGCTGTCGTCAGTGAGAAAGTATTGTGTGAGCAATGAGCAGATGATGAATTCCTATCACCCCAGCGTGTTCAAAGGGGAGAAGTGGAGCTGCTGCCACCAAAAGGAGAAAGCAGGTACTAACTGCGGCTCACTGCCCCGGAGATTTGAGGTGAATTCATGTCAATCCAGTGAATAAAGCCCACGTAAAAATAGCTTCGGAGTTGCTCGCCCTTCCATCGCTCTTTGTGGAGTCTGTCACAGCGCAGACGGTTACGGATGTCTGTTCCAGAATGCAGAGACTTGGTTCCTATTGCGGTTCATGAGCCAACACAAGTGATATATTCTATAATCCTTGCACTTGACTTACATAAACTAGGGCCACATGACGCACGCGCACACGCTGTGTATACAATTTGCTGCACTGTATATCGCATTGCGTTCACGTACACACAGATGTAGACTTGCAGGCAATGGTCAGGCATTGAAGTTAATGCAACGATTATAGCAGGATATTGATCAATGCACAGAACTCACTTCAAAAAGCATTATTTCTATCATTCCAAGTTGATAAAAGGCAAGGATTGTTATTGTACATAGGCATCCTGAAGACATGATAAGGCGCTATATCAAATGCAAGAATTATTATTATTATAGTTTTTGATAGGGTCGACATAGGGAAGATGTTTCCATTTATGGGGGAGACCAAAACCAGGGGCCATCAGTATAAAATAGTCACAAGTAGATCAAATAGGGAAGTTAGAAGAAATTTGTTCACACAGAGAGTAGTGGGAATGTGGAACCTGCTACCACAAGGAGTTGTTGAGGCAAATAGCATAGATGTATTTAAGGGGAAGCTGGAGAGGTACATGAGGGAGAAAGGAATAGAAGGTTCAGTTGAGGAAGGGCAGGAGGAGGCTCATGTGGAGCATAAACATCGGCACAGACCAGTTGGGCTGAATGACCTGTTTCTGTGCTGTATGTTCTAATGTATATAATGATGATGCTGGTTTTGCCTGTTCCCGCAGCTCCTGGATGTGACAAAACCCACTTTGGTGTAACGCTGCAGGAGTGGAATGACCCTCTGAATCCGGATTTGGAATCCCATTTGATCTACAGACAACTGCTCGCAGCCCAGGGCTTGTTACGGTGAGTAATGCAGTGAAAGAGACAAACGGAGTGGAGATCATTCGGCCAGCAATGCAGATGTTGATAATAATAATTATCCTTGTATTTGATGCACAGAGATATATCCTCTGCTTATTATGATTGCTCCTGACTCAATAGTAAAATGGTTGCAGGACGATTTTTTAAAAAATCTACTGTTTAGATAATAATATTACTAATCCTTGCAGTTGTTATAACACCTTATCAGGTCTTCCAGATGTCTCAAAGAGCTTCACAGGATACAGTGTGCTGTAAAGCGTAGTTTTGTGAGCGAAACGCGGCAGCCAATTGCGCACAGCAGTGTCAGACAAACACAAACAAACAGTCATGGATTGAGTGACCTTATTGTTCTTTTTTTTTAAATGCACAAAAGGTACAAGATGTTGAATTGTTTAATGGTTGGTTTCGTTCTTTCCTCCTGTTTTAGTGGAAAATATATGGAATACAAAGGAGAGAGCAATGATCCTGGCCCAGAGAGTGCACACAAAGGTAAAGGCACACACACACCGGGAATCACTGCAACCCAGTGCGTTAAACAGCTCCAGCACCCGACATTGTGTCGCAACAGCACACATTATAATACAGTAATATATAATAATAATCCTTGCGTTTGATATAGTGCTTTATCATGTCTTCGAGCCGTCTCAAAGCGCTTTACGGGCTTACACTGTAAAGTGAATTGACTGGGTATTTTGTGGGCGAAACATGGCAGCCAATTGCGTACAAACAGCCATACAGTGAACACTATATCAAATGCAAGATTATTATTGTTGTCATTCCTGAGCCTTGCCCCAGTGAAAGCTTTGTTGAATGAGCCTATTTTCTGGTTGCAGGTGTGGAGGAGGAGGAGAAGGAGGATGACAGTGTGAACAGGCTGTTCCCTGTGATCCACGACTTGGAACAAGCTCATCGGTTATTCGAGAAGTGGGAGAAATTCAAGGATAAGAACTTCTCGCTGGAGCTGCTCGCATAACCGTGGCCTCGTGACTCGCCTTCTCCCTGACGGCCAGTGTTCCCATCGAACATTTGAAAAACAAGTGAAGGATCCTCGAGCGACAATGTGCTGTCCTCTGTGGCGTCGTTGTGTTCCTTTGTTCCAGGTTTTGGCACAAGTCGTCATTCCCCAACCGTGTCGATCATAGAATCTTACAGCACAGAAGGCGGCCATTCGGCCCTTCGTGCCTGTGCCATTTTAATTTCATTTTAGGAGTGAAATCAGGAGGCAGTTTTTCATCCAAAGGAAATCTGGATTTCTCTTCCCCCACACCCCCCCCCCACCAAAAGGGCTGTGGATTATGGCTGGATCCATTCACATCTTCAAGACTGAGGTGGATAGATATTTGTTAGGACGGGGTATTAAGGTATACGGGGCAAGGGCGGGTAATTGGACTTGAGGTACAGATCAGCCATGATCTTATAGAATGGCAGAACAGGCTCGAGGGGCTGAATGGCCTACTCCTGTTTCTATGGGCCTGTGTTGGCTCATTGAAAGAGCTGCTAATTAGTCCCACTCCCCCTCTCTTCCCCCATAGCCCTGCACGTTTTTCTTGTTCAAGTACCTATCCAATTCTCTTTTGAAAAGTATTATCAAATCTGCTTCCATTGCCCTTTTAGACAGTGCGTTCCACAAATCTCTGGGTTAAAAACAAAATCAGCATCTCCGCTGGTTCTTTTGCCAATTAGCTTAAATCTGTGTCCTCTGGTTACTAACCCACCTGCCAGAGGTGATTCAGTAACCAAATGAGCTTGTGTAATTAATTTGTGCTCCTCACTTGTAGATGTATTTGCCTCACATTACATGCGAACCAGATTGTACCTCCAGTGTCTGTACCTTCAGTACCTTCGCCCACAAAATACAGCCAATTCACTTTACAATATATTCTGTGAAACGCTGTCTCGAAGACGTGATAAGGCGCTATATCAAATGAAATGATTATTATATCCATATAGCCTAAAGGATTGTCTATGACTTTCTAATCTCTTCACCGTTGTTACTGATCGGACAGCAGCTTGAAGTCATATTAATTCACTTTATTGCTTAAAAAGCAATGTAATCAGTATGTATATGGACGGGATTGTAGATACATTAGTGTCATTACTATAGTTGTTGAATGGATGCATGTACAATTTCATTTTTATATTCTGCTTATTGTTCAAAACGGTAATAAAGTGCAGTTATTTAGTCTGATTTTTATGAAGCTCGCTTTGCCTAATGCCTATTCCTCCTCGGCAGTTTGCATATTCACCCCTCATCAGTGCCAGGCTCCGCTGTCTCCCAGCAGATTGACGTCCGGATCTTCACTCTCACCTACAAGTCTCTACACTGCAGGATTCCCACAATCCAAGGCCAGGCACATCACCTGGGAATCAGTCAACATGAGGCAACTCAAGCCCTTAATCTGGCCATTGGCAACAAACCTGCCATTGGCTCACAAACCCCACAATCCGCTCTCCACAATACAGTGTATCCTGTGAAGCGCTTTGAGACGCCTCAACGATGTGACGGGAACTATAATAATCATAATCTAATCATAATACAATATAATAATCCCTGCATTTGATACAGCGCCTTATCACGTCGTTGACGTGCCTCCAAAGTGCTTCGCAGAATATACTGTCGAGTGTAGTGACTGTGTGTTTTTGCCACATCAAATGCAAGGATTATTATTGTTGTTGTGTTACATTATTGAGGGGCGGGGCCTGGTGTGGGTCACGTGGTGCCCTGCTCGAGGGGCGGGGACTCTGTGGATCACGTGGGGCGGCTGCTCGGGGGGCGGGGCGGTGTGTGTCACGTGGGGCGGCTGCTCGGGGGGCGGGTGGGTGTGTGTCACGTGGGGCGGCTGCTCGGGGGGGCGGGGCGGTGTGTGTCACGTGGGGCGGCTGCTCGGGGGGGCGGGGCGGTGTGTGTCACGTGGGGCGGCTGCTCGGGGGGGCGGGGCGGTGTGTGTCACGTGGGGCGGCTGCTCGGGGGCGGGGCGGTGTGTGTCACGTGGGGTCGGGCTCTGGCGGGACCATGAACGCACCTCCCGCTTTCGAGTCTTTTCTGCTGTTTGAAGGGGAGAAAAAGTAAGTGAGGCCGAGGCTCTGGGCCTGGGGTTAGCGGGGAGGCGGCGCGGGGCCCGGGTCAGGCTCAGGCTCAGCACCGCCACCGCTGCAGACCGAGGCCAGGCCCCAAATCCCCGGCCCCTGCCAGACCCTGTACCCGGCCCCGGGGGTGGGGGGGGGCAGAGACCCCTGGGGTGGGGGGGGGCAGAGACCCCGGGGGGTGGGGGGGCAGAGACCCCCTGGGGTGGGGGGGGCAGAGACCCCCGGGGGGGTGGGGGGCAGAGACCCCTGGGGTGGGGGGGGGGCAGAGACCCCCTGGGGTGGGGGGCAGAGACCCCCTGGGGTGGGGGGGCAGAGACCCCCTGGGGTGGGGGGGGGCAGAGACCCCCTGGGGTGGGGGGGGGCAGAGACCCCCTGGGGTGGGGGGGGGGCAGAGACCCCTGGGGTGGGGGGCAGAGACCCCCTGGGGTGGGGGGGGGCAGAGACCCCCTGGGGTGGGGGGGCAGAGACCCCCTGGGGTGGGGGGCAGAGACCCCTGGGGTGGGGGGGGCAGAGACCCCTGGGGTGGGGGGGGGCAGAGACCCCCTGGGGGGGGGCAGAGACCCCTGGGGTGGGGGGCAGAGACCCCTGGGATGGGGGGGCCTGGCCTTGGGGAAGGGATGGAGACACAGGTAGTTTAGTTGGATGGAGCCCCCCCCCCCCTCCCCCCCCTCCCGCTCGGTGCCCATTGAACACTGCAGCGCTTTGCGATGTCCTGATGTGACTGTTACTGTTATCACAAATATTGTATTGCAAATAATAATAATAATAATAATTTGGTCACTTCAATCCGCGGCTGTTTGTGGGGCCCCCATGTGTGCAGTTGGCTCACGCCTTCGAGACGTCTCTTAAAGCGCTTCACAGAATATACTGCAAAGTGTAGTGACTGTCTGTGTATATTGTGGGCGAAACGCGGCAGCCAATGGCGCACAGAATGGGAAAAACACCGAGAAGGTATCAGAGGAAAAGACAACGAAGAGTGTTTGTTGGCTTTGGGGAGCTCTCCCCGGGGCTCACCTCAGCTTTTGTAACCACCTTTGGCCTCGGACGTGCGTTAACCATTATTAATTCTCTTTAGAATAACGATAACCAAGGACACGAAGGTGCCAAATGCCTGTTTGTTCACAATCAACAAGGAGGATCACACGCTCGGGAACACCATCAGATCGTAAGTGACCCTTGTTTCTCAAAAGACTTTGCCTTTTAATATAATCCCCGGATTGCCCCACCTCCGCAATATTGCCGGCCTCTGCCACTTCCTCTCCCCTCAGGCTGTCGAGGCGCTGATTATTCCACGCTTTTGTAATGTCCAGGATTGACTGTGCTGACTCTCTCGCTCGCCAGGACTTCCCAACTCTTCCCTCCACAAACTGCGGACCATTCAAAACTGCAGCTCGTGTCCTTTCCCGCACCAGGTTCCTTGAGCCTATTCCACCCCTCGTGGGCTCCTCATCCCCCAGAGGATCGAGTTCAAAATCCTCATCCTCACTTTTAAATCCCTCCAGTTTTGTTCCACTCTTCCTAAAGCAATACTAACCCGCCCGTTCCCATTGCTCGGCAGGCACTGGCCTGCTTCATAACCCCCGCCCTGTTTGCCCCACCCTCAGTGGTCGGGCCTTCGGTGTTTGTCCCCACTCTCTGGAACTGAATCCCAGAGTCCCTTTGCCATTAGCCACTCCCTCTCCTCCTTCAATGTCCATCTTAAGACCTTGTTCATTGACTATCTTCCCACTGCCCTTGGCCACCACTCCCAAATGCAACCCCCAGTCGTCGACAGTCCAGTACCTCAGGACATCCTCCGGATGTGAAAGGCGCTGTGTAAATGCAATTGGCTGTTGATTACAGGACGGCACATGTGTGAGTGACCTGTCTTGCTTTCCAGGCAGTTGCTGAAAGACCCTCAAGTGTTGTTTGCGGGTTACAAAGTGCCGCATCCTCTGGAGCACAAAGTGGTGATCCGCGTCCAGACCACTCCCGATTACAGCCCACAGGAAGCCTTCACGAACGCCATCACTGATCTGATCAGTGAACTCTCACTGTTGGAGGAACGATTCCGGGTAAGTCCTCTCCACTTCCAAATCTGAGTTTTTTTATAGCCAAAATCTGATAACGAGTTTTGATGGAAATTTAAATTGTCCCTAAACCCGGAGAGCGAATGATCCTCCCAAGTAGATATCAGGGAAGGTAGTAATTGTGGACAAATGCAACCATGGATTGTCACTCTGGTGCTTGTCTGAGGTCAGTATTGACAGACATTCTTGGGAGCAGAGAGCTTTGCCATCAGAGTAGGTTTTGCAAACTCTTGACCTGCGAACGCTGGCTTTAAATCGTGGTGGTATCCAGTGTTGTTTCGCTGCCTCGCAACCAGTGTTCAAAGAGCAGGTCTCTGGTGGCTCTCCCCAGTAATGTAAACAGGTAATTTCTGAGGTCTGAAAGGGCCTTTTTTGTTGTGGATGAGAATTAAACATATCACCTGCGAAGGAGAATTTTAAATCATTCTTTTTTATTGAACCATTCATCACTTGGTAACAGCTGGAACCACTGCTGCAGTAATTAATTGTAAACTGAGCTTTGAACGATTTGCATTGGTTGCCATGTGGAATGATTACGATAAAGCTGTCATTTGATGCACTCTGAACAAGATGCCTCACTGCTGATCTGAGATACCTCTAAAGAAACACGAGCCTCAGGAAATACTCAGGATCTTTTGTTTCTTGTCAGGGCTGATTTGAATTCGTCCTAAGAAACAGTAGTATAATAATAATAATCTTTGCATTTGTTATAGCATCTTTTCATGTCTGCGAGATCTCAAACCGCTTCACAGAATATACTGTAAAGTGAATTGATTGTATATTTTGTGGGCGAAAAGCAGCCAATCGGGCACAGCAGCGTCCCCACAAACAGTCAGGGATTGATGAAAAGATACTGTTTGATCCTGATTTATTCTAACAGTCTCATAATCTGTTAGCACAGCAGTGCCTTTAGTCTGAATGTTATCTAAATCGCGTTTGATTTGAAAAAAACATTTTGAGCGTAAAATCGGTGAGCAGTGAAACATTTTCCCTCTTTTCCAGGTTGCAATTAAAGACAGACAGGAAGGAATTGAATGAGAAGCTACGATTAATTAGCTTGAACACTTGCTTGGTAGGATGATTGCTTGGTTGTAGATAGACCTGATGCAGACTTGTTGTATTTCATGTGTATTCTTTACTTACCACTTCTAGCACTGTGTACTGAGATGATTAAATACAAGCTGTGTTTCTGAATTAAAAATCAGACTTTTTTAAGGTGAGTGTACAAATGTTTGGTTAGTTATTGTTACATAGCAGTTTCTGGCACAGCACTAAAACGCAGCGCTAAATTATTTAGCATTCATCTTAGAGACTTAAGTTACGAGGGAAGAACCACTTGCTACATCTCTGACGTGTAGTAATTAGGTTCTACAAAAAGTTGCAAAATCAATGTCCCATTAATTAATGTTTGAGCTTCTAAATTAGATATTCAAAGTGATTTTCTTTCCTTTTTGTGTGTTTATAGTACCATTCCTAGTGACGTATGCTCAGTGACTCTGGGCTGGAGTGAAGCTGCACAAAGTGATAGTGGATCTTATTATGATTTGGCTGTAATAGTCAGCCTGCATCACCGTGCAGTGTAATGTAGTATATTTAATTGCAGGGTATTAAGGTGGTTATGTGACACAGGGGCAAGGCAGAGGGACAGAGGACGAGTGTTCCAGAGTTTCAGTATGCAGTGGTTGAAAGTGCACTATGTTGTATACAGTATTTCAAAGAGAAAAGACAGGTAAACCTGCTCTTTCACACCGTCCAGGAGCAAAGTAAGAGCAGAGAGAGAGGCCCAGACAGGTTTTTTTATTGCCTTTTACGTTTCCATTACTCTACTGTTCACAAAACTTCAACTATGCATTTGACACACCACAGCTGTTTGTATCTATCACAACAATAGTGCTGAACAGGACCCGCTCACGGACAGAAGCCATGGCAATCTCCACCCAGCTGCGTCCAGGCTACAACACGTGAAAGTCGGGAGGAGGAAGAGGTAGCAAAGGCTGTTAGTTGGTTTTTCTCTAGTTTTCAATGTTTGAGGTTATGGTAAAACACTATATATAAGTAGGTACAACACATTCAAATATTGAAGCATTCAACTTGTAGGTTCAAAGTGATTAACAGATGACCCAAGTCGTCAGGTATTTCACAGATGGTTCTCAGATTACAAATCAGTACAAAGGTGGATTTTTTCTTCTCAGCTTTAATAAAGGTTTTTTGGTTGACAATTAAGATGTACAGAACACAATCCCTCAACCAATGTGAGATACAATTTGGTACATTTCATAATCCATTAAACTTGAGTTGATTTTTAAAAAAAAGTAGCTTTTTTCTAATGGTACAAAAAAGTCTGGTTGAAAGCAAACATTGTCTCCTAGCTTGTACAGTTATAACAATATACAGCTGATGCCTTAAACGTTCTGAAGCTCACACTGACTGGTTGGTTCTGGAGGTTGGGAGTTTCCATGCTGACTGGCATCAGGTTCTGCAAATATAAATAAGATGCTAAATTAATTGCATTCCCTGAGGATGAGGGAACAAATCCTCACATTACTAAACCATGCCGGTGTCATTACGTACAATGTTTTAGGCAAAACATGATGCTGCTGGTGAAGTGCTTAAGTGCTTTATATTTTAGATATGTTAAAAAATAACCCCGAAAAAAGCTTTGTAAATTTTTCAACTTGATTATTATTCAATTAATGAAAGTTTATTGAATTCTACAATATTTATTTAAACGGAAGATTAGTTTAATGGCTAAACATTAGATTCATTTACGGGTCTATTCCGTTTGAACTATTTCTTAAACCATATTGTAGAAGACCATGTGATTTTACACAGGAGGCAAGAGAGAAATAGCACATCAGAAATTTCAGCTTGCAGAGAGGAAGGAGCGAGTTGCAGAAAATGCACTGAAATTAAACTTACCCACAACACTGTCAGAAGGAGTTCCTATGACCACGCTTCTGTTGGTTCTTTTATTTTCGGCAGTTGTCTTGTCTGAGATGTATCTGGTAACAGAACCCAAACAAATTCAGTGAGAAACAGGAAAGGTTTGAAGGGAGTGTAGTGTTGTGGTTGCTAAAGTGTATCTTTCTCACGCTGGAGATTCCCACCAGCACTGACCTCATAGACCAGACATTTCCCTCAGTCAGATTCATAACAACACTGAGGATCAAACTTAATTCTGATCAGACTGAAGGAACCCAACCTGAGAAGTGGGCCTTGTAGCAGAGTGAACTGGTGGCAGGGGTGACAGCTGGCGGGAGCCCTTTACACTGTCTGGTTGAGGGCTGTGGTTTGCACCTGACATAAAGGGAGTGACTGAGGTCCCAGAGCCTCATTGCATCTTAATAATACCAGGTCCTGATTCAGTAGGGTTGGATGGGACAAAACTGGCCAATAAAAAGCAGAGATGGAGGCTCGAGGCCCTCCTCACCCATCATCGGCCACTTTACAAACATGGGATCATTTGGCCCAATATCTTAAGGGCCGGGAAGTGACCAGACAAGTGGCTGTGGACAAAACGATGGGCGGGGCCAGGTTGTTGGCCTGAGCTACAGTCTGTAACTTGGGACGTCCTCCCGCCGTGAAAGGCGCTATACAAAATGTAATCTTGTTGTTGTTGTAGTAATAACTCAGCTCAGACGCCAAGGCCTCCGCAGCAGATTCTGGAAAGCCCAGGACTCTGGTCCAATCACACAACAACATTGATGTGCTTCCAGGCGTCTGGAGACATGATAAGGCGCTATTTGCAAACGCAAGGATTATTATTTTTTGGAGGAAAGCAGTTTGCTGAATGGCACACACCTCCTCCAACTGCTGGTGCAGCTGACATCACCGAGCCCCCTGGTGTCACTGATGAAGCCGGTCCACTCGGTTCAGTTACCTCTACAGGGAGAAAATGAGAAGCAATTAAATGACAGCCTTTACAACAACAACTTGCAATTACTGCCTTTCACGTAGGAGAATGTCAACCTGTAAGTATCTCTGTGGTACATTCCTGAGGTTTACATTTATAAATGTTTGCAACAGTATATACAAGTACAGAAGTATATAGGTACAAAAGTATGTGAATTGTAAATTAAGCTGTACATCAGCAAGTACCAAATGAAAGTGATCCAAATATAGTGATCTGCTCGGCCCTATATGGAAATTATTTTTGAATAAATAGATTTGTTATTTTCTATTAACCCAGTTATCCACTGGGATGCATCAAAATCCTCAGTGCCACAGCGTGAAGCTGAAACATTGCACAGTTCAGAATTGCAACTGAACTCTGTACAATATTATCCACTTATAACATACACACTGAAACCTCATTCCAGGTTAAAAACATACAGGTTTTCCACTTACGATTATTGATCAGGAGTCCTGGAAAAGGTCTGTGGAAAGAAAGACAAAAAGAAGTGCAAATAAACACATACAAAATGGGTTTGTTTATATTAATCTTCTTTAACATCCAATCTCAAATCTCCAGATACTGTCAGTGTACCAACAGTAATCTGCCGTCGTCAATGGAATTCAAATATGGTACAACGAAATTTGGTTAACTGAATACTCAATTACAGCAAATTATCCAAAAAAAAGGACTATTCATTTTTAACCGACTGATAGTTTTGCATTATAAACTGGACTCTTGATTAAAACAGACCTGTGTTCATTTCAATGCTATCTCTGTTAATTTGTTTCTGAATTTAAATGCCGTAGTAATTTCTATTTAGTCGAGTTCAGTGATATTCGGTAATAAAGATCTTGCTCTCACAAAATCACTTGACAGTATTTATTTAATTATTAAATTTACAAATTTAAATAAAGCCAAGATAATATGTTAAACTACACAGGAAAGTCTCATTTTCTTCTGAACCTGACCCTGGATTATAGCAGTTGTAATTATTTGATCGACCCTATAAACTGCAACAAAATCACTGTTATCACATCTTAATTCAAAGCAGCGCTTGTGCCGATGTCAAAGCAGGAAGGATGTCTTCACCATCGGCATCTTGTGCATCATCTCGGGGCTGGACATATTTGTCGTGTGTAGCGATCAGCAAACCTCAGCATCAGTCAGCTCTGCGTGGGTCAGCAGATTGTTGTCAGGGTTCACAAAGCTTTCTAAGACTTCCTCAGTTATCCTACCTGGCTGAGGGGGCTCAAACCTTCACACACACGATGATGACGGTTGGTCGGCCATTATAACTTCAGGAAATTCAACAACCAATACAGCACTGTCATTTTGCTTCTTTTTTGAAGCAATTTGCATCCTGACTGGCCTCAACGCTATTCCATGCTTTGCTCTATCAAGTGGATGCCATCTAGTTCACCCCAGTCTGTGCTAGTGCACGGTCTGCACCAGTTACTTCACCTGGACTAGTTGAAACAAATTTGATGGCGACTTTTCCATCGCTCGAGCCAACCATGCATTGCAGTGTTGGGAGCCCAAGCTGCCTGGCAATATCCTCGGCCTTTTGCTGCAAAAACTGCCCATTCAGCGGAACATGAAGCGCACGTTTCTCCTTAAACCACTCAAGAGATGCTTTATCCACATTTTGCCTTCTTTGCCTTCGCGTTTTTGTTTGCGATTCGAATTACAATTAATCTCCAATTCTTGCATGATGGTGTCTTTGTTCCTCAGGATTCGAGACACGTGAGCCTGGGAAATCTTGAAGTCAGCTGCCAACAATACCTGACTTCCCTTCTGTGCTTCTGCACTTTAGAGAAGTTTAATTTTCTCACTAAGTTCCAAGTCTTTTCGGAATCAAGGCTTCCTTCTGCCAACACCAAGCCAACAAACAACACTAAAGCCACGTGGAGAACTGTGACATGCTCACACAGGACAAAAGTCCTAGAAGTGTCATCCCTAGTTACGTAAACTACAGCAAGTGATCTGTAGAACTATTCATTCACTGGACTCGGTTCCATTGGTTTTAATATGAACGTCCACGGGAACAATTAATCCAATAAACCATTTAAATGGTATTTATTAACCGATCGATATTCTTATATTTGGGCCGCAAACGGTTTGGGATTTCTAAATACGATTCAATTAAAGCACATGTAACTATATTACCGTTAACATAAACATTGACAACTTACCGTATGACTGTAAATTTGATAAAGTTTGGAGATTCCAGTATCTTTTTCATGGCACTTATTTCAAGATAACTGGGTGCTTTGAACGGAACTCCCTGAGGCATGCCGTCCACTATAACACAGCCAGGGTTGGTGGTGATCTTCCTGTAAGGAACCTTCACTGGGAAAGTTCATTCCAATGGCTTCGCCTACAAAGTAAAGCGCATTTAAATGTGGGTTTCAATCGGTTATACGGATGCAACAAAATGGCTCTGATCCAATTTAACAAGATTGATTTTTTTTATAAAAAAGGTTAAAAAGCCCCCTCACACTGCTTTAAACAATTGTATGGAAACTTTACCAAATTTCTTGCTGAACAGGTCATTTACTTGTTCTCTCAGCTGTCTGGCTTTCTCCACTTTGGACAACTTTTCACCTTCACCTTCTGAAAGAAGAAGAATCAGGTATAAACTTCACGATTGCAAGTTGAATTGGGATATTTATTAATACTGGTGTCACTTTTTCATTCTTCAACTGAAGCTGAACCTCTGCAGCCTGAAGAATACATTAAAACTCACATAAGTCTGATCTGTATAAATCGTATAATTGTCTTAGTCGTACATCTGCTCAAGTCTTGATCAAGAGTTTATAGGAACAGAAGGAGCCCATTCAGCCACTCTATAAGATCATGGCTGATCTGTAACTCAAATCCAATTACCCGTCCTTGTCCCATATCCTTGATACCCTGATCTAACAAAAATTTATTTACCTCAGTCTTGAAATTTGAATGGATCCACCATCCACAGTTTTGGGGGGAAGACTTCCTGATTTCCACTACCTTTTGGGTGAAAAACTGCCTCCTGATTTCACTCCCAAATGGCTTAGTTCTAATTTTAAGGTTATGCCCCTTTATTCGATTTATAATCTATGCAAGAAAATTTATATTGTATGCAAGACCCACAGACGAATGTACAGATGTACTATAAAACTGCAACTTACCTGGAATTGTAACCTGAATGATGTTAAGATCTTCAACACCCACTGCAGAGGGTAACTCAGCAGCTTGATTGTCTGAATCTGCTTTAGATGAAACATTCAAAATATTACATTACCACTTTTTCAATACAAAATAGTAAAATTTAAATTACAAGCAATTCCGAGATGCTACCCACATGAAGAGTGCGACATCAATGCAAGTTGTTGCTTAAATGACCAGTTGCAAAAGAAATTATGTGCAGAAACTACAGCATTCCTCTACGCTGGTAGTAAGTGAAATAAATTCTTGTTTCACACGTGATCTAATACGTGAAAAAAAAATCATCTCCCAGTGGATCAATATAAATAAATCCCTTCACATCCTACCACTTCCCTACCTCTCATTCCTCTGCGCTCCTTCACTCAGCCAACTCAACTTCCTGCATAACTCCAATCATCTCTGTGCCTCAATCGGTGGCTGAACCTTCAGATTCCATCTCACCGCCTCTCGATTGGTCTTTATAACCTGCCTTGAAAACTACCTTTTATTCAGCGCTTGTTTTGTAACTTTCCACTTGCCGCTCTCCCTTGCTTGACATCTGACCCAGTCTTTGTAAAGCACTCTGAGACGTTATCCTATGGGAATAACGCTGTATAAATGCAAATTGCTGTCAGTGTCCAATCGAATGATGGGTTAACGGATGAACCAGTTGCAGCTGGAGAACAGTACAGGAATAAAAGCAGTTTCCAGTTGGATCTCACACTTGGGCCAGTTCCCAAGTGAGCTAAACATAAATAAATATAAAATAATAATCCTTGCATTTTGATATAGCTCTTTTCACGTCTTCTAGACGTCTCAAAGCGCTTCACAGAATATACTGTAAAGTGAATTGACTGTAATTAAACAAACATTAAAGTTAAATATATGTAATTTAGCATACCTATATTAAACATACCATCGTTATTCATATCGGTTGTGCAAAGATCCTTGAAGGATATCTCTGATATGCTATATACTGGCATCACTCAAACCTCATTCCACAAATATCTTAATAATAATCCTTGTGTTTGATATAGTGCCTTATCACGTTGTTGAGACGTTTAAAGCACTGCAAAACATATTGTAAAATGGATTGACTATATTTTGTGGGCGAAATCCAGCAGCCAATTGCACACAGCAGTGTCCCACAAACACCTGGGGATTGAGTGACCATTTTTTTTAAGGATTATTATCCCGGAAAGTGATCTGCCAATCGACTAACAACTGGGTTCCTACTTACTGCTAGATAACCAGGAGGCGTGTGGAGTAAAGAATTGAACCCGGGTCCTATCACTTGTGAGGTGAATGTGCTAATAACTACACTACGGGACTCCATATATTAGTTAAGATAGGTCTCCCTGTAACTGTACAGACATAATCCAATTGTAATTTCAGATTCAAGGTGACTTGGAAGAGGGGCAATAAAATTTACCTGTCGTTGCTGGCAGCGTCATTTGTGGCTCTGGGATTTTTCCATCTGAAATCGTTTGCGACCTTGCTGCTTCAAAAAGAAATAACCACCATTTAAGTTTAATGGACAGTTTGGCTGATATTCATGCTTGTAGTCATTGACTAACAACCAGGTTCCTACTTACTGCTCAGTAAACAGAGGCATGTGGAGTAAGGAAACTTGCCCAGAGTTTACAATAGTCACTGGTTAATAACTATCCTATTCTAGATGGTTTAGCTGTGTATATATATTTCTAAATCTCCAAACTGTTGCTCTGAATGCATGCTTCACTGGAAGGAGAACAAGTGTAACCATTTTATAGCACCTTATCAAGTGGAAACAGGTCTAAAGTGCTTTGTAGCTAATTGCAATCAAGTCTTTCATTTGATATATAGCACCTTATCCAAACAACAGCAACAACTTGATTTTATATAGCACCCCTCATGCAGGATAGCATCTCAGAGTACTTAATATTAATAGTTTGATGCCCAACTGGGAAAAAGAGGGGTGACTGTAGGCACGGTTGAGGAGGAAAGACTTCACGTGGGATCTGAAGATGATCAAAGAAAAGGCAAGGTGGAGGGATTGAGGTAAGGAGTTCCAGAGGGTTGGGGCACAGTAGCAGAAAGCATAACCACCAATGTCAGAGCAGAGAGGTCAAGAGATGTGCAGAAGGCAAACAACAAATTACATGTAATATATCGCCTTTTATGTCAGGACATCCCAAGGCACTGGACAGACAGGCATTTAGAGGGTCGGGATCAGGAGGGGTACAACAACAACAACTTGGATGCATATAGTGCCCTCTATGCCGGACGGCGTCTCAAAGCACTTCACAGTAACGGATCCCGGGGCCGAACCAGGGGGAGGGGGAAGGAAGGTGACCAAAAACGTGATCGAAAAGAAAGGTCTTCAGCAGAGACCTGAAAACGGGAAGGGAGGGAGCGAGAAAGGGAATTCTAGAGCCTCGGGGCATAGTGGCTGAAGGCACGGCCGCCGAGGGTGGAGCGGAGGACTCGGGGGACGAGGAGGAGGCCAGACCCGGAGGAACGAAGGCAACGGGTACTGTTTTGAGGAGAGAGGTCAGAGAGGTCGGGGGGTGCAGAGGAGGACAGGGACTTGAATACAAGGGTGAGGATCTTGAAGTCGATCCTCTCTGGGATAGGCAGCCGGTGCAGTCTGGCCAGGACTGGGGGGGATCGGAGAGCGAAGTTTGGTGCAGGTGAGAATGTGGGCGGCAGAGTTCTGAATGAGTTGGATTTTATGGATGGTAGTGGATGGGAGACCAGCGCGGAGGGCGTTGGAGTAGTCCAGTCGAGAGGTGACAAAGGTATGGACCAGAGTTTCAGTGGCTTTTGGGGAGAGGTATTGGCGGAGACGAGCGATGCGTCAGAGGTGGAAGAAAGCGGTGCTGGTGAGGAGCCAGATGTGGGGGAGGAAGGATAATTGGTGGGTCGAACTTGAGGAAGGTAAAACATCTCAAAGCATTTAATAGGATTTTACTGTGGTTGTGGCTATTTCCAGGCAAAAGGCAGAAGATATTTATGCCAACGATGTCCCACTCTAATCTGAACACCAGAAGAAACTCTTCTTTTGGAAGTAACATGGAATCTTTTAACATTTAATGGATATTGCACCTCTTGTGATTCAGCGCTCCCCAATTATGGCACTGGAGTGTCAGCCTCAATTATAATCTCAAATCTCAACTCTACGAACCCACAACCTTCTGATCCATAGATGACAGTGCTGCCAACGCAGCCAATCTATAGAGACGACTTCTCTGTTCATTTGCAATTTACAGTGCACGAGAACTGTAATCTCCACATCAATGTGGAATGCCACCCACAGCTGCACACATGAAGTGGCAGAGATTTAAAAGAATTCTATACAATTATAAGGAACTTGAGAGATGGAAAATTAGAGACAGTCATTTCAGCTTTTAGATGAACAACAAAACTCAAAATACCACTTTTGTGGTTTATACCACTTCTGTTTTCTAAACCACTCCCAGACTATCCAGTGTCCTTGTTCTATTCATTCACCAGTCATTTTAATACTCACTCTGTGGACGTTTTGTAGCTTCCTGTAATGCAGTCTGAAACATATCGACACTGTTGGAGGAAATTAATACTTTAGATGAAAGCAAACCTAAGATTGCCTGGCTGCAATTTGAGTGGCAATAAACTGGAGCAGAGCGTGAAAGGTATATTTTTTTTTAAAAAAGGGATTATTACCCGCAAAAAGTGATCTGCCAGTCAACTAACAACGAGGTAGCTTGGTAAACAGAGGCATGTGGACTAAGGTTATGCCCTACCCGGGAATCAAATCCAGGTCCTCTTGCTTTCGAGGTGAGTGCTGTAATCACTAAGTTACAGGACCCCACATGAAAAATGACATTAGGAATAGTAGTAAATGACATTAGATACTAGTAAAAGTAAGTTACTTTTTAATTACGAATCTGATCTTGGCTCTTGCTCGAAGAATCTTTTCCAACCGTGGAATTCCAAAGGTCGATGGCCTTCTGAAAGGCACGCCATCAGGCAAGCCTTCAATGTAGAAATCATCCGGGTGCGATTCAAACAGTGGGTACGGCACTTTCACTGGCTCTGAAAGCCCCAATGCTTCACCTGCAACACAACAAACAGGTCTTCATAATGAACTCTTAACCAGCAGTGCATACAAGAGGAGTTAGCAGTACTCACTGAATTAGTAATAATAATAATCCTTCATTTGATACAGCACCTTATCAGGTCTTTGAGATGTCTCAAAGTGCTTCACAGAATATATCGTAAAGTGAATTAACAGTGTATTTTGTAGGCGAAACGTGGGTGAAAATTATAATGGAATCCCAAGTAAAATATCTACTCTCTCTCCGAGTAAGAAAGCTTCAAAGTTACATAACAGATCTTCAAGGAAATCTTACAGACCTAAATTTTTATGAGGGCAAGCTTGATATTTTAATGTTTATTTGTGGCAAACTATTTAAAATTGGTTTTAGAATGCAACGTAATCAACATTTAAATGCATTAATGTATGCATTAATGGAGGCTCTCTTTTCACATAAATTTCAACTTTCTTCATATGAAGATATCCAGAAATAGGAGGTCACCGTTAGTGGCTGCTGAAGCAAGACATTTTAGTTGTTAGACAGTGTATATTTTTCTCTACTTAACCCTATAACTTACCGCATTTTTCATTGAACAGGGCCTCTACTTGCTGTTTCAAGTCAGTAATTTTGGCATTCCACTGTTCTGTGAACAGAGAACATGAAGCTCATTAGAGATTTTACATACAAGGCTCATACCCAATTCAATGGAATTCACATGGTTGAACCACTTATTCTTTATTAGCTGTACCTGTTGCAGTTTCGCTTGCAACCGAAGGATAAAATATGGAATGTAGATTGACACACAGACACACACATATTTCATCTTTATCTATACTCAGCTGTGAGGACTCCTTTTGGGAGGACTCCTTTAATATATTTTCTCTTGCATATCTTAAGGCAAAAAAATTACTTACCATACTAGTCTAGCAGCAACAGAGATAAAGCGCAACCTCTTTATAACATGATCGTCAAATGGTTCCAGGATTTAGTAGATTCCAACTGAGTACTCATCACTACAATACGTCTCAAACCCAATACCTCATCTTTAAAAATTTTAATCTATAATAACCTCAAGTGCATCCATTACCGTACACAAAGCTGACACACTTGACTAGGCTGCCATCAGCTCAAAGAGATGTCTTACCAAAAGAGAATTCCCTGCCTCTTGGCTTGAAGGTAGTATTTGAGATAAAATTTGAGCCATTTGCTTGCAAGTTATTTCCAACAGTCTTGACCTGTGGAATGTCATCAGAACCTGCCAGAAATTTAAAACCATGTTGTACTTATATAAAACACAATCGTACAGGAAGAAGGAACAATCAGTCATCAAATCTTAAGAGAGCTACATTAAAGCACATTGTTATTCCTCATTTAGAACAATTAAATCAAAATAAACCCTCACTTCTCTTCCATGATTAGGAATTCTGTTAAAGTAGTTCACCCTCCCATCTTTATGACCTTAATGGCCGACCCAACATTTATACACCATTTTAAACATACAAGATATATACAACAGCAAATTGCATTTGTACTGCGCCTTTCGCGTCGGAAGGTTAGCCATAAAAAAGTGAAAGAGAAAGGCCCAGTGACTTATCACGTCCAATCCAGTCAAGGATGAGTCCCCAGCCCCCGCCACCGCATCTTCTCCACAATAACCACCCAGCCATTTCTACAGTATTGAGAGCTACAGCAGGTGGGACACAAGTTCCTAACCACAACATGAAGCCTATTGAGGGATTAGAGGATTCCTTTCACCGCCCCCCCACCCAATATTGTCCACTGTACAAACAAATTACCTTCTATAGTAACTTCTATCTCCGAATGGTTTGGGGTTGATGGTTGTGAAGTCTTCTTTTCCTCAGAATTACTGGACTCTAATGAATGGCACAAACGGGCACTTCAATAAACAATAAATTACAACAAATACAAATACAGCGGGAAGACAAGATTTTTTTTTACTCCGAGGGTTATTATGGTCTGGAATGTGCTGCCTGAAAGTGTGGTGGAAGCAGATTCAATAGGAGCTTTCAAAAGGGAATTAGATATTAAAAAAATTACAGGGCTATGGGGTAAGAGTGGGGAAGTGGGACTAGTTGGCAGTTCTTTCAAAGAACCAGCACAGGCCCGATGGGCTGAATGGCCTCTTTCTGTGCTGTAAAATTCTATAAATACACAGAAGTATTACATCCAGTTAGGTGAACCAGTACAAACACCAAAAACAAACTTCAACTGAACAATTAACAAACTAACACAACATTAAATTACATTGGGATTAACTCAAAAGCCGTTTTGGGGGTAAATAGGTTATTAATGCTGTCCTTTCACCTATTGGAGTTGGGGTCAAATGTTTTTCAGGCGGATGAGACAAAGTTTTCTTCCCTCTGGTGGCTGTTGAGGTTCCTAAGAGCAATAGATTTGGGAAATCTTAATTCAATTTCAAGACAAACTTATTCATAGCACAATAGCCCTCAAAATTCCAGGATTAATACAAAAATCTCAGCCACAATGAAGGGCGGCACAATATATAAAGGATAGTGATATCCTGGTAGATAAAAAGTCAAATTGTCCATCATGCAGAACCCCATCACCATACTTAAAAAGTATCCAAACCAGACAGACTTTCACACATGGGAATTTGAGTGTGTGGCATACAAAGCATACTCTTTCCCTAAAATGATGCACCCTGTTTACCTAATTCCATGCAGAATTAGGTACAGGTTAGCGACAACCATGGCTTGGGGAACTCAGACTGTGCATTGGGTATTGCTGATTCTGTAGTTGAGTGTTGACTTGATTCTAATATTTTATTGCTAAGCAAATCGCCTTGAAGCCAGCTCAGCTCTCAGCTACAAGGAGACGCTGCTATGTTCCCTCGTGCCTCCCTACACAACAAAAAAGGTAAGTCACTGGTTGGTTACTTGACATCCAACAAGCCTGGATATACGAACGTGTGTTCACGACCCCAGACTCCAGTGCATCTCAGCAGCTGACATCTTAGGCCTGAGTTTCCTCTGGTTGACAGACACCCAACTTTATTGCTAAGGCAATAAAATATTCATTGCACATTTACTTTTTAATGGCTTACATCTCAATGGAACATTATTCCATTAATTCCCTGCCTTCAGTCAATATTTGTAATTCAGCTCCTTACCGACAGCACACTCTTTTTTCAAATCTTCAGGGAGATGAGGATACACCAGTTGTGGCCTTGAAAATAAATATTACCCCAAAATCAATGTTTAAACATCTTCAATGTTAGCAACAACTAGACATAAACATTTAAAATCATACCCCGGACTAATCAAGCCATGAATGAGATATGGATCAAAAGCATTGGAGTTTTTGACAAGATTTATTTTAATCAGGGATCTCTAAATACACACAACATTTATGCTGGAAGCCTTTCCTTCTCCCCCTCCCAAATTTGTAAGAGGTAGAGTGGAGAATTGCAGTTTCCTTCAAAATATCTAGTCTCAATTTAGAATGCACTGCCTGAACAGCAAATTCAATAATAAATTGAAAAAAAGGGAATTAGATATACACTCGAAAAGAAAAAAAATCTGCAAGGCTATAGGGAAAGAGCGGGGTAGTGGGATTAGCTGAATAGCTTTCAAAGAGCCGGCACAGGCATGATGGGCCAAACAGCCTCCTTCTGTGCAGTAGGACTCTATGAATCCATGATTCAATCAATGCTTTTGAATGTTCAGGCTGGAATGCATGAAACACCATTCATAGAAGGGTCAAGACAGTAAAAACGGAATTCTTCATTCCCTTCCCCACCACCTTGACGAAGTCTGTTAGTAAAGCTGTGTAATACTGTTACATTTGACATAGATACCGCTAAGCATGGATGCATTTCATTTTAAAATGTGAGATTATTCCAGTCAACCCCACCCCTGAATAATAAACATTCAAAATCAATCCTTACTTTTTCACCACAAAATTAATTTTTGAACTGCCTCGAATGATCCTTTCCAGTCTAGGTATTCCAAACCATGTGGGGCTTCTGAAAGGAATTCCATCTGGTAACCCTTCTACATACAGATGCTGTGGGTGAGACTCAAACAATGGATATGGGACCTTCACTGGTTGCGAAAGTTGCATAGATTCAGCTGCAGGTAATAGCATCAGGGTTACAAGTGAATAAGCGTTTGCAATTCTCCAAATTTCCAAAACTTGCAAAAATGAAATACAACATGAAAAGCTTTGTTTCATCTTACCAAACTTTGTATTAAAAATCTCTTCGACCTGTTTCCGTAGTTTTGTAATTCTGACGTTCCAGTCTTCTTTACCTGTAAATTAATGTGGCACATCAATCTTTTTCACCCTCAAAACACCCCCACGGAATTCCTGAAAAGGTCTTATGTACAGCTTTCAATTTACATAGATTTAAAATTGGGAAACAGAGAAAAGCAAATTCCTTTCCATCCACCCATTACAACAAACAAGAATCTCGAGATGGGTCAGTGCATAAAATAATTTAATACTTTTTTAAATATTATACAGGGTGCCGAGGTTGGAAGTGCTCATTTAGCTCTTATATATGACTTCCCTAGATGTGGAGGCTGAATGAACTGTGTCCAGAGTTTTGAATCAGAAACAATTTAGGTCAAATGTACTGTGTTGTGTGTCAGCCTGGCTCACTCTCGCCTCAGAGTTAGACGGTTGTGGGTCCCATGTGGGAATTGGAATCACATCGTCTAAGCTGACACTCCACAGCAAGTGCTGGGGGTTTGTTGCATTGGTGGAGGTGCCGTTCTTTGCATCAGACGTTAAACCGAGGTCCTGTCTGCTTGTTGAGGTGGATGTTAAAGATCTTATAACGCTATTCGAAACAGAAGGGAATTTCTCCCGGTGTTTTGGCCAACAATCCCCCAGATAAAATTGGTCATTCCTCCATGGTTGTTTGTGGAACACTACTGCGTGCAAATTGGAAGCCATGTTTCACCCACAAAATAAACATCCAACCACTTTAACTTGTGAAGTACATTTTGTTTTAAATTTCTGATTTGCAATTGTTTTGTTGCTCTCAGTATTATAATTGTATTGCTAGAATTACAAGAGTGGCAAGGTTGTTAAACTCACCCAATGACCCAGTCGGTGTTCTTGTGTTGAATATAGTATCTTGCAAGTTGGGGAGGGAAAGTTGTGCATTTATAGGAACGATGAGTGATATCTGACTATCTGCCATGTTCGGTCATGTTGAAAATGATCAAGAAATCAGTAATGTATTTTCTTGTATGCAAATTGTTTATTACACAAAGATGTTTAGTTTTCACATATAAACCTGGAAGTACTGTATCTTACACTGCAGTACATCTCCTGAGAAGTGCACAGTTTCCAATACAGTAACAGAAATAAGCAATAGGAAACAGAAAATAAGCGCATTTATAGACATATGCCTATTAATTAACAGTGTTTAACTTAAACGGGTTTAAATATAAGCTGCCTGGCTCCTACAAGGCTGCAAGCAGCGGGTGTGCAAGAGGAGTGGCTGCTACAGGTCCTGACTCCAGGCCTCCATGGTTGTTGGGATGCTATTCCGAGTTTCCCTTCTCCCTGAGATTATGCCAGTGGTATAGTGAGAGTCTGTGTGTGGGTGTGTCCCTAAGCGCTCGGCTTCGGGGACTGCTACACTGGTGTCAGGTGTTGAATTTGCTGTGGGTTGAGGAGCCCTTCACCCATGAACAGGCAGAGACTGACCAGTAGAGGCTATGAATCTGTGGACCGAGCAAGAGGCTGCGAGTCGCTGGCTGAGCGAGATCCCTTCCAGGTGAGCTCAGGTGCTGCCTGCAGCCCTCTGCAGTGGTTGTTTTACTGTTCCCAGTTTCCGCTCCCCTGAGCTTAAACCTGTGATAACGAGCGCTTGGTGTGTGTTTGTGTGTGTGTCCGTTTCTGCCTGGCTTGGGGACCACATTCTACCATGTTAAAATCCATCCAGCACGCCTTAAACCTCTGGCAAATTGATCCACATCTTCCAATTTTAGCTATTTATCCTCCTTAGATTAAACACCTGCTCCATAGCATCAGCAGTGCATGTTTAAATATGACAAGTACTCCTTTATCCAAGTCATTTCTGTACAGAACTGCAGAACTACCCTGATTATGATCTCCCAGCCCAGCACCCCTTCCCCCATTCTCTGCCTTCCAGGTCCAGCTGATTATATTTGATGATCTCTCGTGTTAATATAGTGCATTAAAGAACAAAGATACTGTACTTCCAGGTTACATCTGAAAACCAAGCATCTTTATGTAATGAACATTTGCATACAACAAAATCCACGGTTCCCAAATGATTATCATTGGACTATAAAAATTGTTTTGGGGAAAAATATTCTTGAACATTTGCAACACGACAAAATATGGCAGACAGTCAGAGATCACTTGTAGAATCTTACAGCACAGAAGGAGGCCATTTGGCCCATCATGCATGTGCCAGCTCTTTGAAAGAGCTATCCAACTAGTCCCATTCACTCTCTCTTACCCCATAGCACTGCAAATGTTTCCTTTTCAAGTACATACCAAATCCCCCTTTGAAAGCTACTATTGAACCTCTTTCAACCGCCCTTTCAAGCAGTGCAGTAGCCCAATAAATGCACAACTTCCCCTCCTCAATTTGCATGATGATTTCACATATGAGCGCAGGTCCACAGACCAATACATGTGTTACAGAAATCAACAGACATCATACAAATCCACCCTCTCCAAAATTACCACATTTATAAAATCTCAGGATAAGTTTACTCATTCCTTGAATATGATAGATACAACTGCACCCCAGTAAACACGTTCATGTTTTTTTTCCTCCAGCTTCTCTAAAGAATATCCATTCACTGGGTGAGTTTGACCAGCTTGTTATTCTGTTATTCTAGCAACAGACTTGCAGTAATACTGCTGAAAGCAATCAAAACATTTCTTACAATTGCAAATCAGAAATTAAAAAAAGTAGCTGCAACGATCTCAATCTACTCGGGGGAAAATAGTCTGTGATATTCTTTTGACGCCGTGATTGCAAACAAGACCGACAAGAACCGCAGAAAGGTGGCTAAGCTTGTAGCAGAAGTGACTGTAGCACGTCAACCTTTGCAATGCCGGCTGCCAGTTTAATCGGAGGGTGTTGAATGTCGATGTAGTCATCTTCTTCAGCATCATCATGATCTGTCTCATCGCTCTTTCATTGTGTGGCAGTAACGCACGCCACTATCAGCAGTCATTTCCAATACACTGACTACAAGGTCCACTCTGATGAAATCATCCTGGGAGACACTTGTTGGCCACAACTCCACGATGCACAAATGTTCAATGGCGTTGCTGAAATGGCTAGATTCCTCCGATTCAAACCACAAAAAACTGTTATGGTGATAAAGCGCTATATCAAATGCAAGGATCGTTATTATTATTATAATCTTTGTATCCCAATAAAACAAGGTTTTGCAGATTCCTCAATGACAATTTTCTTTCATCAAATTCATCTTTGTTAACAGCCAACAGAATGGTGTATCGCTGCTCACTTTGCTTCCACTTCGAACATTTTTTTCTCCCTTGAAAGCCAAAGTTCTGTTGGCCAAAATAATCCGGTTTCGTCCTCATTACCAACATGCACAGATTATAAATATATTCTGAAAGAATTGCAGCCAGTGTTGTTTGTAGATTTCCACTCGTTAATTGTAATTTATGGAGCTGGATTGGCTTCTCTACAAACTAACCCGAGATGAAATGCCATATCTCGCCTTAAAGCGCTCCAACCAACCATTCGTGCATTCAAAGTTTGCCACGCCTAATTCAGCCGCAAACCGATTTGCCATTTCTGTGAGAAACGGACCACTTACTCGAATGCTTTGAGCTCTTGCCTGACGAAGCCATGACAATAAACAGTTCTCAATATCACTATGAATGGAGGTCCGCATTCGTTTCCGATTCACATGGAATGTGTCTGCATCCACAGCCCAGAGAATTTTGTCCTTGTTCAGCAGCCACGAATTGAGGGTTGTTCTTGGCACATTAAACCTTTTGGCAACCTCGGATTTCCTCTCCCCATTGAGCACTTCACGGATAGCATTTGCCTTTGTTCTAATTGAAAGGGTCTTCTTTTTGCTCATTTGGCTCATTTCTAAGCAAGTGGGATGCGTCGCAATGAATACTGTATCACATAAAAGCACATAAAGATTGGCGCGCAGGCGGCTGGCTGCGCGAGTGGCTATCTTTTACCGCATTTATCGCGAAGGTCACTTTCGATCCTTTTTACACTGAAATACTTACAATTTCTACAAATGTGACGAGTTACATGTTAAACGGACCGACGAGTGAAGCGATCCCTTATTAACAGTTTATACTGGTTGCAGTCAGGATAGTGGTGACATGACATGACTTAAGTGATAAGTGACAAGTTAAGCCAAGGTCGAATTATCCTCAGTTTACTGCAACTTGCATCTGTGGCTGGCTGAGCGAGTTTATTCTAGCCCCTATTTCCCACACAGAAGTCATTCCACAGCTCAAAACCAGTGTGAAGAACAAGACACAAATGTAGCAGATACCTATCATTCTGGAGAAAGTGTTAAGGGCTCTTGGACACTCTATAAATGCAAATTGTTGCTGTAGCAAATAATTCCTCACAAATGTTTGCAATAATAATTATAAACAAAGATATGGCAACTGTAATGTTGAACGTCTCAAAACAGCTTCACAGATAATTGCTAAGTGAAGTGACTGTCTGTAGGGACAATGGGCAGCAATTTTGCAGATAGAGGGATGATAAACAGCCAAGAAGCAAACTGAAGTGTAGAAACTCCTTTTGCTTTTCCAATAGTTTTAATTGATCTTTGTAATATCCACTTGAACAATCAAACAGAGTTAATGTCTTATATGAAGGCTGTGACCACCAGTGTACCCCAATACTAAGCTGCAGCGTTAGCCTGGACCACCAGGTCAAGTTCCAATGTGAGACTTGAACCTATAATCTTCTGACAGAAACGCAAAGGAAGCTGAACTTATCCAAATATGGGAATGAACTTACCTCCAGCACTGGACCCCTGTAGAGTGGTATCAATATGCTCATTAATCAGCAGATCTGGTCTGGGAGGAAATGGGAAAAAACAATTACATGAGAAAGTCAAAGATTTATATGCAATCTAAATTATCTTTGCATTTGAAATAGCGCCTTATCACGTCTTTAAGACGTCTCAAAGCGCTTCATGGGAAGTGAATTGACTGTATATTTTGTGGGGGCGAAACGGGGCAGCCAATTGAGCACGGCATTCATTGAAACTGTACAAAGAGAAAAAGTAGTGTTGTATAAAAGGTCTCTATAAAATGTCTCGTTAACTCAGGTTTCAAATTTTTCAAACAATTTAAAAAACATAAACCAAACCAACCTTTTCACAACAAATTTTATCCGATTAGCCGCTTGTAGAATCTTCTCTAGCCTAGGAATGCCATACCAGGAAGGACTTCTGAAAGGAATGTTGTCGGGAATACCCTCCACATAGAGATCTTTGGGGTGAGATTCAAATTTACGATAGGGCACAATCATTGGTTTTTGATGTCCCAAGGCATCAGCTGTAAATCAACAGTAAACCATATCAAACTGGGTAAAATAACTTCAGGTTAAACTCTTGTGTAGTAGTTTAAGCTAAGAAGGGTAGAATTAAAACAGCACAAAATATTTTCAGATAAGAGTTCAAAAACATATTTAAAGTACCGTATTTCTTGCAGAACAAATCTTCCACCATCCTCCTCAGTTTAGTGATTCTGGTGTTCCACTCTTCTTTTGCTAGAAGAGAAATACTAAGATGTTCAAAATTCTCCAAAGATACTTTCACCAACTGAACTATTTCCAAATAATAGTTACAACATCAAACAAATGATATTTGTACAACTCCTTTCAGGTCGGGAGGGCGTCCCAAGGCGCTGTAAATAAATGTTATTTTCCAGACCATCACCCAAACCCTACTTAACTAAACCTACCCAGACCCATCAGGGAAATGACCATTAAATCAGTAAGATTCATTTAAAAAAGGAAAACTAATTATATTTTCTGTACAAGGCAGAAACATAGCAGTGATATGGCATGGCATGCAACTTATACCTCAAATTACACCTACCACTCTTTTTAGCCCTGTCGGTCGGTGTAAAGAACCCCTTTTCAGAGGCCAAATCCTGTCTGGTGGGCTGCTCAGCGCAGCTTTGGCGCGTTTGGAGTCTACACGTGACCCGGGGAAAGTTGTGGCCCGCGGAAACAATAACAAATTGTATTTTGTAGTTGGTTTATTACTTTCTGAAAACTAGTTTGATTTACGGGTTCGTATGTGCACTGTATTTTTCTATACGCTTATACATTCTACACGTTTGTTGCTTGTATACTTCAATGCCACTGTATAACCAAATACACTCAATTTTACCAAATTTATAAATGTATCAAAAATGACATTTATAGCCCCGACCTACAATAAATAGGGCAAGACATTATAAAACAATTTACCAGATATTTTCTCTTTTACTCCCTCATACAATCATTAAAATCAAAATCCAATCTCTAATATCTGCCGGAATAGACAATGAAGTCCTGGGCACAGGATGAAGAAATGCACAATGCAAACAAAAATAAATGTTAATTGGTTTTATTGACCAATAAAATAAAATACAAACCAAAGAAACATTACAGTTTTATTTACTATCGGACACAGAGGAGGTATACTAACATGGAAAACAAGCTCATAAAAGTGGGATTGAGTGTTGGAGTGGAGGTCAGAATTTTGGTAGCAAAGAATTCTGTGATTGATTTCCAACTGAGCAATGTTTTTACTTTGTCGCAGAGAAAACTGCAATACGTTATTGCATTCGCTAAAAAATAAAAATTAGTCCAATGATGTTGGATGGAGACTGTACAAGAAGATAGGCTTTTCTTTTATATTCAGTGTTCTCTTGTTCCAAAAAGCACTTTTCAAAAGAGCATGAAGTACCTTTTGTGTTCACTTTTTGCCCCCAACAAGACCAGCTTTACTCTGTCCTTCTCACCAAAAGCTCCATCTCTTACCACTGTTTGCTACATCCACCACAATCTTTAATTGAGGAATAGCCCCCCTAACACTCTCCAGCTACTCAACATGCTCTAGGTTGACCTTCTCACACTAGGGACTGCCTTATAATATCCATGTCTTTGACGCCAACGAATCCTTCACTTCCTTGTATTCCAGGCCAACAAATTCAAGGGCACTCAGTCCTCCTCAGCAGGGGAAGCTGCGCCTGGAATGGATCAGTTTAGCTCATACAAGGATTATTTCATTCCGTGCGTTTCCGTGAACTGTAGCACAGAATTCTTCTCTATGAAAAGTTTATTTAATTATTTTCTTTTTTGCGACAATACTTTAGTTTTAGAGATTCCAGGACCCACTGGTCCATAGGTTGGATGTCAGTCATATAAGGATCCACATCCAAAGTTAAAGTGCTTTCATCAGAATATGAAGGTGCCGTTTCTATACTTAAATACACTTTAGAGGAAGGTCTTGAGCCCTGAAACAGATTTGTGGTAAAACCAGAAGATCAAAGGGTTTCCTTACATCCATTCATCCAGATCAACTGGTTTTAATAATGGGCACCACTACTGCAAAGGTATGAGATTTGCTCCTTACTCAACCGACAATCTGGGCACAAGCCTCTTCCGTATATACAACAGGTTTGGTTGGATGGCCTTTCCAGTAAACACTAGACTCATCTTCTTTGTAAACTGATCAGTGGCCAATGTTCAGCCATCAATGCACCGTATGATGATTAAAGACACTTGCAACTTTAGAGCTTTGAATAAAGTTCACGTATTCCATAACGTGCTTTAAAATTATGCAGCCAGCCACAACTTGCATTGAACGGTTCCTCTATGCCTAATTGTTCGTGAAAATATTTGGCTTTGGCCATGATGAGCAGTCCAGTGACGTGTATTCCCTCCGACCGTTTCCTCTGGAACCAGATGTACAATTCCTGATCGAGCTCGGCAAAGCTGGATCTCTTCATCGATTTGCGAACCAACCGTCCAACAATGTTGTCAGACTCCGAAGCAAAACGGGTAATCTTCCAGCGAGCAGACTTAATATCATAAATGGAACGCTGGCTGCATCCATATTTCTGTGCGAGCTTCGATGCAGGAACACCACAGTCCAATTGATTCAAAATTTCAAGCTTCTTTTCAATCGTCAAAACAACACGTTTGCGTTTAGGAGTCTTGTCTCCTTTGCGTTCATCATCCATGATGAATACTGTACAGGTAAAAATAGTGCTCAATCATTACCATTTTTAAAAACGGCAGGTATTTCTGATTAATAAAAGTTGCTTTTGTTTTCTGCGTTTACAGGATTTTTGTTAAAAAAGGGGAAAAATCTGTGAAGTGGCTGTGTTATTGCCTAGCTTGACAAATTTCTTACATTTCTATTTAAGGAATAGTGCAGGTTATCATTACAGTATTGTTCAGCCCAAGCATTCAATGCACTTTTTGGCACAAATGCAAAATGATCATAAGCAGTTATGAGAGGAACCTCATTTTAAACAGTATGTTTCACACAATCACTCTGCATTGCACTTTTGTGAGCTCTGTGCATCACTCAGACACATATTGTAGCAGTAAGCAAAAANTTTAGAAGTTTACACTTGGGTCACACAAAATATAGTCCATTATCAGGTGTTTCTGCATTCATTTAGTGCAGTCACGTTGTATCTATGGAGATCTTAGCAGCCTTAAAACTAAAATTTGGGAGATAAAAGTGCTAATAATGCACTGTATACATATCCTGTCTGAAATTCCATTTTAATATACAGAAAACATTGAAGAGCATTATTCCAGATCAGCTTAAAGCCATTCAAGATGTGCATTAATTTTCACATCCTGCCCAAATGTGTCAACAATGTCGCCGTATCTGGCAAAATACAGGCTGACCCCGGTGTAACAAACGCCCTGGGATCTTGGGGAAAAGGAACGTTGTATCTGGGTGCGCTCTAAGAAGTTCAACTTGCTGCTACTGAACTTACCGGCTGCCTGGTCAAAACTTTGCTTCCTGAGCCTGCCTCAAACGGAACACCGCACATTCGCACCCCAACTCTCTGCGTACCCTCCCTCGAGGGGCACAACATCAATGTCATTACGTACGACAGCGATACAAAATGCGAGTAAACATTCAAACGCTTTTTTAATAAATTGGGACTACATTAGGAATAAACTACTCTCCAGTATTACTGTATGGGAAAGAAAGAAACTTTAGTTCAACAGTTTTGCCTCATAATAACAATAAACATAGGGAGGAACTGTTCACTTATGAAAAAAATATTAAGTGTTGACTGCTTTAGAGTGTGCACAGTTTTTGCTCTACAGGTGTTTTCAATTTTATTAAGTAGTCCAAACAACTCTTCTGTATCTTAGAATGCCTGGGCATAACTTCGTTCAGTGTTTATATCTTTCAAAATTTCACGCAGAGAAGGAACCACAGGTTCACAGTGCACATCATCATCGTCGCATCTCTCATTACCCTGAGGTTTCTTTGGCATAATAATAATAATAATAATAATAATCCTTGCATTTGAAACTCGGCTTACATCTTTAGTGATTTAGTCAATTAGAGATTCTGAGATTCCAAGGGGGGGTTGCATTCTTCTGTAGTGTGGAGGAAAGGCATCTCACTCACACATCGGGAGAAATCTGGAGCATTCCTGTATGTTTCAAGCAGTTGGTTGCACAGTTGTCTGTGACCTGCAACCACGCTTTCCTTGTGAGATGGCTTGTAAGATGTCCGCTTGAAATGACGCATTGGCATCAACACAGGCCATTATCTTCCTGAGTAGAGCTTCCAATGCCAAGACTTGAAACACTGGATCACTCCTTGGTCCATTGGTTGCAAAGTTGGGGGTTAGGGAGTGGATGGTAACAGCTTTCAAACCCCAAACCTTGGGATGTGCTGGGTAGCTATCCACAAAGTGCACGACTTTTCGTTGCTGGGCAGTACATTTTTTCATGAAAGGTTCTCACCCATTGCCTCTGGATTTCTGGTGTTATCCAAGCTTTGGTGTTAATTAATAATAATAATCCTGCATTTGATATAGGGCCTCATCACGTCTTCAAGACGTCGCAAAGCGCTTCACAGAATACACTGTAACATGAATTCACTGTGTTGTACTAATACTTCAGTAGTAATGTCTTCACGTTTTAAAAACGCCTTGGTTTTGCAATTTTCCAATGCACATGGTCGGATCCATCCGTATTGGCCCCTGTCAGAAGTGTTACTCACTGTTTTTGCTCAGCTTTTTTCTCTGCAGTTACCATCTAATGAAACAAGCGTATTGATTGGTAACAGCTGGGAAATAGCCCTGCTTCGCAGACCTTGCAGAGGTCGCTCATATTGTACCAGAATGGGAAAGAAAGACACCCTTGAGCCAGTTAGACGCAATTTTGTTATCAACAGTCGCTTTTCCCCCCTACTGTGTTCTTGAAGCTCACCTCGTGACGGTTTTTGAATCGTTCGATCCAGCCGTTAGAACACTTGAAATGTTTAATATTGAGAGACCTGGCAAACTGTTCAGCCTTTGCCTTCAGTAGATTACAAGACACCGGAATGTTCTTTTCCCTCGTGGCCACAAACCAGCGATGCATGGCTTTGTCAACCTCCTCGTGCTCTGGCGCACGGATCCTTTTCCTGGTCGTCGAGGCTCCCCCGCGCACAACTGCTTCCCGAATCTTCTCTCGATTTGCCCAAACAGTCGCGACTGTGCTTTTCGCTAGTCCCAGTTCTTTGCAGATCGCTGCCTGAGATTTCTTTCTTTCCTCTAAAGCTTGAACCATCTGCAGCTTGGTTTGCAGTGACAAACTCCCCCTCTTACTCGCCGTCCCCATTTTCACTTGAATGCAGACTGCAAACACGGGCATGAGGGAAAAACGCATGCGTGTATTGGTTCGGTTTAATGGTTAAATTTAGAGGAGGAAAAGCGAGTAAACACAAGACGATGATGACAGTGTCGGCGGCAGTAATCCTGGGGAGAAGGAGACAATCCTGGGGCAGCCACAGCAGCCGCAGGAATAGCCACCGCGCCTCAGCCAATCTACTTTGTCTATGTGCCCATTCTGCAGTGCGTTATATCAGGAGCTGCGCTGCTTCAATGATTGCTGTATTAGAGTAAGAACCAATAGAAAATCAATAAGAAAAACGGGTCTCAATGTCGAGTTCATTATAACCGGAGGAGGGATTGTGATAGCCAGGGATTGTTATACCAAGGTCAGCCTGTATACTGTATATATTTTTAAAGTTTAAATTCATACCTCCTGGCACAGATTTATTCGCTTCTTCATCCCGAATAGTAGATAACAGCTCCGGTCTAAAGGCAGAACAAAATAAAAGTATAACCGAAGACTTCCAATACATTTCTCACAACATCCATTATCAAATAGCCCTTAGTTGCAACTGTTTTAAGTACTATACATACAGATTTACACTTATATAACACCTTTCATGTTGGGAAGGTGTCAATAAGATAGAACACAGTGAGCCTAACCCTACTCTATTATAGGATTAGCCTTGGATAATACAAATGCCCTCTAAATATTATGAATTAGTTCAACGACAAAGAAACGCTACCATGTAAAATCACTAGGCTCATAAGCAAACTTTGATTAAGGTTCTAGATCAAAACCACCATAAATCCAACATGAAAAGCGGTTCAGTTGAGATTCTCAATGGAGATTCAATAGAATCCTACCTTTTGATAACAAATTTTATCTTTTCATTTGCTAGAAGGATCCTTTCGAGTCTTGGAATACCGTAGGTGGAGGGCCTCCTGAATGGAATACCTTCGGGTAAACCTTCAACACTAAGATCTTCAGCATTGGACTGAAAGAGTGGGTATGGGATTATGACGGGACTTGTCGTTTTTATGGCTTCAGCTAAAAGTGTTGACAGAAGGAAAAAAAGAGTCACAGTCAAGTGATTGAAAACCATCTGTGAATTCTCCCACCAATAAAAATAATTTTATAAATACAATAATGATTCTCCACTTCGGTATCAATCATGAATTTATTTTCATTTGGTGAAGGAGGGTTAGGCCCTACTTGAAGACGTGAAAGGCCCTATATCAAACAAAGAATTATTAGAATTAGTATTTTTTACTCAACCCTATAAGCCGAATTAGACCGAAATTAGTCCCTCAAGGGAATGAGAGCTGTCCGTGCAGACACCCCTTTTTCCCCGAAAAAAACCTCCCTTAGCCCCAAATCATCAAAGGAAGACGCAGACCTGATACCTGCCCTCTTCGGATCTGAGTTATGCAATACCAATCCCAGCCAAAGAAGGGTCGAAGGCATAGCTCCTCCAAGGAGCTCGATCCTCCCATCGTGCATTACAGGCATTCAGTGTTTACACAGAGCGAAAGGACACTATTCCCTAAATGTGCTGGCTTATTATTAACACAATTACCAGGCCATGGTCTGTTCACACAAGGTGATGTTCAGCAAAGACAGATTGTATAACAGGGAAAAAAATCATGGCTGATAGTAAGTTGTACTTTACATCCCATCACTTGCTGGTATAAGTCCAAAATCTAAATAAATTATTTTATTTTAATCAATTACACGGATTTGTTCTGTTTCCTGAAATAGAGACAATACTAACCATATTTCTTTTCAAAAAGATTTTCCACTAGCTTCCTTAGTTCAGTAATTCTGGTGTTCCATTGCTCTGTGGAAAAGGAAAGGTTTTTAAGCAGTTACATAAAATGTCATCATTCAGTCACACCACACTTCAAATAAACAAAACACAACAACTTGTACCACTTCCTTTCACATAGTTTTTTTTTCATGTTTTGAAGGGACAAGGTGGAAAACCAAATAAGGTGGAAAAATGGGGAGTCGAGGGACCAAAGGCAAAGTTGAAAAGGCTTTTCAGGATGCTTTTAAAAAAAGGGAGAAAAGCCGTTAGGAGAAGGGATTTGGAGAGGGATTTAAGGAGAGCCGGACATAATCTCACCTGCCAGAAGATGGGTCATGAGGGGGGTGGGGGGAGAGAAAAGATAGAACAGGAAACACTATAGTCTCTGGAGTACTAGTCTGAAACAGTTATGATGCTGGAATGTAATCAGTTCCTGGCAACCATCTTCTGCCCTCTACTAAATGTATTGCAGTAAAACTCACACAAGTTGTATAATATATATATATATATATATATATATAAAGTCAGATTTTAGAGAGTAAAACTTACATCAGTCGGGACCATAACATTTAATATGACTAACGCAATGTCAGGAGTTACAGGCAAACTGTACAAGTTATATAAAATCAGACTTAATCAATAATCTACAATGCACGTGCCAAATTCAATTCAGCCGGTAAGTGCTCATTAGGTGACGGGTCAGGACTACATTTCCCACGATTCAATGCACCTCGACTTGTTGCCGTATGTGCACTTACCGGCAAGCAATGGGACGGCACTGAATTGTGGGAAATGAAGTTCTTCTGCTCATGCAGCAACAGGTCCAAGATTACGTGTCCTGCAATTCAATGCAGCCGGCCGGGAAGTGCACATGCCTCGACGGATCAAGACGTCATTTCCCCGCAATTAAATGCATCCGGTAAGTGCAGGAGCAATGGAGGATAGGAGGGTGGTGTTACGAGTTAGATGATAAATATAACTAGTGCAAAGAAATCAAAGTGGTTTTGATAGGAAACGGAATGGAACTCGGGTGCATGTACGTCTTAGGCGATCATATGATTTATAACAATTCAAGCAGTTTTACTGTATATCTTTACATGTTTCTAGCATGCCTTTAGACCGGAAACATTAAAATAATGCGGTTGCAAATACTGTATAATAATCCAAAATGTTCATCTGTGCTCCCTTAACATAAGAACATAGGAAATGCTAGACAAAAAANGACCAAGGTCCATCAAGTTCACGTTCCACCTTCCTGGCGGTCGCATGCACATATGTCCCAAACTACCTATGTACTATATCTCTCAATCAATAATCTACATATACGGCATTTAAATTCTACAATGCAGGTTTGGTTGGTGACATTAAGGCAAGGTTTCTGTAACATGTTGAACCCATGCGCATTGAAGCTATGATAGGCCATTCTTTCCATATACTGTACAGTACAGCACCTCATGTGCAGAAAACATGTACAATGAACGGCACTAGCAAACAGGTTTCAAAACATAACCTTTTATTAGAACATAAACTCTTACAAACCCCTGCCCTCCATCGTTCCCGATCCCAGCCCCTTGCTCAGGTCGAAATCCCTGATTGTCTAGCGCCTTGGGATGTCCTCCCGACATGAAAGGCGCTGTGTAAATGTAATTTGCTGTTGTTGTCATATTAACACTGTGACCAAATTATCAATCACGTTTTAAAAACATGGTAAATCAGACATAATCCCTCAATCAATTCACTTGGCCTGATAGTATTCAGCGATTATTTTCTGCTTCATTCGTTTTGGAACCTCACTCATTACAACAGCTTCAAATTTGTCAGCCAATTCCAAAATCTCATCTGCAGGGCTTTCCACAGTCATTGAGAAGCGACGAACAATATCGAGTGCATGATAAGGCGTCACTAACAGTGGGCACGAAAGGGGTGGAATCCCCGAGTTCGGAGCCTTCCATCTCATCGCTCGGGCAGTTAGCATCTGCTTCATCAGAAACTAAGGACATAATGTCCTGGTCGGATAGTTCTCGGGTGTCTTTGGTGTCATCCATGTCCACGTCAACATACTCGTCCAGTGAAGGAATCAAACTGCCGTATATTTGTGCAAGGCAATCCCAGATGTTTTGGAACTGCTGCTCAGTTTCTTGCTCCGAATCATCTGTGATGTACTGGTCGGCGGTACCTTCAAACGCCACTTTCTTGTAGCAACTTGAGATGGTAGTCTGGGACACTCCACTCCAAGCAGTTTGCATAGCAAACATAGCATCCAGTAAATCCCACTTGAAAGGCAGCGCGTGTTGTGCTGCATCCAGTCGTCTAGTAGCCAAAATGTGCCGGTAATGGAACTTCAGATTGCGAATCACCCCACCATGCATGGGCTGGGTCACACTGGTTGTATTTGGAGGCAAAAATATGAGTTCAATGTTGTCTAGTTCAACTGAAGAATGAGCAGAACACTTGTCAAGGATCATCGCTACCTTTCGATTTTCTTGACCAATTCGCCAATCCAGTTTTTTAAGCCAGCCCTCGAACATGACACTCGTCATCCAAGCCTTTTTATTGGCAGAATATTCCAGTGGTAGTCTGTGAAAGTTTTTGAACGCACGGGGCCACATGTTCTTTCCAATAGTGTACAGTGGTAACTTATCAGACCCATCCATATTTGCACCAACCAGCAGCATGATTTGTGTCTTGGGTTGTTTAGACCTGTGGTGGGAATCCCTCCATGCGAAGCCAAGTGATTTTTCTGGCAGCATTTGCCAGAACAAACCAGTTTCATCAGCATTGTAGATGTCCTTTGCCTCGTACCGTTGCAAAATGTCGTGAAGCTTCTCATCTTTCCACTCTTGAACAATCTGCAGGTCAATACCGGCATATTCCCCTGCTTTCCTAATCTTCACGATGCCCCAGCGTTTCTTAAACCGATCGATCCATCCCACTGAAACCGTTTCCTTGTAACCGAATTTACGGGCAAAATAACCAGCCTTCTGAAGAAGCATTTCTCCGTCTATCCTTAGCTGATCCAGCGCCAAATTCTGCCGAAACCACAGGATAAGTGCCGCATCGACATCTTCAAATGTTATTGCTTTTGCACGTTTGATGTTCCCCTTCCGTGCATCAGGATTGTTCACGGCACGATAAATTTTCTCCTTATTCTTGAGGTAATCGTTCAAGGTCTGTGGTTTTAAATCGAATTTGGCAGCAATGTCCTTCTTTTTCCATCCAGGATTCGCTTCGCAGAATTGGAGAATCTGGAACTTCTCCTGATAGGTCCTTGTCACTAACTTGCGTTCAGTTGTGGTACCTGTATTGCCTGATGCCATGATGACAGGTCAAAACCTTGCTTTCCGCGCCTGTTCACTGCACTGTACTGTACTGCGCATGCGGTACTTCGGCACTGCAGCTGGTGAGTGCGCATGCAGTGACGGGTCAAGTTTCAAGCGGAACACTGCGCATGCGTACTTCAATGCAGCCGGTAAGTGCGCATGCGGTGAGGCGTCAAGCCTTTGCTTCCCCGCGCTGGTTTCAAACTGAACACATATGTACTTCAATGCAGCTGGTAAGTGAGGTAGCTTCTTTACAAGTGAGGAGACGATTTGCAAAGAATTCAGGATGTATTTGGGACCAAGAAACCTTTACAATTTAGCTGTTTATCCAATTTATAAAAAACAAGTGCAAAGAAATCCAAGTGGATTTTGGTAGGAAACTGAACGGGACTCGGGTGCATGTATGACTTAGGCGATTGTACGATTTATAAAGAAAGACTTCTACAAGTTTTACTGCATCTTTACTCTCAATAGCTTTTGCTGCAAATGAATTTCTAGAAGAGATAACACGATTAACGTACCAAAATTAAACTCCCGTGATTTCCGTTTTACTGTGGCCCCCGCGTCAGTCGGCTGCACAATGGTCTTTGGTCTTTTATTGGGCGGGACATATTCGTCATCTTCGTCACCTGGAAAGCCACATTTACAAACTTTAAATTGACATTTAAAAGTTGTTAAAAACAACCGTCCATCACAACATAAAGGCCAACAAACATTTTCCTTAGTCCATTTTAGCTGGGCCACAAACTGAGCCACAGGACAGAATTCTACATTTAAGCCTCCCATAAACAGTCTTGTATTGTCTGACCCAATTTTTTTAAAGTGATTATTACCCCTGGAAAAGCGATCAGTCACACTCCTATATAAAGCAATGCTCGGCGCTCCTCATGATCTCTAACTAATGGTCGTCACCCGGTACGTACTGACGTGTACAGGACTATTGTACAGTCAGGTTGGCTTAATATTTATTTACTTATGTTGTAATGTGCTGCCAGATGTTATAGTTATGTGCGATTGTTATATTTTTTCCATTTGTTATAAATCTTAAATTGTTGTGTTCCTTATGTGCAAGGTAGCCGAAGGTTGCTAGGTTTTAATAAAGAGCTGTTCTCTACTGAATGTACTCTCGATTCTCTGTAGTATTCTAGACAACAAAAGAAGTAAGCACTTCAGAGGGTAGCTGTCAACATCGGAGGTCTACGAGTGCGAGCAAACTCCGATTAGACATTCCAGTTACCGGGCATTGGGGTTAACTGGGAATACCTGTCTGTGTGTGACTCTGACTTGGTTGAGTCACCTTTGAAATAGGGACTCACACTGACAGGTTTAGGAGAGAAGCAGAGGCCACTTAGTACAGAATTGTTAATAAAATTTGCACATACATCAAGCGATGAGAACCATCGCAGGCCTCTCCGACTCCTCCCTCCACAGGCGGAAGATCATCCAGAACTGTGCAGCCCGTGTCCTCTCCCGCAGCAGGCTCTGTGACCCTATCACCCCCATCCTCGCCCGACTCCACTGGCTTCCCATCACACAGAGGATACAGTTCAAGATCCTGGTCCTCACTTTCAAAGCCCTCTATGACCTAGCTCCTCACCTCTGCGACCTCCTACTACCGACATCCTGCTCACTCACCCCACTCAGCAGGCTCCGGCCTGCTTCACGTCTCCCTCCTCATCCGCCATACCATCGGCAGGTGGGCCTTCAATCATTCTGCCCCACCCTCTGGAACTCCACCCCGCAGTCTCACCGTCTCATCCGCCTCCTTTAAGACCCGTCTCAAGACTCTCCTCTTTGACCATGCCTTCGGTTCACCTCCTTCCCCACCCGCCCTCCACCCTTCTCTATCCCGACCCCCAGCTCAGGTCCGAAACACTTAGGATGTCCTCCTAATATGAAAGGCGCTTTACAAGTGTAATTTTGTTGTTGTATTCCTAATGCTTACCTTCAAGAGTTACTTCTACTTCAGGATCTTCACTAGTTTCAGAAGGCTGTTGCCGAGCCGGGTCTATGAAACACATATTCAAAATATAAACATTGTGTAAACTTTATTGTTAATGTTAAACATTTTTCAAAAGTTACTGCCAAAACAAAATGACAACTTAGGGATTTTTAGAACCAGTGTCCCACAAGCAGTCATGGATTGAGTGACCACATTTTTATGTGTTATTTGAAGGGATTATTACTCCTAGAAAATCAATCCATCAATCAACTAACAACCAGGCGCCTACTTACTGCTTGGTAAACAGAGGCGTGTGGAGTAAGAAAACTTGCTAAATGTTTTGCCCTACCTGGTAATCAAACCCAGGTCCCTTCGCTTGCGAGGCAAGTGCCCTATTCAATGCACTACAGGATACCACTTTTTCCACACAGAACCTGCTTTAGTCTTTGTGTAGTAGTCCAATCATAAAGCGAGTATCCTCGGCACATGCAGTTTCCGGTGCAGCCATTTGCAGACAAAAATGTGACCAAAAAGACTCCACTTGGGAGAACGGCAGGATTGAGTGACATTCAGTTCCGACTCTTTCAGACATGAAGGGCAACCCCATTTCAGCATCTCTGCCTGACAACTATTTCTAGCAGAAAAGGCCACACTGCAATTATCCCCTACATAAAGATGTTTTTCTAATGTCACCTTAATTCCACATGTTAAATTTCTGTCCTCTCATTACTGACTTGTCAGCTAGTAAAAAATTTAGTTCATCTTAACCCTTCTCAAGTCTCTCTTGATAGCTGAAACTCCTTAGCCCTGGCTGGAGTCAGACTATGCGTGATGAGGAGCACCTGAAGCCGTATACAAAAGAAGGAGCAAGATCGTGACTCAATCAGTTGGACGAGGCATAAAGAGGGAGCCCTTGAAAATCTCCTGCCTGAACCAACTGCTAAAATTGTTGTGGGTCGTAAACTCCACACATGCGCAATTTTCAAACCTCCAGGCTATGTGCTTTTTTCTTTTATTTCCTTCCTCTCTTTTTGCCCCATAAACCCTTTATTTATTAGGTTGGGCTCTCATCTTAACTTAATAAACATTCAAGCTCCACCCTCTCTCACCACACCCCCTGCCCCCACCCCGGGCGCTGTCCCATTCCCCCCCACCATCCTCCACGCCTTCTTTCACCTTTCCACAGCCTTCCCTCCTCTGCTATAACCTGGGCATCCTTCACCAGGCTCATCGGGTCAGTAGAACTGACAACCTTGTGACTCAGAGGTGAGAGCGCTACCACTGAGCCAGGCTGACACACACATGGAGTATGCAATTAGCCAAAGTTTTACTGATGTTAGTTCATAACTATATTAATAGCAAACAATATATACTTATTACTTCAAGGCTACATAAATCATAAAACAGGATACATTTATTACTTTAGGACTACATAAAGTATAACAGTATATATCAACAGTATACATTTGTTACTTCAGGACTACATAAAGCATAATAGTATATATTACTTCAAGACAAAAAGCATAACACAATATATTCTTCTGAAGTAACACAATCGCCTAACGAATTATCAACGTGGTGTGTTAGACCTGCCAGACTTAATTGCTGCTTTCTTGTCGAAGTACAAAGTGGTTGATTTTTCAATACCTATAGTTTTGGAAAACCTCTTATGTTTTTGAACAAAAGACTCAAGTTGTAGAAGCTGTCAGCTGTCATTGGAAGAAATTCCCTTTGCCTCTAAGAAATAACTTGCCAAACTCTCGAACACGTGGGTGGGGTAGCACCAGGTCTTTCTTCTGGCTCTTCCTCCTCCTCCGCCATCTGGACATTGGCACAAGGTGCAGCAATAGAAAATTGGGGAAATATTTGCCAAAAATTGGGAAGGGAATTTGACAAATTTTGCAGAAAATTGTGGAGGTGAGGGGGCTGATTGGTACTAGTGAGAGTCACATTTTACTACTAACCTAGATCTTTTCACTTTATTGATAAAAACTTAAACATGAGGAAATAATCCGGGCACAATTTTCTATTGGCCAAGCCTATTACCAACAAGTCTAGCTTTTCACTTTTGTCCATATTTACAGCCAATAACAAGGTAACCCTGTCCTTTAATACTGTTGCACCTGCCACTGAATCTGTCTTGAATGTCAAGTGTTCCTGCGGGTGTTGTCCTCCAGCAAAGACCTGCCTGATCTGCATTAAACATCCGCTGGGTTGTAATCTTTAAGGAAGTTGGGGAGTACTTCGACGATCCTGCGTTCAGCAAATGAGCATCTTGCCTGTCTGCCTCCTTTTTTTTTGTTGGGACGTCCTCCCGACGTGAAAGGCGCTATACAAATGTAATCTTGTTGTTGTTGTCTCTGTGCTGCTTCTTGAACTGGATGGAATGTTTCTTCTTCCACCTTTCAAGCCACCCGTTTGTTGCTTTGAATTCAATACCTAGTTCTGTGGCGAGGCTGTTTGCTTTTTCCATCAGTAAAGGTCCATTCACGGGAACTTGTTGACTGCGTGCCTGGCTGAACCATCGAAGCAGGGCTGCCTCCACGTCTTCTGCTTTCCGCAATCGGTGTCGTTTTCTCTCTGGGTTGCTGTTGTTCTGCCATTCATCGAGAATTTTCTCCCTGTTTTTTTGAATTCGGGAAATTGCGCTTTGATCAACATCAAACTCAGCTGCAATTGACTTCTGACTCTCTTTATTTTCTAACTTTTTTAAAACTTCGACTCGTTGGGCTAAAGTAAGCGTAGTATACCTCTTCTTAGGTGTCGCCACAACTGCAAGTCAAATTTTTTGTGGTCATTTGGTCAACTCCTCAAGCAATGGAATTATCCAAACTAATTATGCAGGTGCGAATGAAATCAACTGGCTATCTTACATGCAATTAAACAAATTATGCAATTATCCGATATGTATTTGAGCAGACCACAACACATAACAAATAACAAATTTTCAGGACCAAGAAATTGCTATGCAATAAAATGGGGTATGAAATTATCCAATATGCGTTTAAGTGGAGTGCACTGTATACTGTGCTAGCCTGTATCAGTTGGTAGAACTCTCGCTTGCGAGTCAGAAGGTTGTGGGTTCAAGCCCGACATCAGAACTTGAACTCACACAGTCCAGGCTGACACTTTAATGCGATGTTGGGTGGGGGAGTGGGGGGTTGTTGCAGGTGCTATCCTTTGGATGAGATCTTAAACTGAGGTCCTTTCTGCCTGTTCGGATGGATGTTGAATAACCTGCGTCACCTTGCCAAGTTCCCCAAATACAATTGGTCATGTGGGACCCAACGCGCAATTAGGTCACTGTGTTTGCCTACAAACGCAGTCACTCCACACTAAATCATGCGAAACTTAAAAGAACGCCCCCCCCTGATGTGAAAGGTAGCATACAATTTATTATATAAATTGCAAGGATTATTTATATAATATATAGAACAAACCTGTATGTCTCAAGGTGTGTGTGTGTGTATATATATATATAAATAAATAATTTTAAAAAACGCACCTTTTCTACTGTCCACTGGAAATCCTTCGGGCTCCTTCTCATCACTTGATACATCAGCTTCAGTCTCTCGTACATTTTCTATTGGGGGTAAAAAGGCTAATCTAAATATTGTGTTAAAGCAGAAGAGGCATAATGACTCCAATTCCTACAAGTCAATCACCCGAATGGCAGAAACTAATGGTTACTTTGTCGTGTGAACAGTCTGTCTGGGTAACATCTATTTAAGAAAGCTTTGCCAGTGACTATCAGCCATCTCTTCCTCTATCCTCTATTACAATTTCTAATCAAAAGGCTGCATGTAGCTCTAAAAAGGTACCTTGGTGGGACCTCGATTGGGAGAAAATTCCTTCGTCAACTTCACTCAGTTCTGAAGGAATGACACTGGGCCCTGTCACAAAAGCCAGAAAAATAAGTGTTTTTTTTCCCCAATTGCTGTGTACAGTCTTACCCGCTTAGGTCAACATCGTGGAGACTGAGCAGATTTTGTCGACATAAGCAGGTTTCAACATAAATGAACAAACTAATTGTTGTCAGTCACTGACAGCCAAAACGTGTGCTGGGACCTGTAGTCTGGTCCTCAGAGATAAAGGCAGCACTGTATTAGGAATTTATTTAGACTGGTTTCATATTTTTTTCACCCAACACAAACTGCATTATACAGGCTTATTCTCCACCAAACTGGGATTTGCTTGCCACAAATCATTTTTTGATCAAAACCAACTAATAGTCAACTAGGCCCTACTGGCCTCTGCCAATGATAATAATAATCCTTGCATTTGATATACACCTTATGTCATCAGGACGTCTAAAGCGCTTCACCGAATATACTGTAAAGTGAATTGACTGTACATATTGTGGGCCAATACCTCAAGTTGCAATGGATTTGCCCTCCAATTACTCACAAACTATGGAGAAGTTGGAAAACTTATCTAAGATCAGAATTATCTCTCTCATATTAGAACAAACACACCAATAAGCAGGTCAAGTTTACAAAGCTACAAAGATAGCACTCTATGAACAAGTTCTTGGAAGTAACCAGGTTATATATCTTAAGTTTGATTTTGTTACCCACAGGGTGCACTTTCACCTGACTAGGGGAAAAGATGTTTACTAAGCAGCAGATTCTGTGCATTACCTTGAGCACTGTAGCGATAATAATCTGGATCTTCCTTCTCATCTTTGATAATAACCGAGGTTGACTCAACAGATGTGCCTAAAAAATGAAATAGTTTACAGGCAATGAGAGTCAATAAGATACATTACAAATATTTTTCAAAAAAAGTATTACGAATAGGAAAAACTATAATGTTGATAAACTTTTCAAAATTGAATACAACTTATTCCAATGAAAAGGGATTACAGTGGAAACCGCTTACAACAGACGCCAGATAAATTGAACAAAAAGCCTGGCTCCAATTCAATTGTATTCTCACCCACTTTAAATATGCCAGTTAATTCGGACAAAAGTTTGATTAATCCAGACAAAATGCCGCACTGGTAAACACCGCTGTATTATTCCACCAACTGACCAACAACTGAGTTCCTACTTACTGCTAGGTAAACAGAGGCGTGTATGTGTGTGTGTGGAATAAGGAAACTTAGATCCTCTCACTTGCGAGGCGAGCGCTCTAACCATTAAGCTACAGGACTCCACAAATGCCAATATTATCTTAAAGGAAAAACAGGACTTACTCGGTTGGTTATCATCACATGGTTCTGTTTTCACTTGAACTGGAACAAAGCTTTGAAAACAAGAGGAATAAAATATCAGTCTGATAAAATTGCTTTTATTTAAACAAATTAGAGGATATATACATGTACATTAAAGTTTCTGTTAGGTGGGCAAGGCATGAAGTTCAAAACCAAATAATAAACCATATCATTAATTACACTGCATTTCTGACCTTAGTGTAAAATTCGGCTCAATAAATTTAATTTTCCCAGAACACTAACCCTACAATCTTTGCATTCCAGCATCAAGCAATTTCTTAAGAGTCTAGTATTTGACCTCTACCAGTTTCCAGCAATTTATTGCCTGCTACGTAAAGAAATCCTTCCTGTGTCTTGCCTAGACATCTCAAAATGCTTCACAGGATATGCTGTAAAGTGAGTTGACTATTTTGTGGGTAAAATGCAGCAACCAATTGCACACAACAGTGTCCCACAAACAGTCATGGATTGAGTGGCCAAATGATTACGCAAGGATTATTAACATTTGTCAGATCAGAACATTTCCAACTTCCAAAACAGAGGTAGATAGCTTACACAATACAAAATCTGTAGCTTCACCCTAAAAATGCAAACTTCGTAAAATTCAAGGGCTACAGTTCTAGTTCTTAAGATGGAAATCTACTTAAGAAATGTTAAAAGTGTGCATGCCTTAGGAGGAAGTTCAGAACAAGCTTTTACAATTAATAAGTCAAATATTTTACAATTAATAAGTGACAACTCAAACAAGTACAAATATTTTCTCCTCACCTACTAGCAGGTGTCACTTTAATCTCCTGTTCAGTCTTCCGTTTCATTTCCACTGTGAATAAGTATTGATTTGTAAACAATTAGGCTTGATACCACAGAGAGAATACCCGTCAACATTTAAAAGAATAAGAACATAAGAAACAGGAGCAGGAGTAGGCCATTTGGCCCCTCAAGCCTGCCCCGCCATTTAATATCATGGCTGATCTTCTAACCTAATTCTATTTACCCGCTCTATCCCCATATTCCTTAATCCCTTTAGTTTTTAAAAATCTATCGATTTCCTGCAAGTTTTATAATCCTGCAAACTGTAATGGATTTGGGAAAGCATCTTTCTAAACTAATTTCTCATGAATTTTAAAAATCAACAATGAACACATTCCCTACTAATAATTTATGATTAAGATTGCTTTGAACATTAATACATGACCACTGTTATCCTCTAATACAGTTACCAATATGCATTCAAAACCTAAAACAGCTAAAAATCACACAAACACTGACATAAATGTAAAATAAACTAGATATAAATCTCTATATAAAGGGGGTAATGCGGTGCCTTTAAACTACTGGATCCCCTGCTTTTAAGGATATTTGCACCCACAATTCAGGTGAACACACACACACACCACAAAATCACTTGCACATTTTTCACAATAACTTGCATTTATATTGCACCATTCAGGTAGGATGCTATATTAAATGCAAGGAATTATAATTGTCTGCGGAATTTTAAAAAATGCAATTCTTTTTTAATCTGAAATTAATAAAGTTTGTGATCCAAATATTTCTAGACAAACTTGTTCTACGTTATAGGATTTAGTACTAGAGTTTCTTTTAAAAAAATAGACTTAGTCCAAAGCTGAGATCAACTTACCATGTTGAATGATGCTATCCAGAAATGGCCTGCATTATAACAAATTCTGATTACTCAACTTCATCATTCATAACGGAAACGTGAAATGTTGCAACATTCTTTCATTGAAACTTTCAATGGTGCTTGTGTGACATTTTCAATGTCTTTGTACGTGCATTTGCAATTCACATATGCAAAATGTAACTGGAAACTTATTTCTATGATCTCCACTACCTAAACAACAGCATCAAAGTTGCATTGTACTCAGGCCATCTCCTAGTCTCCACTTCCATTATTTGGATGGTGGAAAAAATTGCACACAAAACGTTTGTCATCTCAAAACTTATGCATTAATAATAATGTAAAATAATGTAATGTAAGAGCAGCAGAGGTCAGGAATATGTGCTTGCCTACAGCTTCACACTCTATTTCAAGTCTTCAGGACTTGCAACGTAACTGTAGCTAAACACCGGTGAGCAAACTAGTAACAAATAAACAATCCATTATAAAGATTGTAGTGAATCAGTTTCACAAGATGATCACACATTTGCTACCTGTTCCATGGATAATGTAATGTGATGTGATAATATACAGAGATTACAAAAAGTCAACAGATATAGGATTTCTAAATCCAATACCAAACCAAGCAAATTTATTCTCATTGGCAGCATGTGCATTTCTGTAAGTCTCTAAAAGTTTGTAATTAACTTTAGTGTGCATTTTTATGCCATAAATTCAAACCCAAGCCAAAATTTCACAGAAGCAGTATTGTTGTGTGTTTAATGACATTTTAACAAGTTCAATTCTATAGTTCTAGACATTTAGTTTTTAGAATTTAGGTTTTCATTGGAATTAGTTCCACTAAAATTAATCTTCAGGAGAGAATTTACCTTTTTATCACAAATGTTATCTGTGCCTTTCGCTCCAAAACTTTTTCTAAAGTTGCAATGTCATAATGTGCAGGTTGTGTAAAGCTTACGCCATCAGGCATTCCTTGTATTGCTACAGCTTCCGGATCCCTCGATATCTTTTCATAAGGCACAGGAATAGGAGCACATTTGCCATGAGCTTTACCTGCAATTAAGAGAAATTAGTTAATCCACAGATTCCAAACAAAGCACAGAGGAATCTGAAGATAAGAGCAACAGAATCATAATGCTTCCATGTGCTAAAATGCTGCACTTATTATGCAATTACCAACTTCAATCAGCTGCACAATTAGAGGATGATAAATGAATAGTATTATTTAAGATTTTTAAAAAAAAATCAAAACTGAAATTTAACCATACCATACAACAAACAGAATACATCTTCAACTGATTTTCTGAGTGTTTCGACATCAGAAACTTTATCCACAGGAGTCAGAGACACATAAGGAATACTTTTTACTAGCCGCTTTCCTGCTGCTTTTCGAGTCTCAGCCACACCTAAAATGTAATCAGCAGTAGTTAGGACATAGTATATACGAAGGCACTGCAAACATCAGAAGTAACTACACTATAGTATTAATAAATCAACAAAGATTAAATTCATCTACTGTCTTTACTCAAGTCCAGGTGGAAGACTGTATCACAATGATACGGATGATCTGTTTATTGCCATCTATACAGTTCCTAAGGATAAGAGACAACATGCCATGCTGTACCATTGTAGCCGCTTGATAGTTACTGAGTGAGTGACACCCCTCGCTCCTCCCAAACTGTGGGATACGACTACACGCTCCTACCCCACATCGAGGGCCGAAGGTCACACGCGGGGTGGGCTTATTATGGGACCCGGTTATTAGTCGATTGACAGATCTCTTTTCAGGAGTAATAATCCCTTCGAAAAATAATAATAAGATTTTGGTCACTCAATCCATAACTGCTTGTGGGACACTGCTGTGCACAATTGGCTGCCACATTTCCAACACAGAATACAAAGTCAATTCACTTTACAGAATATCCCGTGAAGTACTTTGAGACGTCTCAAAGATGTGATAAGGTGCTATATCAAATGCAAGGATTATTATTTATTTGTAAGTAACTTACAGTATTTTATAAAGTCTCTCTGAAAATCTTTTCGACTTCCAATGAAGGATCTTCCTCGCTCAGTCCCCACTACAAACACGTCCTTTTCATACACAGCGATACAAGCCACTTCAGCTTTTGACTTGGCAATTTCCTGACACTGAAGAATCACAATTAATGATGAACTTATAGGTCAATGGGAGAACTTGTTACACACCATTCATATATTTATTTAATGCTTGGCATTTAAGGAGGGTAGAAACATGGACCCCACATATTTACACAAAGCACAGATAGAATTCCAACATGAGAAGTTACGATACTCTAGATGTTTATTTACACATCTACAAATGCAGTTCAACAATTTCCCAGCTTTTTAAAAAATATATTTTACTGCATAAATTCTTCTGGTTATGTCACTGATCTATACCTAAAGCATAAATGAAACTCCTAAGTTTCACAATTACAGATACAATTTAGGCAAGTCAAGAAAATCTAGGAAGCAAGTCCACTGTTTTTAATGGGTCTGCACAAGATAAACGTGAAAGTCAATAACCTTTGCACTTTCAAGAATTTTAAATAGTAATTTGGTAAATCCAATCACTTACCATCGACTCCAGCGCAGACATGAGGAATTTTACTGCCAGGAGATTTTCAGCATTGGAGGGCTCCTCCTGTACAGTTGGTGCCACAGACATTCCTACTTGCTCCATGTTTTCTTCGTAGATTATGGGAGTGGAGAAAGGAAAATTAAAATTAATCGAACGCACTCAAGAATTTCACTTGTAGTGGTCCAAAACAAATCTCTTCCTTCTACATGGCCAGGTAACGTCCATTCCCTCTGTTTAACCCTTTTAAACACCTGGTTAATAGCCCTGCACAGTTCTTTCCTGTCTGCTCATAAAAAAGTAAAATATCAAGCACAAATTCTAGAAATCTTAACCTTACCCGTATTTGGTTGTCATTTGTATGGCTGCCAGTCTCTCAGAAACAATTTGTTACACAAACTCTGGTTAACTGTACTCAACATATCAAACAGGGAAGTCAGAAGAAACTTCTTTACCCAGAGAGCAGTGGGAATATGGAACTTGCTACCACAAGGAGTAGTTGAGGCAAATAGCATAGATGCATTTAAGAGGAAGCGAGATAAGTACATGAGTGAGAAAGGAATAGAAGGTTATGCTGATTGGCTTAGTTGAGGAAGGGCAGAAGGAGGCTCGTGTGGAGCATAAGCACCAGCGTGTACCAATTGGGCCGAATGGCCTGTTTCTGTGCTTAATTCTATGTATCTTCTTAATTCTTAACAAAAATTACCCTTTACAAATGGACAATCATCGGCAGTTTAAACTGTGGCATCCATGAGAAACAAATTCTTGCTACAATGACATTTTTCCCCCTACATAATTTTATACTCCGATCCACAATTACAAATTTAATAAACCACTTGTCGCACTGATTCATACAAGGTTAGGCAACTTAATCTTATTAGTCAAAATAGCACCAAGAGAAATCTCAGCACATATTCAGCCTGGTAAATTCAATAGATATTTTCGCTGGCTAGTCAATAATCTTAGTCTATTTTCCCAATAAATATCCTTCCCCTTTGTTCTAAAATAATCACTTGTGAAGATCAACTCAACGTTTTTGATGTGTTATTTACCAGAAGTGAGCTCCAAAACATTACTTATACGAGGTACACCGAAGACTTAATCTCCCTGGTATGTTCCAATGACTGTAAGGTTCAATTTATAATCTGGAGTTCTTCAGGTCAGGTAAAGGAGTATAACGTATAACTGTCCAGATTCTGATTTTTTTTTCATAAAGTGGAGGACAACATTTTTAGATTGCTATCAAATTAGTTGAGTTTCAATGGCCTACACTACTTATGCCACGAGAGATAAGCTGCATGACAAAAAGTTACTAACATTCATCCCAATATTGCCACACAAGATTCAGACTGAAATGGAAACAGTATTTAACAAAATTGCATTTGGTTAAATGGTTAACACAGGAAGTGTTTGTATGATCACTAAACACCATCTTGGAAGCAATTTAACGTATCTACTAGCCTAATATCACAACTTTTGAGTTGGTCTTTTATAGTAAGGGAGCAAACCTTAAAGCGGGACTAGAGATCAATTGGATGTTTCTCGCAATTATTAAGTGGTGCAAATTATCTTGTTTTAAAATTAGGACAATCAACAGTTACACCTTAAAAAAAACTAATGATTAGTTTTTAATCTCGAGTCAAATACCTTTGAAACCAACACATCAATCTTTGGAAAAATTGGCTCATTCAAGATTGCTTCATTCAAATACTAGCTGAAAATGTATCAGTCACTCAAATTAATACATTTCAAATGTATGCATCAAACGATATAACAACTCAGTTTCCTCTTCTGTATCCTCACATCATTAGATGCTGTATCAAACTGCTCAAGATTGCTACTCCATTGCATTACGATTACAATAGGCATGCACACCTTATAAAAGATCAAAACTACTCCAATCCATGTAAGAAACAGGACAACCTAGATCAGGGTGGTCTAAACCTTTGGCAGCTGAGGCCTGGAAGCCCTATTTGAGAAACGTCCGCAGGCTACATAACCAATATTTTTTTGTTTCCCTTCCAGAAACATAACATTTAAGTATAGAAAATCAAACACAAACCAAACCTTAAAACTACTCACAGAGAAACACATCACATCTTGTAGATTTTACAAAGGCAATATAAATACAGCTATAAAAGCTGCATTGAGAGGAGTGTTTATCAACACTGAAAATAGACTCCATGTAAACGGCTGAGTGAAAAAGCAGAAAGATCCTTGACCTTGGTGCACACAAGAAAATGTTATTATAGCTCTAGTTCTGAAGCCAGTTCAGTAGTGAAGGAATTAATTTTAAAGTATTAATATGTTTCAGAGCACTTCATCTTCTTAAAAGAATGAAAAGGTCAAAAGGGACTTACGCTATCTAAATTCTTAGCCCTTCCTTTGCCCAACTATTCGGATTTTCCATACTCTTCTCTTCACCTTTCCTCCCCACTCCAACCTAGATTTCAAGTCTCACCTTCTATCATAAAAAATGCTTGTCATAGAAAGTCTGTTACTAATCCATTTCCCCAGTTTGAAATATAAAATATATGAAACTGCATCCAGCCTTATTTTACAATAGAGAATTTAATAAATACAGTATTTTACAATTGAGAAGACAATAAATAGACTACCAACATTTAATGTGTTTGCAGATTCACGTACAGATATGCACTCAATGAAGACACTAGAAAGAAAAGCACTAGAATTATTTTCTGATGACATGGTTATAAGGTTTATCTCACACTGGCCACTAAAAAAAGGACAACACCACTGAAAAATAAACAAACCATTTTTCCACATCGTAATACTGTTCAGCCATTTTCTCCCTGAAGTCAATGAATCCCAAGCCATATTAATCCTAAACTTCTGAAAGTGGGTCAAGCAATAGCACTACTGGGCCTCATGGGATACTAAAAAAAACTAATATCTGAAACTTAAGAGCACAAATAGGCCATAAGGCCCGACATGCTTGTTCTGCCATTTTCTTCAGCAACTTGGGACGTCCTCCTGACATGAAAGGCGTTACACAAATATAATTTTGTTGTTTTTTAAAATAATGGCAGATCTTTTAATGCTGTCTGCTCTGCCACTTCTGCCACTCTGCCCCCACCCTCTGGAACTCCATCTCGCAGTCCCTCCGCCTCGCCCCCTCCCTTGCCACCTTCAAGACCCATCTCAAGACCCTTCTCTTCGACCGTGCTTTCTATCTCCCTGCTCCCACCCCTGCCCTCCACCCTCCCCCACCCTGACACCCAGCTTGGGTCCAAAACTCTGTTTGTCCAGCACCTTAGGACGTCCTCCCGACGTGAAAGGCGCTTTACAAATTTAATTTTGTTGTAACCTTCTATATAACCTTCCTTAGACTGGCCAACCAACACACAATAACCAAATGAGACCAATGTGATATACAATTCCAGTAGCTTTTCATAACTATTATATTGCATTTTCCTGGTTATAAAGTTCAGCATTGACTTGCGTTGTGAATTAGCTTTTAACAGCTCACTTGAACTCTTCAAATACCCGTTTCGTCCATCTTTTCCCCTAACCACTATTCTTGAGTCCAAAGTGCACCATATTTTCCTATGTTGAACTCCATCTGCCATAGTAACTTACACTTGCTTAGTGTAATTGCTCTTTGTGATGTACACCGACTTCTGGCTTAGTGTCATATACTCCCCTCGTTGCTATACATTCATTTACAAGCAAGAAGCGTTGGGAATCTACAACTAATCTATCTATTTATTAATTGATCATATCTATGCCCCAAGATTTCCCATGATTCCATTAGCTTTAATGTTAGCTACTAATATTCTTATCAAATGCTTTCTGAAAATGCAAGGAGATGTGAAATAAAGTAAGATGCAATAATTATATCAAATGCAAACGGGTTGACAGGTCTGCAACTAAAGAGAGAGTAAGCTCTCACCCCAATTTGGCACATGTTATACGATACATACCCCAAAGACAAATTATGACTGAAAAAATCAACTCAAATCCTGTAATACAACTAGTGGATTTCATTCATCCTTAAGCTGACAGCAGGAATAATTCAAGAAAGAAGTCACATTCACATATATTTTCAGGCTGAAACAAACAAATACAGTAACTTTCCCTTGCTTTCTATCCCCAACAACAACAACAACAAATTGTTTCCTACCCCAGATTCCAAAAATAAATTTCTGGATTTGGCATAAATCAATCAAGGAAATTTATACTGTTGGCCCACCATAAAGGTTTGGCCGCTACCGATTTACACTAGTGCGAGAGATGAGCGCAAGAACATGATAGTGACTGCTTCAGCCTAAGGAAAATTAAATGAACATACCTCAGAGCTAAGGCAGAACTAATTTCATTCATTACCAGATTTATCATGGTTGCAATGCAATTTTTTTTAAAAATCAGGCTAGTATGAAAAACTGCAACTGATCTTAACATTTCAATCATGAAACATTGCGACATTCACCAACAGATAATTTAATACAATTTGGCAAACATATTGACCTGCGTAGCCCTTCATTCAAACCTTCATAAGAAAGAGGAGAAATAGATAGCTTTCAGTTAGAATTTTCTAGACCCCAACTGCATGTAAACTTCTTCCAAGCTGAAGAAAAGGTTTTAGTCAGGCTGTAGTCATAAAGCATCACATGATATTAAAATACCCATTTTATTACCTTCAACAAAGGGACAATTGTGCTACACTCCCCCCTACACATATATAGATAGCACACACCTACTTTGCTATAGGCACTGGGTCATTAAAATTGTATAAATTGCAGTTGTAAACTAATCACTTCTACAAAACTCTGAGCAAGCAACTGATGTCTATTTTCCCACAGTTTTGACAACTATAAAACAGTCGATTTCATGACTTCCATCTTTCAAAATCTGGATTCTTTTGTAACTGGATGTGACCCAATGCCACAAATCTCACCACCAACAGCATTCTTTCCCATTACAATGCAACAACAACTTGCATTTATATAGCATCCCTCAAGCAGGGTAGCATCCCAGAGCGCTTCACAGTCGCAGAGCACGACGCCAAGCTGGGGGGGGAGGCGGGGGGGTCGCAGACTGTAGGCACAGTCGAAAAGGAAGGTAAAGTCAAAATTCACCAGATTTCATACACAACTGTTACATCAAAACTCGATTTCCTTTCAAAGCTGGGCATAATAATAATAATAATGAATAGATAGGACCAAGAAATGCCAACCATGGCACTACATATTTCTCGTGAAGACACGAGCTGTAAGAGTGTTCCATCACAATTCACGTAATTTCATACAACTTTGCTCTGGAAACAATTTTTTCCCTGAATTAATTAAACAGATATCCGATGATTAAAGAGCAAACACAATCAATTAACATAATTTGCATTTCAGTTTAGTCATCGGGATACAACAATTTTGAATGAAATTAACATAATATTCAAGGCTAAATCACCATACTGGTCCTACTAATTTCACCAACACCCAAATTTACTGAGCAAAGTATAGTTCAGTGATGTATGATGTACGTCACAAAACATAATCTCTTGTAAGGCATCATCACTTGTCGATGGAACTGGTATTTGCCTTTTTTAAAGATCTACTTCTGCTAATGGAATGCAGTGACTCTTATACAGTCCACAATCTTTAGCAAGCAATTAACTTAAAGCATTAATCAGCACAAATCGTTCACAGCCCATTCTTAAAAGGGAACTCAAACAGTCTGATGAGACAAAATCATTGATCAAGCTGGGTAAAATAGCCAAAATAACGAGCTATTGAGATTAACAATAATTAACAATATTAACAATAAAGCCACAATACACTAATCAATCTCTTCCACTTGTTGGATAAACATAAATCTTGAGAACCAACATCCATGTGCTTTTTGCTCTTATTCAGAAGGCTTACCTTTTTTAAAAGAAGCCTCCTACTACTCTGTCCTGGCTGTTTGGAAGATCTTCTCCTCCCTTAGCAGGTCTGTGAACAAAAAAAGGGCAGGTATATTCACACGCTGACAAAATAAATAATCCTCACTACAATTGCACTCATAATCATATGACCAATACTAGACTTAACTGATCTACCTAATCTCTGAAATGCTAATTACATGATAGTGGCAAACAAAACTCTTAAATCAATATTATCTACACAAAAATCAGTAGGACTTCTTCAGCAATATTTAAATAGCCAATGTAAAAATTCACACAAATTTTAAAATAATACTTTTATCAATAATATCCCTAACAATTGTCAAAATAATACTACTGTGGAAAATGTCTCTTGAACCAGAGAGACTTCTCTATTTTCCACATCTACTTTACGTTTCTTACCAAGACTCATAGTTCTGTAGTTTTAGAATTGCAAAATATGTAACAATACCTTTTTAAAATACTCTTTTCTGATGATTCTTCATGGCATCTCTCACAAGCTTGTATGAGGCAACATGGAGAGTGACGGGTAGAGGGCCGGAGTGGGAGGTATAAGTCATACTTTATTATTTTACCTCTTGCTCCTCCCCTCTTCCCACATTCTTCAAACTGCCTCATACGAGGCAACAAAATTTAAATTTCCTCAACTGTAGTTGTTCTAATATCATCCTATCCAAATACTAAGTTCAAGTTGAAGGCCATTGAAAACACAAGTTATAAAACTTCCTAGTATTCAACGACTGAAGGACAAAAAAAATTGAAACCGGTTTATCAGACCAACGAAGTGTCAAACCTATGCACCATTTGTTGTGGGAAATTAAAAATTGTGGAACACTGCTGTGTACAATTGGTTGCCGCGTCTCACTACAAAGTATACAGTTCATTCACTTTACAGTATACTCTGAATATTAACAATATTAACAATAAAGCCACAATACACTAATCAATCTCTTCCACTTGTTGGATAAACATAAATCTTGAGAACCAACATCCATGTGTTTTTTGCTCTTATTCAGAAGGCTTACCTTTTTTAAAAGAAGCCTCCTGACCCAACTGTCCAGCGCCTTGGGACGTCCTCCCGACGTGAAAGGCGCTCTATAAATGGAATCTTGTTGTTGTTGAAGCAGTTTGAGATGTCTCAACGATGTGATATTATGGCGCTATACCAAACGTAAGGATTATTATTTGCAGACAGGGCTGTGTGAACAATATATTCTTCACTATCAAAGTAAGTTGACCCATGTGCTACAAGTGTATGGCCGCTGAAGCCACTGTAGACAAATATCTACGAGATATTTGTCATAACATACAAAATAATAATACTAATCGTTGCATTTGATACAGCGCCTTATCACGTATTCAAGGCATTTCAAAGCGCTTCACCAAAATATACTGTAAAGTGAATTGACTATATTTTTGTGGGCAAAACTTGGCAGCCAATTGCACACAACAGTGTCCCACAAACAGTCGTGGATTGAGTGACCAACTTATTTATTTATTTGAAGGAAGTATTACCCCTGCTAGGTAAGCAGAAGCATGTGGAGTAAGGAAACTTTCCCAACTTTTTGCCCTGCTGAAAATCGAACCCAGGTCTCTTACTTGCCTCGAGTGCTAACTACTGAGCTGCAGGACTCGAAAAATTGGGAGTATACAGGAAATGCAGACATTCTGCACTCAAGTATAACTAATTATGCTCAATTAAGAGTTTGAGCAATAGCAGCATGAATTATTTTTGGGCTTCAAATAAAATGGTTTAACTTCCCAATTAAACTTGCATAGCCATCACCAAATTATCCCCCAAATTTAGGGTTACTGTGTCCGCACTTCAATGAAACGTGAGCCCCATGGCGTTATTTTTCCTGGTATCCTGTTTTAGATTCCATAATCATTTAAAATAATCCCCAAATTAAAAAAAAATTGGCTGCTCTTATTTCATCTGGTGCAGATTTGTTGCCGAATTTGCCCATACAACAGCAGCTACATAGCGCCCTTCACGCGGGGCAGTGTCTCGGAGTGCTTATGTAACAATATTCCCTTCATTTTAAATTTTATTTGGCAAAAAAAAGTATTTCAAGATGTTTATTGCACACAAGTACAAGTTGTTGCCTCAGTCACCTTCGTGCCCGCAAACGCTGTAATGTGTTATCGGCTTTTGTTTCTTCAAAAATAACCCTCACTCTGAACCTGTACAGAAAAATACCCTTTGCTCTTCCTTAAAACACAATGCCCAACGACCTCTTCGGATTAAAGGAAGAGACTGGATAGCGTTGTCGTTTCAAAAGCAGCCATTTGTAACTGGTGCAGAGGATGCAGGCAATTCATTCGTCTTATTCCACGAATAGAATTCACCTGAAGCCTTGGCAGGAACGTGCTAGATTTGCCCTTTTTTTTTAATAAAGAAAAAAAAAGAAAAATCCCCTCCCATTGTCCAGTCGTCGGTTAACAGTCCAAATCCACCATTTAAATCGAAGCCCTGAGCCCGAACACTGGAGCTTCTCCTTTTGACAATGGGAAATGCACACCGACGAGACGAGGATAAAAAAAACTCAAAACCTCGCGTCCCTTCCCCCCCACCACCCACCCACCCACGAAAAAAAAAGCAGCAGCTCTCAAGACAGGGCCCCGCGTCCCCTCATGACCGAGGGTGACCAGCGGAGGTGGAACAATCACTACAGATATCAGGACCCATGTTTGTTTGTTTGTTTGTTTTTTCGCTGCCAGTGGAGTCCAATGGAGGCGTGTGAACCTCACTGCATTTTTCCTCCCCTTCCTCCTCCTCCTCCTCTCCCCCTCCTCCTCCCTCCCTCCCCTCTCGCCTGCAGTTGCCCTACGACAATGAACGAAAAAAAAACAGGTTCGGGTTGAGATCACCGCTCCTTTCGGCCATCTTTTCGGAGCCTGTGGACGGGATTCCTTTCCATGGCTCCTTTTTGCAGGGATCCGGCTTTCCCTCAGCCTAACTTGACTACATGCCCTCGTCACCGCCCCCCGACAGTCCCGCCCACCGGGCACGCCATTGGCTAGAGCGGGCCGAGGCGCGGGCGCCGATTGGCCGCGGCCCCCCGTCAGTCACTCGCCGCCAACCCTCAGCAAGTTAGGGTGTACCAACCCCCCCCCGCCGCCGCCGCCGCACACATACACACACACACACCACGAAACCCGCACCTCCGCCGTTTTAACGGACTCCCAAAACAACGGCGACGGAAGAGCCGCCGCCGCTCGCGCTCTCTCTCTCTCACACGCACACACACACACACAAGAGGAACCCGCGAGCATCGACCACTTACTTCTATTTCCCCCCCTCAGACCAGACCAGACCAGATCACCTCAGATCAGTGAGAGAGAGAGAGAGAGGGGAAAAAAAATCAACCCCCACCACCCGCTCAAAAAAAAAAACAACCTCTTTAAAAGGCGCGACGAAGGAAGGAAAGGACAGGAATGGCTGAGGCGCACAGCACCAGAGGGTTACCAGCGGCGGCGGCGGCGGCGGACAACACCGACCCCACACGCTCACTCACTCACTGACTGGCGCGCGCGTATCCCGCCGCCGGCCCCACACAAAATAAACCCCGCGCGGGATTACAATCCGACCGACGGCTCCGCTCGGCTCTCCCCTCCCCCTCTCCCCCCTCTCTCCCCCCCCCCACCGGAATCCCGGCTTCTCTAACGCCTGGTAATACGCGCGAGCGACAGACGGACACGCGCGCGCCCGCCCACCGGCGTTGGACGGGTTAAAATAATCGCCGTGAGTGAGTGAAGTGAAATGGTTAAACGAAACAGGTGGGGAGAGGGGGGGGGGGGGGGGCGGTGTATCCGTGCGCCAACCGCAGTCAGTCGGTCACTGCGCTCGGTCCCTCCCGACCGTCCAACCGACCACAATTAATCAATTAAATACACACACACTCGTGTGTATATATATATCTATATCTGTTTGTGAATAAAAGCGGCTTTGACGCCACAGCCGCAGCGCTGGTGCTTTTTTTTAAAAAAAAACGCAAAGCGAGACGGCGGCGACGACGACGACGACAGCGCCGCCGCAGCAACAACATCGCGTCTCTTCACGACACGAGGGGAGGGAGGGAGAAGCGTCCAGGAGCGCTTCGGCGTCCAACACACGCGTACACACACACGCGCGCGATACTCGGGTCTCCAAACCAATCGCGAGCCCTCCCCCCCACACTAACTCCCCCCCCACTCCCCCCTCCCAGAGCCGCCGGTGGTTGTGTTTTCCTTCTGGGAAGAGACAGACGGAGACAAAGGGGGAAGCGGGAGGCGGAGGGGGAGCAGAGCAGCAAATACACTCACAGCAAAGCGGCGGCGGCGGCCACAACACGACCCCCCGCCCGCAGCTCCGGTCCGTGTGTCTCCCTCACTCTGTGTGTGTGTGTGTGTGTCGGGGATGGATGGTCGGAGCGGAGCGGTACGGAACGGACGGATGGAAAATTCCAGAAAGCGGGGACGGGAGGGGAGTGACCGACTGGGATTTGTTGTCAGAAACAACAGCAGCCGCTGGTGGGGTGGGGGGGGGGGGGGGAGAGCTCTTAATTTCTTTCCAAAAAACCCTTTTTTTTTCTCTCCCCCTTTCAAATCATCGATAATAACCGTCCGTTCTGCTAAAACGAAATGTGACTTTTTCCTTCACTTTTTTTCCCCCCTCTTCCTCTTTCCCTCTCTCCTCCTCCTCCCCCCTCCCCCCCCCCCGCAGACGGCTCCGGCTTGCGCTCGGGCGGCTGTCAGTGCGCACGCGCGCGGCTCCCGGGGCACGCCGGGAATTGTAGTTTCTGGGCGGGTCGCCACTACGACCACTGCTGCTGCGTGATATCGCTATGCAACAACAACAACCACCACCACAAAATGACATTTATTTTCTCTCTCCTTTCACGTCAGGAGGGCGTCCCGAGGCGCTGGGCGGTCGGTGTCTCGGACCCGAGCTGGGGTTCGGGATGGGGGAGGGTGGAGGGCGAAGGTAGTTGGGTGGGGGTGAGGGGGTACGGTCGAAGAGAATGGGGCTTGGGACGGGGTGAGGGCGGAGTGGCTGAAGGTCCGCGGGCGAGGCCGGAGCGGGCAGGATGGTAGCGGGTGAGCGAGGCCACGGAGGGCTTTCAAGGTGGAAGACCAGGATCTTGAACTGTCCTCCATCCTCTGTGTGATGGGGGGACAGTGGAGTCGGGGGAGGATGGGGGTGATGGGGTCGCGGAGCCCGGTGCGGGAGAGGACCCGGGCTGCAGAGATCTGGATGATCTGCAGCCTGTGGAGGGAGGAGTCGGGGAGGCCGACGAGCAGGGAGTTTGCACGGTCGAGCCTCGATGTTACGAGTACGTGTATCAGGCTTTCGGCCGCCGGCTGTGAGTCAGCGGCGGAGTCTGGCAATGTTGCGGAGGTGGGGGAAGACCAGAGCGAGTCATGGCATGGATGTGGGATAGAAAGGATAGTCGAGTCAAACAAAACACCAAGACTGGCTTCGTAAGGACTCCATAGACAATTGGCAAAATAAAAATAGAAGTGGCTGAGAACACTCAGCACTATCTTTCCAATTGTAGTTCCTCCTTTCGATGCGTGTTTGCCACCACGAAAGCACTGCAACTCCCAGCGGGTGCCGTGGGTGGCACTGCTTAATAAGATAATAATCCTTGCATTTTATATAACGCCTTATCTCATCTTTGAGACGTCTCGAAGAGCTTCGCAGAATATGCTGTAGAGTCGAGTGACTGTATATTGTGTGGTTATATATATATATATATATATAAAATGTACAAACAACAAAGCCGGCTGAGCGGAGGGAGCGAGCGGGCGGGCTGGGAGGGGGTTAGGAGGTTAACATAAACGTTATGTGTTTTAGTGCAAGGCAGCACATTTATTTAAAGGCCTTGATCACACGATACAGTGTAAAAACCAGGACAGGTTCCGAAGGAAATGTTACAGTTCATACTATACAGTTATGGTACATAGTTACAAACACGTCGTCGATCAGGTTCGTTACTGTGTGCGTGTGTGTGTGTGTGTGTGTTGGGGTGGCGGGTGACGGGGTGATTGATGCTTGCTAGTAGTTTACAGGACCTTGGATTTGCATGTTAACTGCCCCATAGTCTACCAGGTACATTGGCCATTGCTGCAAAAAGAGGAGGAAAAGGCTATTAATGTTGCATCAAGCCATCGGAGATAATAATAATATTAATACTAATGGTTGCATTGATGCAGCGCCTTAGCTAAACCAGGAGCAAAGTGAATCAAAAGGAAGACAATACCACAAGAGAGACCGGGTTGGGAGGGGCACCCGGTTCCACGCCGGAGGAGGACGGGACAATGTTCCCCTCGGACACTCTTCTCCGTTTCCTTCTGTGGGCTGTGTCTTGTTTGGACGCTATTTATAAAAAAAATAATTTGAGTTACAGATCTATCGCCTGAGGTCCCTGAACGTAGAACGGTCGCAGCACAGAAACAAGACAGCCATGAGGAATGGGAGAACTCTGTGAGGGCGAATGAACAGGAGATACAAAATCATCAGATGATTACGTACAGGAGATAACAAGGATGATCCCCAATGGAAGATAAACATATGGAACAGGCTCCGCAGTGAGACAGACGGTGGAAGCAGAGAGTGTCACTTGTTTCAAGAACAAATCAGATAAGATTCCTGCTAGAAAATAATATCTGGGGATACAGGATATAGTTTGGGACACCACGTGTCAAGCGACTGCCAGGCTGGTGGAAAGCGAGCTCGATGGACCCCGAGAAAAAACAAATTAGGTGTAAAAATATCATGTTCCCCACTTTATTATTCAGCCTCGTTGGTCCTGGTTTAGTCTCTGGCCCAGGCTGACACTTGCCGCTCCAGGTTCATTTCATTTTCTCACCTGATTTCGACGCCTCGTTACAAATCTCCGCAAAGGGCCTGGAAAACATTATGCGAAAAAATCAGGTTATTATAATATTAATAATAATAATCCTTGCATTTCATACAGCGCCCTATCAGGTCATCCAACCCCGCACTTACTGCAACTGACTTTTGATGATCATCCTGATCCGGTCTCTGGCTTTGAGGATCTTCTCCAATCTGCTGAGATCGTACGTAGTTGGGTTCCTGAAGAGGATCTCGTCTGGGAGCCCGGTCACCTCGATCGCCTCTGGGTTATCTCGGATCAACTTGTAGGGCACAAGGACAGGGCGGTTCAGTCCCAGAGCTTCTCCTGAATGACAACAAAAGTGTTGTTTTGCGGTTAATGGTGTCAACCAAATCAAGCCACGCCTGAGCCTGGTGCGGTCAGCAGTACTCTCACCTCTGAGTCAGAAAGTTGTGGGTTCAAGTCCCACCACAACACCACCACCACCTTACATTTACACAGTGCCCCTTTCACGTCGGGAGGACGTCCCAAGCCGCTGGACAGTCAGGGATTTGGACCCGAGCTGGGGGTTGGGATCAGGAGGGATGGAGCGCAGGGAGGGTGGGGGGTAGGAGGGTGGCCAAAGGCGCGATTGAAAAGGAGGATCTTGAGATGGGCCTTGAAGGCGGAAAGGGAGGAAGCATGCAAGGATTATTCTTCTTCTTCTTCTATGACTTAACGTCTTCAAGCTGAAATATTAATCATGGGGCAGAAAAAGATTTTTTTTTCCCGGTCTCAGCTAATGAAACTTACCGTACTTTTCATTGAATAATTCCTTCACTTGTTCCCTGAGGATTACTTTCTCTCCCAGCCGGTTTGCCTCTTCATCCTCTAAATCGTGGAGAGAGAGAGAGAGAGAGAAACCATTTGAGAACAAAAAAAATCCACTAATTTAAAAAAATGCGGTCACTCAACCTATGTGGGGATGCTGCTGCCCACAAAATACACAGTCACTCCACTTCACAGTATACCTTGTGAAGCGCTTTGAGACTTCTAGAAGACGTGATAAGTGCTGTATTAAATGCAATGTTATTAATATTATTATTAAGAGAAGTAAACTTGTGATTATTCAAAGCACAGCTGTGCAACTACAAAGCTTACCCTGCAAAGCTGCGTATGCCTTTTCCAGTGATGTTATTCGTCTTGGCGCTGTGTAGTGGAGACACCGGGAGAGAGAATCAGTTAGGGGTTAGCAATAATAAACCCTATTGCACTCAGCACAGTCTAAGACATACGACAACAATTCGCCTTAGTGTCGCTTACAAAACCACACAGTCACTTTCCGGCAAATTCTGTGAAGCATTTTAAAAGACGGGTTTCTGCGTCACAGAGAGCTGAGATTAAAAACTTTCTTACCGGGTTTCGGGATGAGTCCTTGGAAAGGCCTATAAAAAAATAAATAACATTTGGGAAGATTGCGATTTGTTTAAGGAATTAATTTGCACATCAGACTCCAGAGGTCCCCAAACTGCGCCTCGTCTCGGCCCGGGACTCCGTTCTGGCTTAAAAGTTGCCGGGGGGTTACCTGGTTATGGTGAATTTGATCTTGTCGGCCACGGCGAGGATCCTCTCCAGGTTCTGGGAGCCGAACGTGCAGGGTTTACGGAAGGGAATGCCGGGCGGGAGCCCCTCGATGATGACCGAGCCTGGGTTACTTTTGATCCGTTTATACGGCACCTGAACCGGGTACTTGATACCCAAAGCTTCACCTGTGAGTGAGAGAGAGAAGCCACAGGCGATAACATCAGCCGCCATCCAGTTTGTGCAGTGTGACGACTCACAATAATAATGATAATAATAATCCTTGCACTGACCGTATTTACGGTTGAACAGGTCCTGGACCTGCTCTCTCAGGTTGTTAGCGATGTCCACTCTCGTCAGCTTTGCATCAAATGTTTCTACAAAACAGAGAAGATCGGTGAAGAGAAATAGCAACAACTTACCTTGATACAAAGCCTGTCACATAGGCCAACTGTCAGAAAGTGCTTCAATACCAACAACAAATGACATTTACACAGCGCCTTTCACATCAGGGGAAGGTCCCCAGGCACTGGACAGTCAGGGATTTGGACCCCAACTGGGGTTGGGATCAGGAGGGGTGGAGGGCAGGGAGGGTGGATGAAGGTGCAGTCGAAGAGAAGGTCTTGAGACGGGCTATGAAGGCAGCGAGGGAGGGGACGAGATAGAACAGAGAAGATAGGGAGTCTGAGCCCCAAACCCTGAGTGGTGAGGATCTATGATCTATGTAGTGGAGTATAAGAGGGGAATCAGTATGATCTGTGGAATGGATGGCACTTAAATCAAAGGTCTGGATTGTGAGAGGCTCAAAGCCAGGTGTGATTTGTAGGTTTGGTCAGACGGAGCGATGGCTCACACTTACTTACCTGGGATGGTGACCTCAATGCTGTTCAGGGAATTGTTGGATTTAATTCCATCGGAATTACACAGCGGTTTCACTTCAGCTTTGTCAGCTTTGTCTATAACACAGACAGCAGTGTTTGTAATGTAAGGTTCTGACATTGGGTCTTCACAGCAGCTCAACACACACACACACACACACAGACTCCCATTGATCACACTGACCTGAGCAGCTCTGCCTATTCCCTTGTGTCGTTTCCTCTCTCACACACTCACGTTCCTTCTTTGGTACAGTCACTGCTGGGATGCAACCAAATGTGTAAAAGGGATGATTAAAAAAGGGATATTAAACACCAACGTCCCACAAACAGCCACAAAGTGAATGACCAGTTTTATATTTGGGGGGGGATTGTTGGCCAGGACACTGGGGGTGGGTTGGAGAGAGAGAGAAACTCCGTTCTCTTTTCAAATAGTGACACAGGAGTTGTAACGTCCGCCTGAACACACCTGAACAGGCACAAACGGGACCTCAAGTTTAACGTCTCATCCGAAAGGACGGCGCCTCCGACAATGCAGAGCTCCCCAGCACTACAGTGGATTATTATTACTATAATAATAATAATAAACATGTGAGACAAGGAAGGCCCCGCTGCCTGGTACGGCCCCTGGTCTGCACGGAGTGTGAGTTACCTGACAATGACAGTTAGCGCCCGGCACCTTGGGAGGTCCTCTCGACGTGAAAGGCACCGACCAAACCGACGTACTGTTGTATTGTAATAGACCCACAATAATTGGCCTGAGGTCCGGCAGTCCAGGTCCTGCTCCCCATCGCCGCCCAGTGGCCACTTCTGAAAAGTGCGGGCGGTGGTGAACCCGGGAGGAAACCAGGACTGGGCAGTCACCGCGATCAGCCGAAGACCCTCAGGCGAGGCTCAGCACCTCGGCCTCAGCGCTGCTGTACCACAGCTACATGGCCGGAGTCCTTACCTGCTGCGCTCGTCCTCTCTTTACTGGATTCTGTGTCTTCCTCGAGCAGAAGTTCCGGCCTGTAAGAGCAACGTTGGCAATCAAACACATCTCAAGACGATCCATCTGACCCGAGAGACGCCATCTTAAGTCACATAGCTTGCTATTGGCAAGCTTTCCCGCTGCTTGTCCAGCTGGGACCACCCTACCCATTAGGGCTTTGGCTGCAGGGTTAACAGGAGCAGAGGGCGAGGATTCTCTGCCCCCAGTGACTGTTCTGCCCTTCCAGGTCCTGCCAATGAGCCGGGCTGGGCTGTAATCAGCAGTGCCCTAAGGTCCTGTGGACGTGTCCGGCTCAGGAACGGGACCACTGAGACCACCCAATTCTCCACCTGTTCAGGAATCACCTGATAGACTGTATGGTCTACTCTGGGGATATATTACTGCTTCTAATCTCCAGTCTTGTTAGAGGTCTGAATGTTTTTGTATTGAAAGGTTTCTTACTTACCTTTTGATGACAAACTGAATGTTGTCGCTTTCTGCTAAAATTTTTTGCAGTTTGGAAGTTCCGAGGCAACTGGGTCTCCTGAATGGGATGCCATCTGGCAAGCCATCCACACAGAGATCCTCGGGATGGGACTGGAATTTCAGGTACGGGACCTTGACTGGATCTGGGAATCCCATGGCTTCACCTGGAATGCAGGTGAGACAAGTCAGGTTACAGGTAATAACAATAATAATCCTTAAATGTGATATAGCGCCTCATCAAGTCAACGAGACGTCTAAAAGCGCTTCACAGAATATACCGCACCACGTCACGTCCAACTCACCGTACTTCCTGCTGAAGAGATTCTCCACCTGTTTCCTCAGTTGCACAATCTTTTCGTTCCAGTCTTCTGCGGGGAAGCAATAATAATAATAATCCTTGCATTCGATACAGCGTCTCATCAAGTCTTCAAGACGTCTCAAAGCGCTTCACAGAATAGACTGTAAAGTGAATTGACTATATTTGTGGGCGAAACGCGGCAGCCAATTGCGCACAGCAGCGTCCCACAAACAGTCGTGGATTGAAGTGACCAATTTATTATCATTATTTTTTTTGAAGGGATTATTACCCCCGGAAAAGCGATCCGCCAAACGAGGCAGTCAGCAAGGATCAGGTTCCCTGAGAGATGTTTGAGGACAAGCCCCAGCACCCAGGAACATCTCACCAACAGGAAACCCTTAAGCTAACAACTTTTGTCCGACACATATGGAAACCCATCACCAAACAGCCTGGCGTATCCCAATTTGGTGGGGAGGAGGAAGAGCCCCTCACTTTACCCCAATGAACAGAAGCGTCACAAGACACTCACCTTCCACTGTCATTTGCAGATCTTCGTGGCTGGAGACGTCATCCTGTGCGAGATCTGAGAGGATTAATTAATTAATAATAATATTCCTTGCATTTGATATAGCTCCTTATCACGTTTCATACGGCTTCATAGAATATACCGTAAAGTGAATTGCCTGTACATTTTGTGGGTGAAACGCGGCAGCCAATTGCGCACAGAGGCGTCCCCACAAACAGTTGCGGATTAAGTGACTCTTAATTTTTTTGTATGAATTGTAATTATATTCTGAAGTAATTATTACCCCCAGAAAAGCGACCCGCTAATCAACTAACAACCGGGTTCCTACTTACTGCTCGGTAAACAGAAGCGTGTGTGTGGAGTGAGGAAACTTGCCTAAGGATTTGCCTTGCCGGGAATCGAACCCAGGTCCTCTCGCTTGCGAGGCAAGTGCTCTAACCACTGAGCTCAGGATTCCACCAGTGTTAAGACGTTTTCTCGGTGGAGAATTCAGGCACAGAGAGAGGGAGAGAGAGAGGGGGTACCTGAGTGGGTGTCTAGTAGCAGGTCAGGTTCCTCGGATGTTGATTTATCAGACAGACTCTCACTGAGATCCTCTGAGCCTGCGCTTGGATCTATGGAGAGAAGCCGAGATAATATTAATAATAATAGTAATACTCTTTGCATTTATTTAATATAGCGCCTTATCATGTCGTCGAGACGTCTCAAAGTGTTTCCGAGGAAGAGGCTGGGCTGTACCTTGGACAGTGATCTGGATGATTTCCGCATCCTCTGGTTCTGTTTTCACTCGTTTCATCGACAAGAGATCGAGTGATGGACCTGTTCGTGGATTGGGAAGAAGGAAAGATCATCGAGAGGCTGTACATCTCTGCCCCGCCCTCTGCTGGATCCCGCCCCTACCCCAGTCTGTGCCCCGCCCTGGCCCACAGCCCCGCCTCTGACCCGTGTCCTCGGCCCCATCCCCACTCTGCCCGATGCCCCGCCCTACTTTGTGCCACGCTCCTGCCCTCTACTGTGCCCATGCCCCTGCCCTCTCTGTGCCCACACTCATGCCCACCCATATAGCTCCTCCCTACCCTCTCACTCACCTGGTTCACTTTCTTTCACCTTCACAGACCTGTTGAGAGGAAAAAAAAACAGTCACACCATAAGCAGCAGCAACACACACACACACACACACACACAGGTTCCTTGTACCAGCTCCAGCCTTGTGACCGAAACACTGTCGTTGGCTGATGGCCGCGGAGAGGAAGCTACATTTCCCAGTAAAGAGTCTGACATCTCACCAGCAGCCGTGGTTACCGAAGCCCAGATCTAGCGCTGTTCGGTGAGTCTCCTCGTCGGAAGTGGAACGGGAATCTTGCTTGGAGACATCCCGGATATATTTGGCGCCTGTTTAGAAAGGACAAGGACAAGGACAAGGCTGATCAGCTCGGCCTCTGTGTAAAGTACAATCTGCTTCGTGGCTTCGAGTCGTGTTGGAAGAATTGAATCGCGGGGGTGTGGGAGGGGGGGAGGAGAGTAATTTGCTCACCAACGCTGTGCTGGGGTTCAAACCCCCGATCATAACATGGTCCCTCTGGAGAGGAGAAAATACAGCAATAAAGAGGTATTGACCACAACTGTCATATAATAATAAATAATAATAATAATCCTTGCATTTGATTTAGTGCCTTATCAAGTCTTTGAGACGTCTCAAAGCGCTTCACAGAATATACTGTAAAGTGTAGTCACTGCATTTTGCAGGCGAAACGCGGCAGCCAATTGCGCCCAGCACTGAATGTTCCACAAATACCCTGAGTCATTGATTGAGTATTTCTGTCCACCATTTCTTATGACCCACCCAACCTGCCCTCCAAAAGGGGGGGGCCGTCATCGCTTGCAAAAGGGCAACCCCATCATTGTAAAACGCTCCGAGACATTATCCTACATCTCTCACTGCCCGTCCTGGGTTTTTTTTCCTAATCAAATGGGAAAGTAGGAAAGACTCGCACACTCGGCCACGGAGCTTACTGACCTGTGAGAACTCTCTCATCAAACATCCTGCAGGGAAAAGAAACAGAAAATCAGGTTTCTACACAGCGGAGCAATCGAGACCCATCTCAAGACCCTCCTCTTCGATTGCGCCTTCAGCCACCCTCCTAACCCCACCCTCCCTGCCCTCCACCTCCTCCTGATCCCAACCCCCAGCTCGGGTCCAAATCCCTGACTGTCCTCCCAATGTGAAAGGCTCCATGTAAATGTAATGTGTTGTTTTTAGGTGAAGGAATTCCGGGAACGTTATCCCGTGGGAGCGAGCTCTCACCTCTTAATAACAAAGCGGATTTTATGCCTGGCTTCCAGGATGCGCTTCAGTTTGGGAACGCCGTAGGTACAGGGTCGTTTGAAGGGAATTCCTTCTGGGATCCCGATTATATCCACAGCCTCCGGGTCGCAGGCGATTTTCCGGTACGGAACGGGGACCATGTGATCCAATCCCAAGGCCTCGGCTGCGGAGAAACACAGGCATCGTAATCTCATGGTAACCTCGTTCTCTTAGCTTTGCTGAGATCAGGCCCCTGGGGATGTGCTGTCACTCACTGGCCGGTCATTAAAGTAAAGTGAACCCCAACGATAAGGCACAGACACGAAGGGCCGAATGGCATCCTTCTGTGCTGTGAATTCGAGGGTAGGGGCACACAACAAACCAAACCACCAGCGAAAGTGATACCAGGGCAACTAGTCACCAAAGGCCACGATTCTCAATAACTTATTGCTAATGAGAACAATAAAATGCCTAAAGTAACATTAATGTGCGTCAAGTTTGGCTCAGTGATAGCGCTCTCTCTCTCTCTCTCCCCTTCTCTCTCTCGCCTCTGAGTCAAATGGTTGTGGGTTCAAGCCCCATGTCTGGACTTCACCGAATCCCATCGTCTAAGCTGATGCTCCGATGCAGTGCTGCGGTTTGAGTTGTATTGTCTACTCACCGTATCTGCTGTTGAACAGGATCTGCACACATTCTCTCAGGATGTTGATGTCCTCAGTTTCCTTTATATACAAGTTCCATTTTTCTGTAAAACAAAATTCGAGCAAATGTCATCCTTTGCGGAGTCCTGTAGTGCAGTGGTTTGAGCGCTCGCCTCTCAAGCGAGAGGACCTAGGTTCGATTCCCAGGGCAGAGCAAAATGTTAGACAGGTTTCCTTACTCCACACTCCTCAGTTTACCCACCAGTAAGTAGGAAGCTAGTTGTTTGTTGATTGGCAGATCACTTTTCCGGAGGTAATAATTCCTTCAAAAAAAAACTTTTTTTTTAAAACGTGGTCACTGAATCCACGACTGTTCGGAGGGATGATTACCCCTGGAAAGCAATCCACCAATCGCCTAACAACCAGGTTCCTACTCAAAGCTAGGTAAAGAGAAGCAGATGGAGTAAGGAAACTTGGCTAAGGTTTTGCCCTGCCTGGTAATCAAACTCAGGTCCTCTCGCTTGCGAGGCGAGGGCTCGAACCAATACAGGACTCCTTTCAAATCAAGATTGAATTTAAAAATTGGTCTCAGATTTTAAGTAACTGTGGCCGTCAGGACAACAGAAATTTCAAAAGTATTTGGCAATAAATAACGACAAACTGATATAGTAAATGAGTGCCTTCCCTGGGTGTCAGACATTCAGTAATCTGTGGGCCTCCACCCAGCAATCAATAATAATACAGGAAGCTTATTATTCTGACCCATTGTATTTGTTGGCAACCGCTGTTCAGTTTAGTTCCAGGCACTAAACGGTGCCATCGTTGCCAGCCTGGTCTCCCTCCCAGGTGGCTCATTATTGCTCTTCTCTCCTCTCCTGTCAGCCTGGCTCAGTCAGTAATGCTCTCTCTCCCCCCCAAGTCAGAAGGCTGTGGTTTGAAGCCCTAAGCAGAACTTTAAGCTCACAGTGTAGGCTGATGCTCCGACGCGGTGCTGGAGGAACTCTGCATTGTCGGAGATGAGACGTTAAACCGAGATCCTGCCTCTGTCCGCTCAGGTTGACGTTAAAGATCCCCTGGTGCTATTCGAAAAGAGAAGGGAGTTTCTCTCTCTCTCCCAGTGTCCTGGCCAACAATCCCACCAAACAAAATCGCCCACTTTACTCCCATGGCTGTGTGTGGGACGTTGCGGTGCTCAAATTGGCTGCCATATTCCCCTACAAAAATACACAGTCACTACACTTACAGTGAATCTGCAAAGCGCTTGGAGATGTCTTCCCGACGTGAAAGGCGCTGCGATAAACGCAAGGATTATTACTATTTAAGCTTCCAATCTAGGCTGACACTCCATTGCAGGGTGAGTGAGTGGGTGTGTGGAACCTTGCTGTGTGCAAACTGCTTGCCATGTTTTCCTACAGATACACAGTCACTACACCTGACAACAATTCCCTGTGAAGCACCGAGAAGTTTGGGCGTTGTAGGCGCCGTGTCAAACACAAGGACGATTGTTATTGATCTTTCCGAGGAGTAATAATCCCTCCAAAAAAATTGCCGAACAAAGCACACAGTCAATTCACTCTACAGTATATCTGTACCTGTGAAGCGCTTTGAGACGTCTCAACAACGTGATAAGGCGTTGTGTCAAATGCAAGGATTATTATTAGTATTTTATTATTATTATTATGTTTCTACATCACCGAAATACCAGTATAAAGGACGTTGGTGGCCAGACACGACCAAACAATGTAGATGTGCAACTCTGAGATAGTCCTGTATACACTCTTTGCCCTAAGAAAGGTGAGTGGGGAAACCTTTACTCTCCCCTCCCCACACCCCACCCTCCCGAGACACGATGGTAAAGGGGGTTACCTGCTTTATCGTGTACTATAGAAAAAAGAAGCCACTTTGAAACGTGTGAGTGTTGAGAGATGTTGTTGAGTTCACCATTAAACCCTGATGTTTTTTTACCTGGAAATGAGGAGAAGACAGTTAGCAAAAGGCACAGGGACGAGAGGCTCAGGTTAGGGTCCATCAAGTCTCTGCCTCGGATTCACTGGCGATGACACTGAGTGCCTAAGGGTCCCCTTCCCCCCTCCCCTCCCTTCCTCCGCTCTCCTCTTCCCCTCCCCTCCTGCTCTCCGCTCGCTCACAGGCTAAATGCATGGCGAGCCCTGGAGTTGGCTTGATTGTTGGGTTTCTACCGCAGTGAAAGTGGTGCCTGTGACATAGGGTTCAGTTTCTCAAGGGCAAGTGTGAGTGTTTGTTTCTATATATAATAATAATAATCCTTGCATTTGACACAGCGCCTTAATCACATCTTCGAGACGTCTCAAAGCGCTTCACAGAATATATTGTCAAGTGAATGGACTGTGTATTTTGTGGGGGAAACACATCAGGCAATTGCACACAGCAGCGTCCCACAAACAGTCTTGCGTTGAGTGACTAGATTTTTTTAAAAAAAGGGATTATTGCCCACAGCAAAACAACCTGTTATCAACTTACTGCTAGGTAAACAGAGGCGTGTGTGTAAGGAGACTTGCCCAACATTTCGCCCTGGCCAGGAATCAATCCCAGATCCTCTCACTTGCGAGGCGAGTGCTCTAACCATTGAGCTACAGGATTCCACAACAGAAACAGAACAGAAGGGCTTTCATTGCCAGGTTTGAGTCTCCACCAGTATTTACACAGAGTTTAAACTACATGAGAGTCAATGAACCAACATGGCAACAGAGCAAAACTCTGGGGGAGTCAAATTATCCATCAGATGCTAAACTAATCCTTGCATTTGATACAACTCCTACTATGTTCACATCACATCTCAAAAGAGTTTCATAGGAAAATTGCTGTCAAGTGTAGTGACTGTGTAGGATTGTTAGGTAAACAGCTCTGAAGTAAATGACCAATTAATCTGGAGGATAAACTGGAGAAACTTCCTTCTCTTTCCCAATCATGCGGAGAAAAGCATTGACGTGAATAGGATCTTTAACGTCCACCTGAACAGGCAGACAGGACCTCAGTCTAATGTTTCATCCGACAACAACAATAATAATAATAATCCTTGCATTTGATATAGCACCTTAAAACGTCTCAAAGCGCTTCACAGAATATCCTGTAAAGTGTAGTAACTGTATATTCTGTGGGTGAAACGTGGCAAAAAAATTGCGCACAGCAGCGTCCCACAGCGTGGATTGAGTGACCAAATTATTACCCCCGATAAAACGATCCGTCAATCGACTAACAAGTGGGTTACAACTTACTGCTGGGTAAACCGAGGCGTGTGGAGGAAGGAAACTTACCTATCGTTTACCGTACAACCATAACACACAGAAAAAGGGATTCACTTCATTAAACACGGATAATTCCTGCATTTGATACAGAGACTATAACATTGAAATGTCTCAACACAGCTTCACAGATAACTGCTGTAAAGTGTAGTGACTGTACCAGCAAGCAAACGTGGCGTCCAACAGGGTCATGAAGTACTGTTAAGGGCGGCACAGCAGTGATACGCTTAGGTTTCGTGATGGGTTTCGTCAAGTGTCAAACGACAGGCTGCCCAATAAAATTCTATAGGTGTAATTACCATCTCTGGACTGCGGAGGGCGAAAACGAGTAGCACCTCGGTCACTCACCCCATCACGACAACAACTTGCATTTACATAGCGTCCCTCACGCAGGATAGCGTCCCAGAGCGCTAGACCCCGGGAGAGAGAGAGAGAGAAGGGGGTGGGGGGGGGGTTTGCTAACCTGCGGGAATGGTTCCCACGAGTGACCGGGGCATTAGAATTTTTCAAAAGGAAACGGGATCAGGAAGCGAGCAGTTTAAATAGGAATAAACACAAAGGGTTTGGGGGGGCGGAGCAGGGAAATGAGACTAATAATAAAATACTGTGACTTAGTAATGCTGTCTCGGTCGATTGCCTGAAACGTGTGTGACGCCAACAGCCAAGAGCCAAGGAGTGCGCCCTGAGGTGACGGCTGGAGACTGACCAGCGACAACAGCATCGCTCGGCCATCGGTATCAATGTCTGGCCAAGCTTTCCCGCTGCTTGTCCAGCTAGGACCACCTTCCCCGTTAGTCAGTTGGTTGGTTGGTTAGTTAGTTAGTTAGGGCTTCGGCTGCAGAGTTAACGGGAGCTGAGGGGGAGGATTCCCCGTTCCCCCCCAGTGACTGGTTGGCCCTGGCGGGTCCTGCCGATGAGCCGGGCCGGGCCGGGCCGGNATCGGCAGTGAGTGCCCTGGGACACTGCGGACACGACTGTATATATATCGAAAAGCCAAGGCCGGTGGGGAGCCCAGACCGTGTGTTGGAGAGCTGCCGGAGTGTAAGCAGCTAAAGCTGCGCAGTTTGTCGCTAAGTGTAAAGTGGTGTTACCGGTGTCGTCTGCGCAGTCCCGGGCGGGAGTGAGTTTGGTGCCGTCGGTCGCCGTGGAGGATCTGGGTTCCGAGGCTGCGGAGCTTCCTGAGGATCTCAGTGCCAGAAAGTCCTGGTTTAAATCCAGTGGAATCCTGGATCCCGGGAAGTCATAGAGGAACTGTGGTGGAGTGCGGGCAGTGCTGGAGTCACAGTTGGACTGTTTCGTGGCCGGATTCTCGGGGCTGGGATCGCTGGAGCTTTTCCCGGCCGATGTTTCCCAGCTCGGCTCAGCACAGAAGCGAGTCTCCCGGACACTGTCCTCAAATGGCCTAGGGTTGGGGGGGGAGCGGGAGGAGGGGAGCGGGAGGAGGTGGAGGAGGGAGGGAGGGAAGGGGGGAGAGGGAACGGGAGGAGGAGGAGGAGGAAGGGAGGGAGGGGAGGGAAAGGCAGAAGCAATATTAAACACATTTACCCGTTGCCAGGCTTCGTGCTTAATTCAATCCACCCACACACTCACACACCCACACACCTACACACGCGCCCCCACCCCGGCTCAGCATCAGGATCTCCCACTCTTAAGCACTCAGAAGACCTGTCTCAAGACCCTCCTCTTCGACTGAACCTTCAGCCACCCTCCTGCCCCCACCCCCTCCTGATCCCAGCCCCCAGCTCAAGGCCAAATCCCTGTCCGTCCAGCCCTTGAAGTAACTATCATGTTGTTGTAGTGCAGTTGTAGTGTAGTGTAGTTGCAGGCATCGCTGGGTGGCTCCTGTGTGTCGTGTTCCTCAGACAATCCTTCGCTCCTCCACTGGGATAAATACCTTTTGACGGTGAATCGGATGCGGTTGCTTCGCTCTAAGATCCTTTTCAGTGTGTGAGCCTCGTACTCGGTCGGTCGCTTGAAGGAGACGCCCTCGGGCAGTCCGTGTACCAGGATGGGGGCCGAGTCCCGCAGGATCTTCTCGTAAGGCACGGGGACAATCGACGCTTTTCCGAGAGCCTCACCTGGGGTCACAGTGGGGTTTAAACATCAGAGAATCTCCCAACTCACAGATTCACATCGATAATATAATAATATAATAAGCCTTGCATTTGATACAGCGCCTTATCATTTCTCAAAGCGCTTCACAGAGTAGACTGTAAAGTGTAGTGACTATGTGTTTTGTGTTACTTGCCTCTACTTTACACCCAAACCCATGACCCACTGCCTCCACTCGACTGGCTCCGGCCCCTGCTTGTCCCTCGTTCCCCCTGTTCCACCATCGGTGGCCGCACTTTCAGCCACTACGCCCCGAAACTCTGGAACTCTCTCCCTTATCCCTCTGCCTGGCCCCCTCCTTCCCCATCTTGAGGTCGCGCCTGTAGACCTTCCTCTTCGACCAGAGGCTATGGTCACCTCCCCCTGGCTCGGTGTCCTGCTCCGCCACTGTCAGGCCGCCTGGGACGTTTCCCTGCCTGAGTGGCGCTGTGTAAGTACAAGCTGCTGCTGTTGTCACTCACTGTAGAGAACAGCAAACACTTCCTCCACCATCTTGCGAAGGACGTAGATGTCGGCCATGGGGTCGGGCGAGTCCCTCTGAACATTCCTCCCGTTGTCCGTCACCATCTTCAGCATCTCCATCTCGCGGAGCTGAGCATTCCAGTTAGCTGCTGGAGACAAGGCTCGGAGATCAGAGGCCCCGGGGGGAGGGGGTGTGGGCAGGGAGGGATGGAGGGGGTGGGGGGCCGATGGGATCGATGATCGGAAGCGCAGTCAAAGAGGCAAGTCTTAAGGCAGCCTTTGAAAGTGGGGAGAGAGGGAGGGAGGCTACGCAAGGGTTATAATTATTATTATTATGTACTCCCAACCCTCACCCACCCCACCCGAAAGGGGACAGTTACAATCAACAGTCACAAAGACCATCAACTCTGGCTTGATCTCTCTTGCTCTCAGGAACTAAGGTGATGATAGTAATAATAATAATAATAATAATAAACATTGCATTTGATATCGCGCCTTATCACGTCTTCAAGAGGGAAGCCGCCTGGGAAACCTACTGCAGTATTTGACGAACTCCTTCTGCAGCTCCCGCCTGGCATTGAGGAAAACTCTTCCCTTCTCCGTCCCCAGCACAAAGGTGCTCTCCTCGTGCACCGCGATACAAGCCACCTCAGCGTTCAGCTTCGAGAGCGCTTTACACTGCGGAGACAACAAATTATTATTATTATTTATTTTGAAGGGATTATTACCCCCAGAAAGCGATCTGCCAATCGACTATCAACCCGGGTTCCTACCTACTGCTGGTAAACAGAGGCGTGTGTGGGGAGTAAGGAAACTTGCCTAAGGAATTAAACCCGGGTCCTCTTGCTTGCGAGGCGAGGGCTCTAACCCCTGAGCTACAGGACTCCCCAAGTTATGTTAAGTCAACGTGAAAGAAAACGGTGCTGAACCCGATGACTATAATGGAGCTACTGGGAACCACTCCCTTTGAGCACATGTCACTAACCATGGAATCCAGCGCAGACACTAAGCTGCTAATGATATCCTTCCTCTCGGAGAAGCTCTGGACTCCACACATCAGCAGCTGATCGTTGCGGCCTCTGTCCTCCAGGTTCCCCACGTTCGCCATCGTTACCTGGGGAGCAACAACATGACCTTTACATACCAGAGCCACCACTGCTCTCCTTCACATCAGAGTCTCAAATGAGACCCACAAAGTGCATGTTATGGCAGCAGAAATGTTATGGACCTTATGAAAAAAAACAATCAACTAACAACCTGGTTTCTACTGACTGTTGGTAAACAGAGGCGTGTGTGTTGAGTAAGGAAACTTGTCTAAGGTTCTCTCACTTGTGTGGTGAGGGCTCTAACCACTGAGCTCCAGGACTCCACAAAGTCCCGCAAATGGGGCTTGAACCCGCCACTGTGTGACCCAGAGGTGAGAGAGACACTGACCGAGGCAGGAGGTCAGGAAAATTTGCTGAGTCCCAAATCTCTTAAGCAAAACCAGATCGCACAGCACCAATGGCCTAGTCACTGCTAAACACCAGCAACTTACTCAGTCCCTGAGAGAGAGCACTGAACGCTGTAGATGATGATTAGAAAGGAATGCACCATAAAGACCGCATTCTCCTCACCAGAGAAGGGCCAGAGACGGGGTGGGGCATTTGGTGCAGTCTCATTAGTAACCAGGCACCCAGGAGATGGGCAAAGTCAAACACAACAACAACAACAAATTATAGCACCTGTCAGGTTGGGATGATGACCCAAGGTGATACTTTGCCGGGAGCGGGTTTGGATTACACAGGAAACACCCTCAGGCAATCGCAAGGCATTACATACAACAGAACCTTCCTTTGCCAAGCACGTCACCTTGGAGCCAATGCTCTGGCTAAGGAGGGGTGGGGTGGGGATCAATCAGCCAGAGTTCCTGTTCCTGATCATTCCTGTGCCCCCCTCTGGAATGTAAAATACGTGTCAAGTGAATAGGACGTGGCTCAGCTCTAATCCTCTCCCCCACTGCTCACTCCCCTCCCTGTCCCAGCTCACTGACACACTCATTCATTGTCCAGGCTCACACAGGAAGCCTGGCCAACGGGGCAGGTTAGCCGGCCTGAGGCCACGCTTTCATGTGAGGAAGAAAGGAAGGTGGACGGGGACAGGGGTGGGGGAGCCAGAGAAAGCAAGCGCTTCACACAGTACACCGTAAGGGGAATTGACTGTGTATTTTGTGGGCGAAACGCAGCAGCCAATTGCGCACAGTCGTGGATTGAGTTCCCAAATTATTATTTTTTTTGAAGGGATTATTACCCTCCGGAAAAGCGATCCGCCCATCGATTAACACCCGGGTTCCTACTTACTGCTGGGTAAACCGAGTGCGGGTGGAGTAAGGAAACTTGCGTAACATTTGACCCTGCCCGGGAAGCGAACCCGGGTCCCCTGGATTGCGAGGCGAGGGCTCCAACCGCTGAGCTACAGGAACTCCACAACCTAAGTCTGGCCGAGTGACATCTCAGGCCTTGCAATTCTAACCAGGAGGACAGTGCCGGCCACAGCTGCCCCTTTGACGGATTGCAGATCCCCCTTCATACGGCAAACATACCAGTATCTTTGTGTTTCCACTCCCCCCCACACACACACACACACACATTGCGTGACTGGGGTTGTAAGAAAATCGCAATCCTAATTCCAGGACCCCCAGTGTCCATGGCGACGGGAATCCATCTCCTAGGGAACTAATCTCGTGGCATTTGAACAATGTAACTATGGCGTTTAATCTCCCACAGCCTGATCTTTTTTATCTCCACACAACTTGTCCCATCAGAACACCACCAAAATAGCAGCCTCCAAACTCCAGCCTCCAGATAGTGGGGGAATCTTACTCTCACACACACTTTATATTACCTCGCGTTAGCTGTTTGTGGGACGTTGCTTTGCGCAAATTGTCTGTCGTGTTCGCTTACAAAATACAGTCACTACACGGCTATTATAAATGCAAGCGGTTGTTGTACACACAGCCGATACCTCACACACAGTACACGGACCCAGTGTCTCACACACAATACAGGCCCGGGCATTGATCCGCTCGATAATATTGAGCATCGACTCCATGGCAGTTTGTGAGCAAATTATCTGCCATGCCCGCCTACACATACACAGTCACTACACTTTACAGTAAAGCCCGTGAAGCGCTTTGTGATGCTTTAATGACCTGATAAGGCGGTGTGTCAACAACAATAATAATCCTTACATTTTATATCACTCCTTATCACGTCGTTGCGACATCTCAAAGCGCTTCACAGAATGTACTACAAAGTGAATTGACTATATTTTGTGGGCGAAACGCAGCAGCCAATTAACTGCACACATACAATCGTGGATGGAGTGACCATATTTTCTTGGGAGGGATTATTACCCCCTGCGAATCGCCTAACAACCGGATTCCTACTTCCTGAACGATCAATTTCATTATAAAACGCGGGAGAGCCCCAGAACACTCACTCACTCACATCAAATGTAAGGAATATTGTAGCTACAAAACTCCAAGACAGTACCCGGCCCACAGGCCTGACACCTCACACAGTACCACACACTTCTGTGTATTCCCCGACACTTCTCACTAAGGTGGTATCAGTCTCGCCAACACACACACACCCAAGGAAAGGCTCTGTATCAAATGCAAGGATTATTATTATTATTATTATTATGATTTAAAATGAAGCAGCACACAAGCCGCAGCTGGGAACAAGTTCCCCCAAATAAACAAGTTAAACCTGACTTCAGCATTTGCTCTCACACAGTTGACGTGTGTGTTACGATGGTGGGGGCTGCCTTGCAAAATCACTACACTTGCCACTTAATAGTAATAATAATAACAACAACAACTTAAACAGTCCTGTTAAAAGTTAATAATAATCCTTGCATTTGATACAGCGCCTTATCACGTCTTCGAGACGTCCTAAAGCTCTTCACAGGATTGACAGTAAAGTGAATTCACCGTATACTTAGTGGACGAAGTGCGGCAGCCAATTGCCCCGCGAACAGAGCAGCGTCCCACAAACAGCCGTGGATCGAAGCGGCCAAATTATTACACAGTACTTCCGCCCTTTCAGCACCAGAAACTTTTGAAGCAAAAATATTTCAGTATTGCAGTAAATTATTTCTATACAAAAAAAAACACTGCAGTGCAGGGAATTTGAAGGTGTCTGCAAGGCTAAAGTTTACGAGGACATAAACTGAAACAGCATAAGGTACGGTTAAAAGGCGTAAATCAAATAGCAGTGACAGACAGGCAGAGAGTCGAATCAATCACTGCCAGACAACACGGTTGGGATCTCATTCATCCCATTATTTTTTTACTTATACAAAGCACCTCAATAAAGCTCCTTCAGCACTTAAATAATCCATAAACACAGCGACTGGATCACTTATTATTATTATTATTACTTAATGCATTGGAGAGAGAAATTACCCTATACAGCAGTTGAATACCTGTCATTTAACGCTTTTTTTAAAAAAAAACACTGATGTTTAGTTTCACAGGAAATCAATCAATCAATCAATCAATCAATCAATCAATCAATCACAGTAACTGTAATTCCTTAAAATGATCACAGACGCGGAAGGAATTCTTTGCAAAGGAATTGAAACTGACGGTATTGATGAACGACTTTGTTCATTAACCTCTGTGTGTGTCTCTCTTTCTCTCTATGTCTGTGTGTGTCTCTCTCTCTATGTCTCTGTCTGTGTGTGTGTCTCTCCCTCTATGTCTGTGTGTGTCTCCCTCTCTCTGTCTGTGTGTGTCTCTCTCTCTATGTCTGTGTGTGTGTCCCTCTCTCTCTCTATGTCTGTGTGTCTCTCTCTCTGTTTGTGTGTCTCCCTCTGTCTGTGTCTCTCTCTATGTTTGTGTCTCCCTCTGTCTGTGTGTCTCTCTCTCTCTATGTCTGTGTGTGTGTCTCCCTGTGTGTGTGTGTGGGTCTCCCTGTGTGTGTGTGTGTCTCTCTCTATGTCTGTGTGTGTGTCTCCCTCTGTGTGTGTGTGTCTCTCTCTCTCTGTCTGTGTGTGTCTCCCTGTGTGTGTGTGTCTCTCTCTGTGTGTGTATGTCTCCCTGTGTGTGTGTGTCTCTCTCTCTGTCTGTGTGTGTGTGTGTGTCTGTGTCTGTCTCCCTGTGTGTGTGTGTGTCTCTCTCTGTGTGTGTGTGTCTGTGTGTGTGTGTCTCTCTGTGTGTGTGTGTGTCTCCCTGTGTGTGTGTGTCTCTCTCTCTCTGTCTCCCTGTGTGTGTGTGTCTCTCTCTCTGTCTGTGTGTGTCTCCCTGTGTGTGTGTGTGTGTGTGTCTGTGTGTGTGTGTCTCTCTCTCTCTCTCTCTCTGTGTCTGGTGACTGCCTATCTTGGCCTACAAAACATTTGTACTGTATCAACAACTCCCAACCACACTGGGGAAAGAGGAGCTGCAGATACCAGTCGCTGCCGAGGGGGGAGAGAGGGGGGGGTTTGTGGGGGTGTGGGGGGCGCTGCGAGTGTGTACATATACACAAATACACACATATATAATGTCAGATTAATTAAAAACAGCGGCGACCATCAGAGCCCCCGAGAGCTGTGAGTGTGTGTGACTGTGACCGATGGACGTGGTGTTCGGTCACATGTCGCCGCAGCGCAAAAATATATATATGCAACAATGTATCTCTCTCTCTCTCTCTCTCTCTCGAGCGCTGCGAACGGAGATACACAAAACTGATACATTGTGTCGCTCTCTCAGCGCTTCACTCACTTCACTCATTCACAACCCCTTCACTCCGGTCCCGACCGTCACAGCGCTGTGTGTGTGTGTGTGTGTGTCTCCCCCCCAACCCCCAAACCCCCCCCACCCCACACACACACACACACAGACCAAACACACACCGCACACACACACACGAGATTAAAAAAAAACTTTACAGCGTCCTATTTCCTCATGGATCCTCCTTTTAGCATCAATCCGGATTGAGTTGCAAATGTGTGATGATTTCTGATAAGAGGACACGAAAAAAAAGAGAGGGGGGGGGGGGGAAGAGAGAGAGAGAGAGAGAGGGAGGGAGGAGGAGGAGGAGGAGGGGAGGGGGGGAGTGGGGGGGGAGGAGGAAGGGAGGGAGGGGGGGGATCGTTTTGTGGTGATTGCAGAAGAGAAGAGGCACTGGAGGAAAGATTTGGCAGATTTTTTTTGCTGCCTCTGCTCAGACTAGTCTTTGTTCTCTTAATCCCAGTAAACCAGCGACTCATTCGCCCCCACTAATCCCAGCTCCAATCCTACACACTCCTTCATTGGCTGTCATTTACATACGGATTAAGGCGCACACACACATACACACATACACACACACCACATTCACACATACGAATACACACAAACATACATACGTACACACAATACACCTATTCCCATTCTCTCTCTCTCTCTCTCACACCACAGCGCCCATCCATTGCCCTTTACACATTTTATAGAATGAACCCAAACAATTAACACATCCCCCCCCACCCCCCCCCCCCACACACACCCCCACTCCCCTCCCCACACACCCCCTACACCCCCACACTCCCCCCCACACTCCCCCCCTACACCCCCACACTACCCCCCCCACACACACCCACTCCCCTCCCACCCCCCCACACTCCCCCCCCTACACCCCCACACTCCCCCCCCACACACACCCCCACTCCCCTCCCACCCCCCCCACACTCCCCCCCCTACACCCCCACACTCCCCCCCCACACACACCCCCACTGCCCTCCCCACACCCCCTACACCCCACACTCCCCCCCCACCCCCCACACTCCCACCCCCCCACCCCCCCCACTCCCCACACACACCCCCTACACCCCCACACTCCCCTACACCCCCACACTCCCCCCCCCACACACACACACCCCACACACACCCCCCGACACCAAATAAAAGATTTGGTGCATTTTGACGGAGAGGACGTTATGAGCGTTGGTGTCAGTGATCGCACAAACGAACGCCCCTGAATTTCAGACAATGTTTTGTTTTCAATCTCTGCTCTTTGCAATGTTCGGTTTTGTTGGTATTTTATGGTAATAATGGTAACTTGCTTTATTTTTAAAAGTTGCAAGAATCCAATCAAGAAGAGGGAGGAGTGGGGGGGGGGGTGTTTGCTGGAGGGTGGGGGGGAGGTGTTTGCTGGGGGGGAGGTGTTTGCTGGGGGGAGGTGTTTGCTGGGGTGGGTGGGGGAGGTGTTTACTGGGGGGGGAGGTGTTTGCTGGGGGGGTGTTTGCTGTGGGGGGGAGGTGTTTGCTGGGGGGGGGGGGGGAGGTGTTTGCTGGGGGGGGGGGTGTTTGCGGGGGGGGGGGGTGGGGGGGGGGGGGGAGGTGTTTGCTGGGGTGGGGGGGGGGTGTTTGCTGTGGTGGGTGGGGGGGGGTGTTTGCTGGGGTGGGTGGGGGGGGGTGTTTGCTGGGGTGGGGGGGGGGAGGTGTTTGCTGGGGGTGGGGGGGTGTTTGCTGGGGTGGGGGGGGGGAGGTGTTTGCTGGGGTGGGTGGGGGGGGGGTGTTTGGGTGGGTGGGGGGGGGGTGTTTGCTGGGTGGGGGGGGGAGGTGTTTGCTGGGGGGGGGAGGTGTTTGCTGGGGGGGGAGGTGTTTGCTGGGGGGGGGGGGTGTTTGTTGGGGGGTGGGGGGGGGGGGGAGAGCTAATGCATGTAACTAGCCATGTGCTGGAGTTTGATAATCCACAGGATTTAAGGCTCTGCGGTTCTATTTGTCCTTTCTTTAAGGGCGTAGATTAGAGGCTGAGAAACATGTGACCTTCTCTGAGCTCAGACACAGACACTCAGTCACTCACAGTCACACACACACACAGACCTGACATCTAAATGGCCGACTGCACTGTGTCCCCGGAGCTCTGCTGTAACTGTCTCCTGTGGCTTTCAGGGGAGTCTGAGAAAACAATATCTGATAATAACAATAATAATAATAATCGTTGCATTTGATACAGCGCCTTTTAAGACGTCTCAAAGCCCCACAGAATATTACTGTAAAGTGAATTGACTGTATATTTTTGTGGGCGAAACGCGACAGCCAATTGCGCGCAGCAGTGACGGTCCCCGCAGACAGCCGTGGATCGAGTGACCAAATCTTTATTCTGTGTTTCGGGCCCATTTCTGAAATAAGACCTTGTGGGTCAGTCAGTTTGCGAATGTTAAACATACCTTTTTGCTCTAACCCTTTGGCCTGGTGGGTGGGTGGGCGGGCGGCAATGTGGAAACCCGGCACGGTGCTTAAAGATTCTCCAAACCGAGCGGAGATTTCAATAATAATAATAATAATAATAATCCTTGCATTTGATATAGCGCTTTTCACGTCGGGAGGACGTCCCAAAGCGCTTCACAGAACACACTGTAAAGTGAATTGACTGTATATTTGTGGGCGAACGCGGCAGCCAATTGCGCACAGCAATGTCCCACAAACAGTCGTGGATTGAAAATGACCAATTTTTTTTATTATTGTTTTTTGGTTTTTTTGGATCCGACCCACACGCGGAAATCCCAGAGAGATTGTTGGAATGGAATGGAATGCGCACTCTCTCTCTCTCTCTCTCCCTGGAGGGATGCTTCCTGCTTACCTAATTCCAGGAAGTATTAGGCGCGGGTTGGCAAGAGCCAAGACTTGGGGGTCCCCAGAATGCGCGGTAACTGCTGGAGTCTCATCAGCTAAATCCGCGCAGTTTGCCATTGCCATCGCTGTCTGGCGAGCTTTCCCACTGCTGGTCCACCGGGACCGCCCTACCTACCCGTTAGTTCTTTGGCTTGCTGGGTTAACAGCTTCAGATGTGTTCTTATGTATATCTACTGCGTAAAGTCTCACAGAGACGAGAAGATAACTAAAGAAGTCAAAGAAAAAACAGGATTCATTTTATTTTGAAAACTAGGTTAACACATGTACATCTCATGCACTCGACTGATACGGGGAGAGTATTAGCTATTTGCTAGGGACCGGGTGTTAAAGATTAAATATTCACAACCAGCTTGACACATAAAAAGACAATAGTGATTCTGTTCGGATCGATCTGGTAATCCACATCATAAGGGCTTGCAGTACAATGGGGCTGTTTCACATTCCCCGGGCCCCCCCCCCCCCCCCACCCCCACCCCGCTCGAGGCAATGCAGCATCTCGTCGCATTAACAGCTGCACGGGAGCCTTTCAGCAATGCATCGCTCCGTCAATCTCGCTCATACATTCACAGAAAACAGTGCATTTCCCCCCACCCACCCACCCACTTTAACCTGGTCCAAATCACACTGAGAGCTGCATTCAGCTCAGTGTCTCCCCCCACCCCACAGTCACAGATGACATTGCTCTGCTCCTCAAAACACAAACACTATCTCACTGCAAACCCCAGACCTTTCTCAGGAAGTCAAGTAACACTGGAAATAGTCAAAGAATGTACCTATCAAGACCTACATATTGCAGTATGTTATATATATTATATATTGTGTGTATATGGCAGCTCCCTGTATGCACTCCTCGTCCTCTCCTGTGGAAACTGATAATTTATCGTCCAGTTAAAGTTAATAATAATAATCCTGGCATTTGATACACCTTATCATGTCTTCGAGACGCCTCAAAGCGCTTCACAGAATAAACTGTAAAATGAATTGACTGTATATTTGTGGGTGAAATGCGGCGGCCAATTGTGCACAGCAGTGTCCCACAAACAGTCGTGGATTGAGTGACCAATTTATTATTTTTTAAAAAATTGTGGAAGGATTACCCCAGGGAAAATGATCTGACAATCGACTGACAACCGGGTTCCTATGTATTGCGAGGTAAACAGAGGTGTGTGGAGTAAGGAAACTTGCTTTAGGTTTTGTCCGGCCCGGGAATCGAGCCCAGGTCCTCTCGCTTGCTAAGCAAGTGCTCGAACCACTGAGCTACAGAACTCCACATAAATAAAAAAAATGGAGGGAGAATTGGAAATTGGAGCCAGTTTGTGCAATGAAGATAATGAATGCACATCAAGACCCCACGATCGGCGCACGACCAACAAAAGCTCTCCTTTTAAGACACTCTGAATTATTTTGGAAAGCAGACGAGCAGCCATCTTGGTTTCACTTGAGTTGACACGACAGTGGTTGGTGGGAGCAGCCGGACACTGTGGGCAAGTCGCAAGCCGAGGTCAGTGCAGGTCAAGAGAATCCGTGAGGCACACCTCGCCCTTTAATGTTTGACCCTTGGAGACCTTTTCATCTTCCTGTTTAGACGTCAGGAAGAGAGCAAACATGCCTGTTCCGCCAGATTCTGGGCACAGAACCAACCTGCACCAGCCCCAGTTCATCAGATAACCTTTCTCTTGTTTACTTCCATCTGCTACACAGGAAGTACATGTTGTGTTAGTGGCATCGCAGACTCTTTACAGCATTATGTACAGGAAGAGAGCGAGAGAGAAATAAAATGAAGGTTAACCATAGAGATAGAGTGCAAACCCCTCACTACAATTTAGGAACCAGTTTGTAAAGGCTACAAAAGAAATTACAGTGATTCCCCCACAGTTAATTACCTGTCGGATGGACACAGCTTCACAGGGTCTATAGATTAACAGACTTTATTTACACTAAGTTCAACTACTTCTCATTTTGACTCGAAAGGGCAAACCAGAAAATCTGCACCACAAGTTATTGGAAACCAAAAATCGGCAAAGGGACTTCTGGAGGTTTCTAGACTCTCAGGCAAATAATGTGGACACCTGTTGGCGTAGCGAGGCTCCCCCACCCCCCCACCCCCCCCCCCCCCCCCACACACACACACAGACACAAGTCCCAAAAGATTAAAATGGCACCAAGGAATTGGTAGGAGTTGATTTTGGCCAAGAATTCCGTGTGTGTGACGGCACATCTGACAACGTAGAGAAAAAAGATTATGTTTAAGGTGTGAAATTCGTGGGAATTTCGCTTGCAACAAAACAACCATCTGTGTCGGAGCTCAGGGTTAGGCTGAAATCCCTGCACGTGATCGAGTGCCTTAGCTCTGGGAGTGAGGGGAGGGAGAGGGAGCAGTCGTTAGTGGAGGACTCCTGTTTTTGGGGCACGGATGAAGTTGTAGCCATCTCTTCACTAACAGACGCTGCTCACCGATCCGTGCGCCGGGCCCTCACACGGTACTCACATGCTAACCACACGGACAATCCACGCACCATACTTATATACACAGTGTACACAGTGCTTAGATGGGTAGTGCGAGTGCTGAACACGGAGCTCACACGCTACATAAATACAACTAATTGCTGTAAATGGCTGCAGGTGGGGGCAGAGCTGGTGGTGTGATCTCTGGAAGCTGTTGGGGGGGTGGGGTGGGGGGGGGAGAGAGGGGTTGCTTTCGGGGCTAACGTCCCAGGAATGCGACGCGGTAAAATATACAGAGGCTTCAGGGCGGCGAAGTTGTGAGACGGGCAACGGAGATGGAGTCGCTGTGACTTGTCCTTTCATCAGTGCAGGTCCTGGGGGCGGACGAGGAGCAGAGAGAGAGAGAGAGAGAGAGAGATGAAGTTTAAAGATCTTACAATAACAATAATCCCACCATTTGACTCAGCGCCTCATCACGTCATCGAGACGTCTCAAAGCGCTTCACAGGATACACTGTAAAGAGAATTTTGCGACAAACAGTTGTGCACAGCGGTGTCCCACAGTCGGGGATTGAGTCAGCAAATTATTAATATCTTTTTTGCCCTCCACCCCCTCCTGATCCCAACCCCCGCCTCAGGTCCAAATCCCTGACTGTCCAGCGCCCGGGGACGTCCTCCCGACGTGAGAGTCACGGCGTAAATGTCACTTGTTGTCGTTGTCTGCGCTCTCTCTCAGCCACCGGGTCACGTCAGTGTGAGCTCATCGTGTCCTCTGCTGCCGCCTTGTGGTCCTCGAGCGGGTACTGCGGGGAGTTTGCCGATGCGCTGAGGAACTCTCAACACACATGAGCTCCAGTCACTTGAACCTGAGGTTAGTCAACTGTACGATGACGACGCCGACAACAATCTCTACGGGGGTACGAAGGGCAATTTCAGGACAGACACCGGGAAGATTTTGTTTACCCAACGATGGGAACAGATCATCAGGAACGCTGGTCGAGGTCAGGACACTGAACTCATTTACAAAAAACAGACAGCTTGATATTGTGATGGAAGGATGGAAGATTGGAGGGAGGGAGGGGTGAGATCAGTTGGACCGAAAGGTCTTCTTCAGCCAGACTGACCTTGTGTGATGAAGGCTGCCGTCCGCCTGTTACTCACCTTGTCCAGGGTCTCGTCGTGGTCGTTCGAGGATTGTCTGGTGGGCAGATCGGCCGCTGCCTTCAGTGACTCGGGCGACGCGCAAACACTCATCTCTTCTCTACAGAGACAGGAGAGAGGATTAACTGGGCTCAGTCACTCAGTAGGAATTCTTCCCCCCATGTTGGATGCCAGCCTGGACCATGAGCTCCAAGTTCCTGATCGGGGGGTTGAACCCACAGCTGAGCCAGGCTGACACCTGTTATTATGAACATAGGAATTTGCTAGATGAAAAAAAGACCACGTCCATCCAGTTTGCCTTCCACCATCCTGGCAGTCGCACGCACACACGATGTCCTGAACTACACATATACTGAGGTATTTATTTGCTTCAGTGCTCACTCCTAAGAGATATGGAGTCCTGTAGCTCAGTGTTTAGAGCCCTCGCCTTGCAAGCGAGAGGACCTGGGCTCGATTCCTGGGCGGGGCGAAACTTTGGGCAAGTTTCCTCACTCCACACGTCTCTGTGCACCTAGCAGTAAGTAGGAACCCGGTTGTTAGTCAATTGGTGGATCACTTTTCCGGGGGTAATAAAAAAATGTGGTCACTCAATCAATCCATGACTGTCTGTGGGGACGCTGCTGTGCGTAATTGGCTGCCGCGTTTCGCCCACAAAATATACAGTCAATTCACTTTACAGTGTATCCTGTGAAGCGCTTTGAGATGTCTTGAAGACATTATAAGGGATTGCAACAAATGCAAGGATTATCATTATTATTATTATTGTTTTAGCAAAGGGAGGTGATGAGTAGGACCACAGCTCATACATACATTTCCTTGAAGAGTTTCTCTATTCTCCTGTTCTCCGTCACTAACAGCTGTTTGGTTCTGTTGGGGTCGAGCTGTCGCTGTGGGGATCGCTGTCGGGGGCAGTCCTGCTGGGAGACAGGAAACCCCACGGTCAAATCACAAGGTTCGAGTGTCAGAGATTCCTGATCCCGAGATTGAGAACGTGGGAATCCCACAGGGTGGCCACAGCAACACATCCTCACCGTTGGGAACCATAACATTAAATAGGACTCACACGAAGTCCAAGTTGCAGGCAAACAGCACAAGTGGTATAAAACTTGCTTTAATCAATAATCTGCACATGTGTAATTCAACGCAGCCCGGTAAATGGATCAAGACTACGGTTCACACGATTCGATGGCGCTAAGTGCAGGAGTAGTGGAGGATAGTGGCCATTAATACAACAAGTGCGAAGAAGTCTAGGAGACTGAACGAGACTCGGGTGGATGTATAACTTATGACTTGGGCGATCGTACGATTTACAAAGATAAGACTTAGGCGAGTTTTACCGTATCTAAACAGATACTATTCTTTTTAACGTGTGCGCAATGATGATGTGAATGACCGCTCACCTCTTGTTTGAAGGACCTGGTTTCTCTCACAAGGTCCAGCTGTCCCTGTTGGTGGACCCCGTTAGCAGATCCAGCGCTATCCAGCGTCTGTTACACACAAACACCAACAGACTGTTACCTCGGGACTGTCACAGGGCCGCACAGAACTGCATTGCAGGTTAGCCCAGTAATCCACGTTATGTCCCACCCCCTCTCCCCCACTCCCCATACTGTATCCCACTGTACAGTGTGTGCCATTGCTGTAACCCACAGTCCCTTCACCTCGCCTCCTCCCTCGCCTCCTTCAAGGCACGTCTCAAGATCCTCCTCTTCGGTCACCCTCCCTACCCTCCACCGTCCCTGCCCCCCCCCCCCAATCCCAAACCCCAGCTCGGGTCCAAATCCCTGACTGTCCAGTGCCTGGGGACGTCCTCCCGATGTGAGCGGCTCTTTGTAAATATCAGTTGCTGTTGTTGAAACTCAGAGGCCAGTGTATGCCAAGTGCTCTGGGATGTTACTCTGCGTGAGGGTCGCTGTGTAAATGCTTGTGGTTGTATCTGTCACGTACCTGCATGGCCTCCATGAGCTTCTCCAGCTGCTGGTTCTGCTCCAGGGCACTGCGCAGGGTCTCCTCGGTGTTCAGTAGCCGCTGCTGCAGTTTGGAAATTTCTGAGTCAGGCTCCGGACCCTGCAGAGAGGCCGGGCGGCGCTTCTGATCTGGTTTAAACTTCTCTGTTCCCTGTGAGAGAGAGTGAGTGCGAGAGTGAGTGTGAGAGAGTGTCTGTATGACAGTGAGCGAGTAAGAGTGAGTGAGAGAGAGAGAGAGTGAGTGTATGTGTGAGAGAGAGTGTGAAGCGCTTTGAGACGTTTGAACGACATGATAAGGTGCTGCTATGACAAATGTGAGGATTATTATCAGTGATAATCTTGCTGTTACTCACGAGAACCTGCAGTTTCTCCCTCAGGACCTTGATGTCCTCCTGAAGTTTCTGCTCCTTCAGCCTCCACTCGGCTTTGTGCACCTCACGGCTCAGCTCCCTCTCCCCGGCTCCCGGCTGCCGGCTGGTCTCCAGGAGCAGAGAACGCAGCTCATTCAGGTTGCTGCCACCGGGTCCCAGGGTCCCACATCCCAGAGCAGGGGCCCCGCAGAGGCCAGGATATTGAGGGGGAGGGGGGGCGGGAAAGGGGGGAGAAGAGAAACCAAAGCATTTGATGGTTGATTCACTTTCTTCTGCTCCCGAATCACGTTGGCTCCAGTCCCTCCGCCTCGTCCTGCCCCTTCCCCCACATCCTGCCCCCCCCCCTCACACCTACACCGCCCCCTCACCTCTCCTTTTTGAGCAGCTCTTGGCTGATGATGACCAGCTGCCCTGAAGCATCGTGTGACTTGCGGGCCAGACTCTCCAGCTCTCCCTCCAGTCGTCCCTTCTCTCTGCCCAGCATCTCCGCCCGCTTTTCCGCCCCGCGGCTCCTCCCTTCCAGAGCTGCCAACGACAAACACCAGCTCACACATCCCCGTGATACACCAGGAATATTCCCAATTACCCCTCCAACCCCCCACCACCCACCCACCGATAGGAACAGGAGTAGGCCATTCAGCCCCTCGAGCCTGTCCCGCCATTCTATTAGATCATAATAAATAATAATAATCCTTGCATTTGATACAGCGCCTTATCACATCGTTAAGACGTCTTACAGCGCTTCACAGGATATATGATAAAGTGAATTCACTGTATATTTTGTGGGTGACAATACGGCTGATCTGTACCTCGACTCTAATTACCCGCCCTTGCCCCTTATGCCTTGATACCCTGACCCGACAGATAGTTTAATCCACATAATCCACAGCCTTTTTTTGGTAGGGGGAGGGGGAAAGTTCCACATTTCCACTAGCATTTGGGTGAAAAAGTTTTCCCATTAAAAAACAAATCAGATAGAGGTGAGAGCCACTTCCTGGCATCGCACCCGGCCACCAACCAACCAACCAGCACCTGGTGTTGCCGCTAACGGCTTTCTCTCCCCATCTTAAATCCGTGGATTAGCGATGAATGGGCTCAGCTGGGAGAGCGCGAGAGACACATGGGGCTCGATGGGAGAGCGCACAGGCATTTGGTTACATGTGCAGATCCTGCAATCTGAGGAGAAAGCACTGCGTCTCCTCCCCACTGTGACCTCTTCAAGTCAAAGCGAGCGAGTCGCCCAACTCAGGCTAAGAATCTTTCTCCTCCTCACAACGAGTGCGTGGCCTAAAACAACGTTGTATTATTTATTGTGTAGCTCAGTGGTTAGAGCAGTCACCTCTGTTTACTAGCAGTAAGTAGGAACCCAGTTCACTTACTTACCAATCACCTGGGATTTCAATAACTCGTTCTGCGAAGTCACCGAGGAAACTTCCTTTTCCCTTCTGTTGAGCTTTTCGAACAGGTCTGAACACAGAGAGACAATGTTAGAAGCAGGAGAGGAAGGTGGTCACAGGTATAACAGTTAGTAATGACCTCAGAGATCATTACCTTCCATGGCCTGTTTCATGTGCTGTTTCTCTTTCGGCCAGTCGTTGCACTCCACAGGCTGCGGACACATGAACGACAGTTACTGTACAGTAAGGGGAAGACAGAACTCTCTACATATATAATACACTAAGGTTTGCCTGAAAAACAACATTCCAAATCATATACAAGTTTCTCATTGATCTCCTGGGTTTTTATATGTAAGTAAACTACATTTTCTCCACTGTATAAAGTAACATAATTCGACTAAAAAACTGTGCTTAAGATTCGGATTAACCTTAATTTGGGCTCAATTAATAGTTCAAGCATCACCTTGAGCTCAAGGTCTAGGCAGACATGATAGTGCAGTGTTGGGGGGGTTGAAGGGGGGGAGAGAAGGGTGGTGGAAGGAGGTAGATGACTAAAGGTGCTATCAAAGAGCTGAGTTTCAGGTGGGTTTTGAAAACGGAGAGGGAGGGAGGGATATAGTAGGTGAATGATCATCTGAAGATATTGATAATAATCCTTGCATTTTATATTGCGTCTCATCATGTCTTCGAGACGTCTCATGAAGCACTTCATAGAATATACTGTAGTGTGAATTGACTGTATATATTGTGGGCAAAATGAAGATGGCGGAGTAGAGGGAGCGGGCAACGTGACAGAGGCCTGAGATTGCGGAGAGGATGGAGTGGGTGGGGGGTGGTGGGAAGGGGTTTCCTCAAGCCCATAGACGTCGGACAGGGTATTGAGCGAAGATGGCTCAATTCGCTTCTCCTATCACAATCAGGCCAGAGAGAGAGAGAGAGAAAGAGGGAGATGCTCAATTTGGGGTCTGACGGGTACCTGAGGTGGGGGATGAGCTTCGAGGGCTTTGATCTTACTCTCGGAGGCTCTCAGCGTCTCCTGCAAACTCCAGACCTGCTGCTTGGCCAGAGCCTCCGACTGCTGCAGGACCTCATAGTCTAGAATCTTCCTCTCGGCCAGACAGATCTGCTCCTTCAGGAAGCTGATGGCCTGGGCTTGGGTCTTGTAGCCGTCTCGCAGCTCCTCCTGCTCGTTCAGTCTCAGTTGGGTCTTGCGCAGCTGATCGGTGACCATCAGGAGGTCCTGGTTCTGTTGACTGGTGGCGGCCTCCAGTTGGGCTCTCCAGACATCGTTATGTTCCGCCAGCTCGCTCTTGGCTTCCTGTAACTTGTCTCTGGCATCCTCTCTCTCCTTGATGTACACGGCCGTCTCGATCTCATGCTTGGCTTTGAGGTTCTCCAGCTCCAGCTGCTGCTCCATCTTCAAGCTCTCCAGTGTAGCTCTGAGCTCCACCAGCTCACTGTTCTGCCCGTCCGAGCCCGAGATCAACGAGAGCTTCAGCTCCTCCAGCGACCTCTGGTGGTCAGACACCAAGTTGTCCAACTTGTCCTTCCAGCCGTCCATCATCTCCATGTTCTCCTTGGTGGCTTGGTCCAGTCGCTGCCTTAACTCTGTGATATCCTGGCTGTACTTGGTGTTGGCAGCCTTCAGCCTCTCCGTCTCTTGCTGGTGCTCCTTCACCTTAATAATAATAATAATAATAAACCTAGTAATCGATATAGCGCCTCATCACGTCCTCGAGACGTCTCAAAGCGCTTCACAGAATCTACTGTAAAGTGAATTGACTGTATGTTTTATGACAAAAGGCGGCAGCCAATTGTGCACAGCAGTGTCCTGCAAACAGTCGTGGATTGAGTGACCCCATTGTTATCATTTTTTATTTATTTATTTTTGAAGGGATTATTACCCCCGGAAAGCGATCGGCCAATCGACTAACAAGTGGGTTCCTACTCACCTTGCTCTCAAGCTGCTCCCTCAGGGTGTTGCTCTCCACTTGATGCTCCCTGTTGGCACACAGGAGTTGCTCCCGTAGTTTGAAGGTCTCGGACTGGAGACTGAGGCTGTGCTCGGGATTGTCACTGTCTCTCAGCCCCAACTGCAGCTCCTCCATCTCCTTCCTCCTCAACTCCAGCTCCTCCTCGAGTTGGGCAATCCTGGACTTCTCAGCTTCGGTCGTGAGCTGAAAGTGAGGAAAAAGTAGTGAGCGCACGACACACTCCCACTCGAACTCTCCCTCTGGGTTCACCATCTAGGGCCCGGTCACAATGTGACATTATAATAATAATAATAATCCATGCATTTGATATAGCAACTTATCACGTCTCAAAGCACTTCACAGAATATACTGTCAAATGACTGGACTGTATTGAGACAGCTCAACGATGTGATAAGGCACTATGTCAAATGCAAGGATTATATCGATTATTATATACATTCCAAACAGCTAACTCTCACCGGCAGCTCTCTCCCAGGGAAGCTTGGCTTGTAACCCTTCACCAGCACTGCAGGGAGATTGGCTTTGAACAGACCATAACCCCACATGCAGCCAATGGGCTGGACAGCAGGGAAGCTGGGCTTTACTGAGAGGTTTAGTCAGTTGGGAGGACCTCTCTACTCTCACTCACACCCACCAGCGACCTTGCATTGCCTAGTCGCCCCGATACAGACCATCATCAGTTACGAAAAGCGTGCCAAGCAGCTAAGCAGAGCGAAATAGCAGCTCGCAAATAAAAAGCCTCTCCAACGCAGATGTGAAAGAAACCCAAGCCCATTTGTTCCAAGCAGGGAGTGAGTGAGACACCAAGTGGGGTGAGAGCAAAATGAAGCATTGTGAAGCCACATCGCCCACAGGCAATCTACAAGCTGACAGCAAGCCCCGTCCCACAACCACCTTTACCCTCGTGTCTTCAAACTCCTTTTGGAGTCGCTCAGCTTTGGCCTTTTCATACACGAGCCTCTGCTCGAGCTCCCGAATACGGGCATGCTCCAACTTTGTCTGTGTCTGTCCCCGAGAAAGAGGGTAGAGAGAGATGGTGGGGGGGGGGGGAGAGACAGCCGGTGGGGGGGGAGAGAGAGAGAAAGGGGGAGAGTGGGGGAGAGAGAGGGTGTGGGGTAAGAGAGAGGGGGGGAAAGAGAGCGAAATGGAGGGGGGAGAGGGAAGAAAGAGAGGGAGGGTGGGGAAGAGAGAGAGAGAGGGGGGCAGGAAAGAGAGAGAGTAACTCTCAGTAGGACAATCAGTAGGAAACAAAGGCTAAAGATTACAAAGTGAAGTTACACAGTCGGACAGAAAGGGGAGAATCCAATACCATTCGGTTATTGCTCCAACATTCCCACTCCCAAAGGATTCATTCCTTCTCCCTCGAAGCAGTGATACCCCCCTTCTCACCCTCCCCACCTCACCCCCCCGAGGATCAGACAGGTAAATTACCTGCAGATTTCTAATCTGATGAATAATCTTCACTGGGGCTATAGTGTGTAAAAAAGAAGTTTCACTTTGTTTTTGTACAGCATTGTTTTGAAAAGAAACGGCTTCTAAATCAAGAACAGATTGAAGAATTTACGACAATTCAGTGCATTTTTTAAAAAAAATTTCAAGACAAAATGATCACAGGTATCACAGGCTGAGACTAAGTGGAATTTCAGGCCTGGAATCTCCGCATCTTCACACTAAACCCAAGGCTTCTGAGTTAAGGTCCAGCACCTCTTGGTTGCCAAATCATTGAGCGCTATGTGTTTCATTGTAGGAGAGGATAATTTGCATTGAAGCCTTTACCTCCAGATCCCCTTTAGTGATCGACTCTTCCTCCACTCGGAATTGCAGATCTTCAATCTTCCTGTCGAACCATAAAAAGAAAAAGGTTTAGTTATGAAGCAAAATAACAACAATAATCCTGGCATTTGATACGGCGCCTTATTACGTCTTCGAGACGTCTCATGGCGCTTCACAGGATACACTGTAAAGTGAATTGACTGGGTATTTTGTGGGCGGGATACACGGTGATACGGGGGCTACACTGTTTGTCCAGCATCTGAGAGCATGAACGTTTAAGTCCAGAGTCGGGGAAAGTGTTTGAAGTGCGAGGAGGTAAAACCAAATGAGTGATAGAGCAATGAGCTACAAGGAACGATTAGATAGTCTAGAACTCTTTATCTTAGACAAAGCACTGCCTTTACCTCTTCTCCTCCTCCAGTGTGTTAAGTAGTTCCACCTTTTGTCTCTCCGCATTGTTTAGCAGGGTTCCCACACGCTGGAGATTAGCCTCAGCCTCGGCCACGAACTGCAACAAAGAACATCAGTCACTCCGCAAGGCAGAGGGCACTCACAAGCGACTGTCCATTTACTGGAGGATTTTATCAATGCCAAATTTTCAGGGTTGGGATCAGGAGGAGTGGAGGGCAGGGAGGGTGGGGTAGGAGGTACCCAAAGGCGCAGTCGAAGAGGAAAGTCTTGAGACGTGCCTTGAAGGAAGCGAGGGAGGGAATGAGGCGAAGGGACTACGGGATTGAGAGACTGAAGGCCCGACCGGCCATGGTGGGGTGGGCCAGGCAGGGGAATGTGGAGCAGGCTGGAACCCCCGCTGAGCGGAGGAAACGGACAGGTCTATATGGCAGGCCAAATGGTGTGGTGAATAAACTCCAGTTTACAGACCAGGATCGGATGGTTTGATCCTGGTCCAACCAGAGCCTCTCTCTATGCCAGAATGTCACCTCACCTGCTCGTGTGTAGCCTTCAACACTGTCAGCTCCTTCTCCACCTCACAGATGTGGCTGGTGGCCTTGGCTACCTCGGCTCGCTCCAGGTCTCGCTCAGCAAGCAGCTGCTCGATGTGCTGCTGTTTTTCCTTCAGAGCCTCCTGCAGGGCTGTGGTGCCCGAGATCTTCCTGGCGTAGCGGGAGGACGTCTCCGTCAGCTGGAGAGAGGCCACACACATCAACATCAACAACTCGTGCTTAACACACAGCCTTTTGTGTCGGAAAAGATCCCAAAGTGGAGTCCTGTAGCTCAGTGGTTAGCGCACTCACCTCGCAAGCAAGAGGACTTGGGTTCTATTCCTGGGCAGAGCGAAATGTTAGGGCAAGTTGCCTTACTCCACACGCCTCTGTTTACCAGCAGTAAGTAGGAACCCGGTTGTTAGTCGATTGGCAAATCGCTTTTCCGGTAATAATCCCTCAAAAAAAATTGGTCTCTTAATCCACGACTGTCTGTGGGACACTCACTGCTGTACGCAATTGGCTGCCGTGTTTCACCCACAAAATATACAGTCAATTCACTTTAATATATATAACAGTATATCCAGTGAAGTGCTTTGAGACATTGTGAAGACGCGATAAGGCGCTACATCAAATGCAACGATTATTATTATTATTATTAATAACAAGTACGTTCTAGGAATATGGTCAGTAGGTTCTTACCAGTCCTGTGCGGCTTGGCCTGCCGCCCACAGACGAGGCCACCGAGCTGACGGAGCTGATGGAGGAGCTGCTGGGGCTCTGGGTGAGGGACGAAACGCCCATGGCCATCCTCTTGCTCTTCTTGGCTTTGGCCGGGGTGGTGGAGGGGAAGCCGATCCGCATGACCTTGTGAATTGGAGCAAAAAGGCCAAACTTGGGTGGGCATTGGAAGTATCTGTAAAGACGCACAAAAATCAGGAGAAAACATCTGAGCTGCAATGAACCGAGTGTGAGAAGCGCGAGTGTCAGTCAGGTATGCACTGCACAACCTCAACCAGAGGAACATGGAATCACCAGTGGTTGTGAGATTCAGTGAGGTCCAGCAGGTCAGTGGTTAACGCACACGCCTTGCAAGCGAGAAGGACTGGGGTTCGATCCCCAGGCAGAGAGGCTGAAGGTCTCACTGCAGATGATGGGGCGGGGCAGGTGGGGACTTGGAGCAGACCGGAGCCCGCTGAGCCGAGGGAACGGACAGGTTCATATACGTTGTTGTCTGTTGTCGAGAGTGGAGTCGGTGAGGGATACATTACCTGGTACCGGCTACAGCTCCGTCATTTTTCCCGAGTGGCTCATCCAGCTCGACACCACACCACTCCCCCTTCGCAAAGTCCGTCTCCCCCACGTACTTCACCACTCCTGTCTTGGTGCCGCCCACCTATGAAGAGGGAGGGAGAGGATGTCTGAACAACTGCGCCAAACCCCCACCCAGTCCCTCCCCAACCACTCCTTACCGGGAGGACTTACCAGAACCCGATCTCCCAGCCTGAGGTCCTTGTCCCCCTTCTTCACAGAGCCGCTGTCGGAGAGGTTGGATCCCGACTCGTTGCCGGTCTTCATGGAGTTGTTGAGGATGCTCTCCCTCAGCGGGAGAGTACAGTTGACCCTCTGGGCTGAGAGGGTGGGGTTGGCCGCGCCGTGATGGGGGGACGGGTGGGTGATGGTCACGGACTCGGCCGAGTGGGTGTCACTGCCCCCGCCGTCGGTGGACAGGTATCGGGAGAGCTTCGAGGGTCTGGTGAAGATGCCCTGCAGAGCCTCACACTGGAAGTACCGGACGCCTCCCACCGACCCGTCGTTCTTGCCCACCAGCTCATCCAGAACCACCCCGGCCCACTTGCCCGGAGCGAACTGGGTTTCTCCCAGGAACTGGATGGCGCCGGGCTTCACGCCGTTCACCCAGATCCGCTCGCCGACCGTAAAGTCCCCAATAAAGTCGTCTCCCACCTCCGTGGTCTTGGAGCCCAACCGGTCAGCCACAGAGGCCGGGGCGGCAGCATTCTGCTTGTGCAATGGGGAACCTTCGCAAGCCAAGCACAGGGAGAGGAGGCCATGTTAAGGAGGCCAAACAGCGATATCAATGGCCACCTCAAAACACTTCACAGGACTCACCATGTACTGCACCCGAGCTGTGGGTTGGGATCAGGGAGGGGCGGAGGGTGGGGGGCAGAGGAGGGAAGATATCGAAGGTGCAGTCGAAAAGGAATGTCTTGAGATGGGCCTTGAAGGAGGCAAAGCGGAGGGGCTCAGGATGGGAGTTAAAAATTAAAACCTCTATGAAGTCTCCTGTACGTACATATTCCCTCGCTCCTCGACTTCCTCTCTCCACCCGCCCCCGCGGCTGTCTTAAGGACTGATGCTTTCTGTTTTTCTGACGGGGCGGAACCCGGGAGCTCTTTATTCCGAGCCACAGTAACTCAGACACCACGACCATGTTTTGCTACAGTCTGTAATTTTATACGGTAACCACCGCCTTAAATGAGAGAGCTTGGAACCCCAGCCACTTCCTGCTACCAGCTAACTCATCTGTGCCAATGGGGAAAGCTCTTTCAATGATGATAATAATAACAATAATCCTTGCATATGATACAGTGTCTTATCACGTCTGGTCAACAGACTAAGGAATGGTCTTTGAGGCTTAAAATTTAGGTCTCAGGAGGTCCCTCTGGAATTGGTTTCAATGCGTTTCTCCAGCAGCTTAAAGCCACCTTAAGGCAGCGAGTCCCAGCTCACGTCCCTTGTAACCGATTCACCGATGGGTGAAAATAACCTCCCGCTGTTCATCAGGATTCATAAACGGGGTTTATTTTTGTTCTCAAAGAAGGTTTCCTGCAGTATTTGTGCTCTCGGCTCTATTTCCTATGTGAGTACCAACTAAATCGTGTCTGGAGGAGATCAAGCAACACTTTAGTCACTCAGGGGAAGGATATAGACTGACACGGTGGCCATCTGTGTCAGTCTGCTGTGTGAGTGTGTATAGGCTGCCCGGTGTGAAGGGCACTGAATAAATGCAAGTTGTTGTTGCTGCTCCGTGCCCAGTGAGCTGGCGGCTGACTGATGTAGGTGTGTTTTTAAGGTCACGGAGCGAGTGCAGACACACTATAGTGAGCCGGGCTCCAGGTCGTTCGTGCTGGATAACGCTTTAAGAGTAAAGACCGACAGGCGCGGTGCCTGTAACTTGGCTTATAACCCCAGACTCCTCCACCTCACTGTAGACAGGGACTGTCGGGACCCTTCACTGTTGCCATAGTGATTGCTCATCTCACTCTGGTCCCTGCTTCCTCGGCTGTTCCATTATTTCAGAGCCGGGGGAGGGGTCCCCGTCGGCCTTTCTGCCCATTGATCGGAAGAGTCGCAGTGGTGTTGGTGCTCAGCGATATAACCGTACAGCTGGGCTTGGCTGCTCCGCGCTCACTCACTCACTCACCTTCACACAAACCCACCACACTCTCGCCCCCCCGCTCCGCCTCCCCCAACCTCCTTCAAACCCACTGTCCCCGTCACCCCCTCGCTCAGGGGTACCAGCCTCATGTCCCCCCTCCCTATCCAACCCACCATCAGCGGGCGAGGGGGCATTCAGCCAATTTGTCCCCGTTCTCTGGAACTCCATCGTGGAGTCCCTCCCTCATTTGTCTCAAGACGCTCCATTTGATAGTAACTGCCTGTGAAGTGCTTTAATATAATAAAATGCTATCGAAAGTCCTTTCTTTCTTAACCTATGATATTAATGGTGGTCGGGAGCTGCTATTTCTAGACTAGATCAGTGGGATTCGCTCTGTATTGTAGTGGTTTGCGCCACTCAATTCACTTTACAGTGTATCCTGTGAAGAGCTTTGAGACATCTCAAAGATGTGATAAGGCGCTATATCAAATGCAAGGATTACTGTTTTATTATTATGTTTATACACTATGTTTAGGAACAGGAGGAGACCATTCAGTCCATCAAGCCTGCTCAGCACAGTCTCTCTCACACACACACGCAGCCCAGCATCAACAATAAGTCATCTGCAAGCTAAAAATATCTTTTTTGTACACAGCCTCTGTTTACAGACAGAGAGACCGAGCTGGGCTGGAGTTCTCCCACAGCACTGGGAGAGATCATTGCACTGAGACAGTGCAGACACGGAGCCTAAGGAGGACGTGACTGAGCCGAGTTGCTTTTTGCTGACGATGTCATGCTTTCTGCAGTCGCCCCGCTCACACTCTCTGGTCGCTGCAGAGGCTGAGAGCAGAATGGAGGGCTGTTCGGCTCACAACAAAACTGCAGCTCAAAGCATTTTGGCTTTCAATGGCCCGGGCACTTCACCATGGTAACGGCGAGAGGAGGTGGTGGGATCCAACACAGTGTCTCCATTCAGTCACAGCGTCAACTGGGACACCATCCACATCCCTGGGCCGGGCCCTGCCCGCCACCGCTCCCCCGGGCCCTGCCCGCCACCGCTCCCCCGGGCCCTGCCCGCCACCGCTCCCCCGGGCCCTGCCCGCCACCGCTCCCCCGGGCCCTGCCCGCCACCGCTCCCCGGGCCCTGCCCGCCACCGCTCCCCCGGGCCCTGCCCGCCACCGCTCCCCCGGGCCCTGCCCGCCACCGCTCCCCCGGGCCCTGCCCGCCACTGCTCCCCCGGGCCCTGCCCGCCACCGCCTCACAAAGTGGCAGGACCTGGTTTCAATTCCCGAGCAGGGCGAAACCTGAGGCAAAGGTTTCCTTACTCCACACTCCTGCGTACCTAGCAGCAGCATTATTGTTATTATTGTTCCGTGTACAGGAGAGAATTACCAGCTGTTATGGAGAAGGTGGCAGAGACTGCCCTATTTATTACAGTGGAGAGATGGTTGTCTGCACGGGTTGGGAAGGGCCCCCTTTACGAATAAGCAAACAGTGCAGATAATTGGATATCACACAAAATAAAACTGTCAGCAATGCTATCACTGTAATACCACACTATGCCAGCTCTCTCTCCCCATTAGTCTCTCTAACCGGGTTCCTATTTACTGTTAGTTAAACCGAAGCATGTAGAGTAAGGAAACTTGCTTAACATTTGGCCCGGCCCAGGAATCGAACCCAGGGCCTCTCGCTTGCGAGGCGAGTGCTCTAACCACTCAGCTGCAGGACTCCACAAATCGCACCAAACACAGTACGTCTGACAGCACAAGACAGGACGGATTGAACCCTGCAGGCATCCATATGGGATCCACACTGGGTAATAGGTTTACTGATTCTCTACCCCAGCGCAGCTCAAAACAGCTGCAAATTCAGGGCTAAAGCTCAAGTAACAGCTGCAATGGAGAAGGTGGGAGAGACTTCGCCGATTGTTAGCAATAGGGAAGGCTGACGTTCTTTGTCTCAGGAGGCCAGAGGCAAACCTGCCAAAGATTTTTAACTGGGCAGCTACAGTATATCCCGTGAATGGTTCAAGGACGAGATACAGTGCTATATCAAATGCAAGGATTATATTATTAATTATTATTATGGGAATCTTGTGTTTTTTAACGTGGCGTCAATATTTGCTGTTAATGTGAATGAGCGGGTAATAATAATAATAATCCTTGCATTTGATATAGCGCCTTATCACATCATTGAGACACAGGATATACTGTAAAGTGTGCGATTTGTGGGTGAAACGTGGCAGCCAATTGCACACAGCAGTGTAGGTTCATAAGAATTTCCTGGCGAAAGAAGACCAAGGTCCATCGAGCTCGCCTTCCACCAACCTGGTAGTCGCTTGACATGTCGTGTCCCAAACTATATATTGTATCTCAAGGTATTAGATTCTAGCAGAAATCTATCTAATTTGTTCTTGAAACAGCAAGGCTGGTCAAACGTTCCTTTGGATGGATGCCAGTGTATTCCTGCAAGCCCACAGCTAATAAAAGGTACCAACACAGCCTGGCATCATCTCGCAATGGGCTTGACTCCAGAATGGCCCAAACAAAAGAGCTGTCCCAAACTCACACAATTAACAAGAGAGCGGAGACTCAGCCCTGAAATTCCTCACGGTCTCAGCCTGAAAACTGCCGTCTTCACGTTTAAGATGGTGACTTTTTTTGTGCAAACAAATTCTTCCCACCCCGTGTCAAGTCTGAATAAAAATACTAACAACTTGGTCACTCAATCCACCCACCACTGCTTGTGGGAGACTGCTGTGCGCAATTGGCTGCCGCAATTTCACTCACAAGATATGCAGTCAATGCACTTTACCGTATATTCTGTGAAACGCTTTGAGACGTCTCAGGGATTTTCTGTCTGTCAGTGATTTTCTTAGGCAATCCTGCATGGGGTGGGGGGGGAAGGGAGGGTGAAGAGAGAGGGTGGGGGGTAGGGAGTGCAGTGTAGAAGAAGGTCACAGGTTTGGCTCTGGTCTGTGCTGCTGACTCTGTTCATCTCCTGGCTGGAGAGCAGGGAACGGCAGAGGGAACAGCACTGAACGTCAACAACATCAACAGCCCACAGCTGAGCTGCTCATGAATGGAGGCTCAGTGGCCGCGGGAGTTCTGGGTTTATTGTGATGAAGGGAAGGTGGGCGGCAAATGGCTCGACTATTTCTCTGCCTTTTTTTTTTGCTGGTCACCGGGTGTCTGACACGCGCGGAAACCCATCACCGCACTTAAGAGTCTCCAACCTACACTGAGTTCTGTACATGCACTGACATTTCCCTTTATCTAATATGCAGCATGTCCTCTCTCTCTCTCCTCAGAGGAACAGACCCTGTTCCCCTTTTCCAGGAATGTATTAGGTACCGAGGTAAAGCTTAAGCGCTCCAGGAACCTATCCCGCGTGAGGGGCGCTAGATAAATGCAAGTTGTTGTTGCGGTGGGGACCGCAGAGGCGTGTGCTGAGGGCTAACTACTAATGTTTTATTTAGCTAAAACTGCACAGCAACTGATGAGCCAGGCTGGTTTGCTATCGATAGTGCTTGTCTGACAAGCTTTACCGCTGCTTGTCCTGGGGCTAATTTCAATTGTAGCCCTTATAGCCAGGGACGGTGCAAACCAGGAACGGAAGCCGAGACTTTCATTTGGTGCCGTCAGTGGCCAACCAGGCAATAGAGGCAACAAGAATTGTGTGTGTGTGTGTGTGTGTGTATATAGCGCCTTTCACGTAGGGAGGACATCCCAAGACGCTGGACAGTCAGGAATCAGAAACTCCTGACAGAACATGCTGCTTGCTGTCAGATGCGAGGCTGTACTAACCACACGTGGGGGAGGCTATGGCGTAAGGTGGGTAAACATGCACCAACGTGAATAGTTTTGCTCAGACGGTGTGGATTATAACACGGCTTTAATCAGTCTCCAAGCACTGTGCCACACCCACTCACTGGTACCACATTTGCCCACAAATACACACACTGCACTCAACGCAATTACTGTGAACCTCTTTGAGACACGGTAGCCCTTGTATTTGATAGAACGCCATACCACACTGGTAAAAACACCTCAATGTTTTACACAATTTACTACAAAGTGTAGTGACTGTGCATTTGTGGGTGAACATGGCAGCCAATTTACTCGCAGCTTGGGACTCTCAGTGAATGATTAGCAGAATGCAGGGTGGGGGAGGGGAAAAGAGGCAAAGATGACTATTTTAGCTGTTATATTCTTTCTTCTCTCAAAAGGCAGGTAAATTGACAAAACAGAATCCCCTATTCCTACAGACTGAGGGAGTAAGGCAATTCCTAAACCAAAAAAAAATAACTTGAGCTGCTTTGAATCAAGCTGCCTGACAACCAGGCTGGTCAAATCAATATTATGGGAGAGGGGGGGGGTAGGGTACCAGATGAAACCACAATCTCCGTGCATGCAGGGAGGGGGTGCAATCTTATCAGGGATTCTAGAGGCTGGAGATAGGTAATGTCAACAACAACAGCTTGGACATCAATCCACGACTGTTTGTGGGACATTGCTGTGCGCAATTCGCTGCCGTGTTTCGCCCACAAATATACGGTCAATTCACTTTACAGTCTATTCTGTGAAGCGCTTTGAGACGTCTCGAAGACGTGAAAAGCGCTATATCAAATGCAAGGATTATTATTATTATATAGCGCTGTAGGGCCCCTCACACAGGGTAGCATCCCAGAGCGCTTAGAGGGAAGGTTATATAGCGCATCTGTGTGTGAGGCGGAGGGCATTAAAATGCCACTCAGTCTCTGGCCTAATGTCTTCAGCCTCTCCCCCTCTCCACATACATACACATAACTGCATGTAGCTCCCCATACATATACACATAGACAAACATGCACACGACATGTATACTCTCCCCCCCCATATGCACGTTGATCTCATCCTCACAAAATGTACAGTGAATTCACTATATCCCGTGAAGCGCTTTGAGACGTCTCGAAGACGTGATAAGGCGTTGCATCAAATGCAAGGATTATTATTACTATTGTTGTTGTCCCTTCACACAGCCGATTGGCAGCAGACAAAAGAATTTCTGTCAAATGATTCCTCAATCCCCTAACCCCCTCCCCTCACACACAGAGGGAACCCCAGCTTTGTGTGGCCTTTCTGGCTACAGACAGGACAATGCTTTCCCAGAGAGCCTCATATACAGCCTCTTACCTTCCTTGGGGGCCGCTGTTGTTGCTGCCGAGCTACGACCCATAGGGCTGGAGTGCTTGTTGACCCTTCCTGGGGCTTTCAGCCCACTGGGCTTTAACAGACTCATCCCTCACTCCCGGGCGGGGCTGGTCCTGGGGCTCTGTACCAGGAGGGATGGGGTGGACTGGGCTGAGGGTCAGTCAGGGCTCACACCTCCCAGAGACCTGCAGCACCTTCCACTGCCATCTTCACACACACACAACCTGTGGGGGGCAGAGGACAAGAGAGGAGTGGGTGGGGGTGAGAGAGAGAGAGAGAGAGAGGGGGAGAGAGAAAGCTGCATCATTGACATTGGAGGAGAAATCCACCCATCCCATCGCCTGTCACATGGCACCACTGTGTTTCAATGCAAAAGCCTCTCTTTCTCTCTCCTATTGTGCTTTCACCATCATCTCTCTGTGTAATACTCACCGTCTGTCCGTCTGTCTGTGTCCTTATGCAGATTTTGTGGCACACACAGCGAAGTCTCTCAACGCTTCTTCTCTCACAGACGATTGATCAGATGATGGTACTTAAAACACTGTCCTTTTCCTCTGTCTGTGCCTCTCCTCTGTCTGTGCCTCTCCTCTGTCTGTGCCTCTCCTCTGTCTGTGTCTCTCCTCTGTCTGTGTGTCCCTCTGTGCGCCTCTCTCTCTCTCTCTCCCACCTCTGCTGTCTGTGTCTCTCCTGTGTCGGATACAGACAGACGGACAGACGGACGGACAGACAGACAGACAGACAGTCCCTGGTTGTGTGCTCCGGGAGGGCAGTGGGGGGGAAGCTGCCCCCACAGGAGCTGTCCAAAGCTATTCAGCTGCAGAGAGAAACGCGATCACACAGTGATGATCACAGAGCATCGCTCGAATAATGACTTGCACTCTCCCCGCAGTGCCCGAGCAGTGAGATCTGACTCGTCACTGAGAGAGGGAGGGAGGGAGGAGGGAGAGGGGGAGGGAGGAGGGAGAGGGGGAGGGAGGGAGTGAATGAGGGAGGGAGGGAGGGAGGAGGGAGAGAGGCTCACACGAGCTCTGCCTCCAGTCCAATGAACAAATGAACAAAAGGGAAAGCAGCGGCAGAGAGGGCGCTGGTCGGGCTGTGGTGTGTGTGTGGGCTGTGGGGGGTGGGGGCTGTGGGGTGTGGTGGTGTGGGGTGGGGGCTGTGGGGGGTGGGGGCTGTGGGTGTGTGAGGGTGTGGGGGTGGGGCTGTGGTGGGTGTGGGGTGGGGGTGTGGGGGTGTGGGGTGGTGGGCTGTGGGGGTGTGGGGTGGGGGCTGTGGGGGGTGTGGGCTGTGGGGTGGGGTGTGGGGTGGGGGCTGTTGGTGGGTGTGGGCTGTGGTGTGTGTGGGGTGGGGGCTGTGGGGTGTGTGAGTGCTGTGGGGGTGTGGGGTGGGGGCTGTGGTGTGTGTGAGGGCTGTGTGGGGTGGGGGCTGTGGTGTGTGAGGGCTGTGGGGGGTGTGGGCTTTGGTGGGTGTGGGGTGGGGGCTGTGGGGTGTGGGCTGTGGTGTGTGTGGGGTGGGGGCTGTGGGGCTGTGGGGGGGGCTCCAGCTGCCTCCTTCATGGGTTATTCATTAGGGAAACAGCTGGGGCCAGGAAGTTGGTGTCAAACAAAGACGGAAGCCGGGAATTTTGTCTTCAATCCCCCCCCTCCCTCCCCCTCCCCCTGAAATATTCCCGCAAATTAACCCTATCCCAAATATTCCCCATTCTCACCCACAAAACATAAAAGTCACGACACTTCACGGTATATCCTGTGAAGCGCTTTGAGACGTCTCGAAGACTGTGATAAGGCGCCGTCTGAAACGCTGGGATCATCATTATTATTATTATTAATTTAACCTTTCCCCAAATATTCCCAGGGACACGGAGTCCGGCTGCATTGCTCCCACTGAGACCTGTGATCGCAGCCCAAGCATCACCACCCCAAGCTTTGCTCTTATGGAACGAGACACCGGGGAAAGCAGATTCCGTAGTTATTCCCTCCTTTATCCGATTCCGTCATTGTTAATAATAATCCTTGTATTTGGTACAGCGCCTTTATCACATCTTCGAGACGGATCAAAGAGCTTCGCGGTCTGTCCTGCGAAGTAAATTTGACTATTTTTCACGGGTGAAACGCAGCAGCCAATTGCTCACGGCTGTGCCCCACGAACGGTCGTGGATTGAGTGACCACTTTTTTGTTTGTGGTTCTGGTTGAAGGGATTATTACCCCCAGAAACGCGATCCGCCAATCAAATAACAACCGGGTTCCAACCCGCCGCCAGGTTAGGTCCACAGAGCTCGGCGGAGTAAGGAAAGTTGCCCAACATTTCGCCCGGCCCGGGATCGGACCCACGCTCTCTCGCTTGCGAGGCGAGTGCGCTGACCCCCCTACGCCACAGAAGGCCTCACACAGGACCCCGCCCAAAGCCACGAGGGGAAACAGCTGGAGAACGAAGGGAGGGCGCTGCTCCATCCAGCTGTTTGGCTCGGGGACTATCCGTCAGGGAGGTGAAAGCGTTAGGAGAGTTACATGGCACACGGCGACGGGCCGCTCGCTGGACTCTGCGCGCGGTTTCTCGGTGTGTGGGGGGGGGGGGGGGGGGTGCGGGGAGGGGGAGGTGGGCAGTGCCAACCAACAGCCGAACGTGCAAAGGCCCCGCATCGAACGCGAGGATCATTATTACTGCAATTATTATTACTAATTATTAATTATGACCGGGAGAGGAGGTCCAGCTTTAAGAGGCGGGGTTTCTGGGGGAGGAGGAGGCGGGGTTTCGGGGGGAGGGGGCGGGGTTTCGGGGGCAGGGGGCGGGGTTTCGGGGGGGCGGGGCCACGGGTGTCAATTTCTCGCGGGAAACTGTAAGCAGCTGATCACCGGGTCTGGGGGGAGGGGGTCCCCGAGAGGGAACCACTGGAGGCGCCGCCACCGACACCGACACCGACTGGTTATTCCTGAGAGAGAGAGAGAGAGAGAGAGGGCTCTGACCTCAGCCCCGACCCCCGCGGCTGTCTGTCTGTCTGTCTGGAGGGAGAGAGAGAGGAGACGGGTGTTTCTCTGGGTGTCCTACACCCCCCCCCACACACACCCACACACACACACACACCCCACACACCCCCCCAACACACACATATATACACCACACCCACCGCCCCCCCCCACACACACCCACCCACACACCCCCCCCCCCCCCCCCATGGTGATCCTCAGGGAGGGGATCTGTCCCGGAGTCACCGCGCAACTCGTTCAGGCTTTGAAAGGACAGAATGTGAAAACGGGTAAGTGTGACTCCAGCAGCTCCTCTCCCCCCTCCCCCCCCCCATTCCCCTCCCCCCTCCCCCCCCCACTCCCCCCCCCCCCCCCCCCCCCCCCCCTCCCCCCCACTCCCCCCTCCCCCCCAGTCAGTCATCCTGATCCTGAAAGCAGCCCAAACTATCTCGAGTACTACTACTAATAATAACAGCAATCCTTGTGTTTGACACAGTGAGTCCTCCCTCAAATGGGATTGTGTCTTGTGTTGCAGTGGTGGACCTGGTGTCCTCGGACATTGAGGAGTTGGCTCGGAAATGCTCGGTGTCCTACAAGGTACTGGGGGTGGGGGGGGGTCATGTCTCGTGTCGCGCCTCCCCGCCCCAAGCCGCTGGAAAATCTGTCCCGGAAACACCCCCCCCCCTCCCCTTGCCAGTCTCAAGACCCTCCTCTTTGACCGCGCCTTCGGTCACCCTCTCACTCTTACCTTCCCTGCCTCCTACCTCCTCCCTCCTCGTTCCAACTCCCGGCTCGGGTGCACGTCCCCGGATTGTCCAGCGCCTTGGGCCGTTCTCCCAACGCGAGCGGCGCCCTGTAATCTGCGATTACTGTCGCCTCGTTTCAGATGCTGGTCGCCGTGAGGCGCGTGCTGCTCGCGCAGTATTCTCCGTTCCCTTCCAACGGCGCGGACGTGTACGAGGAAGTTCTGGGCTCCACGGCAATCCTGTCCACAGGGAACAAGAAGTAGGTGATACCCGAACCCTCCCGTAAAGTCAGCCGCTCCTCAACGCTGGTTACAAGTCCTGTAGTTTGGCGGTTAGGGCACTCGCCTCGCAGGCGAGAGGACCCGGTTCGATTCCCGGGCGGGGCAGGGCGAAACGTGAGGCGAGTTTCCTTACTCCACACGCCTCTGTTTACCCAGCAGTAAGTAGGAACCCTGTTGTGATAAGAGGACAGTAGGGTGGGTGGGCTCTGGAGGAATGAGATGAAACGGGCTGAGGGCAAACTTCATCCCAATCCCTCGTGGTCTAGTACTGAAGCCAGAGCCTCAGTGTGTCTGTGATCAGCCTCTCTGACCATCCATCTGTCTTGGCCTCTGCAGCCTGGACAAACTGCTGGATTCGGGCCTTTACACCGGAGAGCTGACCGAGTTTGTGGGAGCTCCGGGCAGCGGGAAAACCCAGGTAAGGTCCCCTCTCTGCCCTGTCCCTGTGTGAGGCCCATTTAAAATGCAAATGACTGTACAATTGATCAGATCAGCTTGTGCAGATCACGCCTTAGGACCTTCCTCTTCGACCGTGCTTACAGTCACCTCTCTCTGGCTCAGCTTCAGGCTCCACCCGCTGCTGAGCTCTCCAGGACTCTCCCCTGCGTGAGGGGCGCTCTATAATTGCAAGTTGATGTTTGTCCCCTTCTCCAGGTGTGCCTCAGTTTGGCAGTGAACATCTCGTGTGAGTTGAAGCAGAAGGTGGTGTACGTGGACTCGACAGGGGGGCTGAGCGCCTCCCGCCTGCTGGAGCTGATTCAGAGCCAGGTGGACAGCGCGGAACAACAGGTAATAATCCTTCAAAAAAAAGCGTACTCACTGAATCCATGACTATGTGTGGGACACTGCTGTGCGCCATTGACTGCCGCATTTCGCCCACAAAATTAGTCAATCCACTTAACAGTATATCCTGTGAAGTGGTTTGAGACGTCTCAGTGGCAGTCAATGACAAATGCTAAGGTCATTATTGTTATTGTTGTTGTCTGTCTCCTAATCAGCGCCTTGGGACGTCCTCCCGACGTGAAAGGCGCTCGATAAATGGAATCTTGTTGTTGTTGTAATCCAGACCGATGCTCTTCAGAGGATCGAGGTGGTGCGTGTGTTTGATGTCTACGGGATGTTGGATGTTCTGCAGGACCTGAGGACAAGTTTCACACAGCAGGTGGGAGAGCGAGAGCGAGGAGTAAAGATGTATTTTCCGCTGGGGGTGGGTGTTTGGCCTATTGTGTTGGGGTCACAGGTAAAGGGGGAACGTGATTAAGTGGCCTTCATATCGTCAGCGTATGATAATAAATGCGATATTGTACTGATAATGGCTGTGAGAGAAAGAGAGAGAATGAGTGTCTGAGAGTAATTTAGGCACAAGAAAAGAGTGATGGGCTCTAGAGGGAGAAGTTGTGTGAGAAGGATAGATGCACAGGGGGAGAAAGGTAGGGAGAGAGAGACGGAGAGAGTTTGTGAGAAAGAGACTTTCCCGAGCTGGTGTGACAAGGCACTAGACGGGGTCTGACCTGCACTCAGTGGCTGGTAACGTGGTCGCTAACGACATGGCAGTAACACGCATGTGGTTGAGAGGGTCGTTGCATGGCATGACGTGATGTGTACTTGCTGTTTCTGCAGGTGACCGGCGCTCGGGCCTCGGTCAAAGCTGTGGTGATCGATTCGGTCTGTGCTGTCCTGTCCACGGTGTTGAGTGGCAGCCTGGCAGAAGGTGAGAGATGGTCTGAGTGTTCTGGTCTGCTCAGAATTCAAGGCATTGCTTTACTATGGTTGCACTATGCCAACACCTTGCATTTATAGTGTCTTTCACATAGGATAACATCTTGGAGCGCTTTATAATGGTGGGGTCGGATGCCGGGGGGATTGGGAGTGGGGGTGGGTGGGAAGTGATGTTGACCATAGGTGCTGTCAAAGAGGTACTTCAAGTTATTGACCCTTTATCAAACAGGGTCAAAGTTGGACTGCTCCCACCTTGTTGCGAGCTCTGCTGCCTGGAGTCTGCCATTAATGCCTCTCTCTCCCTCCTTCCCTCCCTCTCTCAGGCATGGCTATCATGATGCAGCTGGCAAGAGCACTGAAGACTATGGCCAGAGAGCTGGGTGTCGCTGTGGTAGTGAGTATAGAGCGAGGATAGAGATCAACAACTCGACTGCCGAAGCAGTCTTGGTTCAATGAGCATTCAAAGATGTTCAGTCCTGTAGCTTAGAGGTTAGAGCACTCACCTCGCAAGTGAGACACATTCGGGTTCGATTCCCGGGCAGATCAGGACGAAACCTTAGGCAAGTTTCCTTACTCCACACGCCTTTGTTTACCTAGCAGTAAGTAGGAATCTGTTTGTTAGTCGATTGGCTGATTGCTTTTCCGGGGATAATAATCCCTTCAAAAAAATTAACTGCATGAATAACCCCCATAGGACAGTGTAGATTGATGAGACGTTTTCCCGTCTCTCAGGTGACGAATGGTGTGGTCCAGGACATGGGAGGAGGTGTGAAGCCTGCGCTGGGCCGCTCCTGGAGCTATGTCCCCAATGCCCGGGTCCTTCTACAGCGCGAGGCAGAGATGGGGAGCTTACAGGAGACCAAACGCTCAGCAACAGTGCTGAAATCATCCCGCCAGGTGAGTGAACAGCAGCGATGCTGCTTACAGGTGAGGGGCAGCCCAGACCCATGGGATGAAAGACTCGCATCCCAGCTGTGAACGGGGTTTGTGCGGTTGGAATCTGGTTTCTGAGTGTGTGGGGGCTTCAGCAGAAACAGCCATAAACTGACCAATTTGTCGAGTGAAGTCCATCAATGTATTGAATGGATTTTTTTTTAAGTTAACAAAAATGTGTTTGAATCTGCTGAGCGGAGGAGCGGACAGGCAGGTACGTGGGGTTAGCAGGTCACTGAGGTAGGAGGAGCAAGGCCGTGGAGAGCTTCTATGGCTGTCACAATAGGTAACTAGCTATGGGGAGTGCTGGATTGTGTCCGAGAATAATTGGATTTTTAACCAAACATGATGCTGTTGTTCCTTTTTTTCTTAAACCAGCCGACCGGGCTCACAGCAGAGCTACACATTACCGGCAGTGGGACTCTAGAGAACCAAACAGCTACTGATGCCCTCGACAACACATAGTAACACTCACCCAGCAGCGATGAAGCTCTGCATCTTCTGTAAATATAAGACAGAGAACTGGATATCAGGAGGAACAGGTCTAAAGAAAATAAGAACAGCATTAATGAAGACGAGGCCAGCCCCCATCACTGACGTGTATGTGTCTACGTGTGCAGTACTGACTGAAAATAAAAAGGCTTTCATCTGCACACACTCATTTCTCTGGGTATCCACGATATCAAATTGGCCGTTCATCTTGTACCTGTTTGTGGGACTTTGCTGCATGGGGTGCCATCTTTTTGTGTACAAAAAGCTGCTGTAAAGTGCTTTGAGATGGTGATGTGAGAGACACTCGTGTTTTACACAGGACGAGTGAAGTGGCCCATCACAGGCGCAGTCGAAGAGGAGGGTCTTGAGACTGGCCTTGAAGGAGGCAAGGGAAGGAGCGAGGCAAAAATCAGGACAAAAGCTGAAACATCTCTCCCACCAGAGGACCCATAGTTAAGACAACTGCACAGACAATTGCTTGAGATCTACTCAGCAGCCAGCCCCCAGGTAGACCAGCTAACAACATCACACGGAACAAGAAGAGACAGAAACGATGGCAAACCATTCAGATTTTACTTAAAAAGATCTTAATAGAACAATAGATGAGAGAAGCAGTGTTCAAATCATCGTGACAACTAGCCCTTGAATGCTTACAAAGGAGCGATAATGAAAGCCGAGGCGCTGGTCAGTTTAAGCAAGTTCTCCAAGAATTTACATTAGTGCGGAACCTCCTTGCTGAGAAATTATGAGTTTACCGCTCAGCCACTCGAGCTTTAGGTATATAAAAAATACTGGGTCAGACTTTCCTTTTTAACCTATTTCACAATTCTCGTGTTCAGTCTCAGACACAAATCAGATAACCCAAGCAGAGGAAATGGAGCAAATGTTGTACCGAGCAATTCATTAATTGTGCTCCAGAAAAGACAAATCTATTAGAAAATGGGGAGTGAGGAGAAAGAGAAAAGTGATAAGAGTGCACCAGAGACGCACACTATTAAAACACCATTAGGTTACTCACTTTGAAGGTCTACACATGCCTAAAAAGGTATTCACATCAAACCCAAAGAAAGTGGGAAGACAAATAACAGCCACAAGAGTAATGAATGAGGAAAGGTCATTTGAACCAGCTTCATTCAACGCCCATGTGGTTTAAGCGATGAGATGCTATATAAATGCAAGCTGTTGTTGTAGTTTGACTTAACTTGTGTTTCAAAGTGCTTCACAGGTTATATTGTAAAGTGGATTGATTGTTTATTTTGAGGGTGAAAAGTTACAAAAGGTAATAGAATAAAACTCTAGAATACTGATCGTTTCTAGAATGGATACCTGGCCTGGTTTCCTCTATAATTACTCCCTCAAGACAATACCTTGCATTATTCTGCATTGTCTGTAGCCCTCCAGACATTGTAGTACAAAAATCATTGTTCCTTGTGAAATATTTTATTTTCAGTCTCTCTATCCCCATTCTATTCATCTACCCAATATATCCTCCAATACCCTTCATCCTCTCCACACTGGTGTCAAGCCCATACTTAGCCACCTGGTTTAGAAATTTATTGATAATCCTTACATTTGATATAGCACCTTTCCTGTCAGGAGGACATCCCAAAGCGCTTCACAAGATATACTGCAAAGTGTAGTGACTGGGTTTTGTGGGCAAGTGCAGCAGCAAAGTTGTGCACAGCAGTGTCCCACAAACAGCCATGAAGTGAATGACCAGTTTTATTGTGGGATTGTTGGCCAGGACACATCGGTTTTAAAATAAAGTTCCGTGATCTTTAATGGGTAGCTGAACAGGCAGACATGACCTTGGCTTAATATCTCATCCAAAGGAGTATCAACTACCTTTATAGAGATTCTGTGCAATCGCCGATGCAATTCCTATGATCAGGATGCGTAGAAAACATGTTGGTAGGAAAAAGCATCTTTACCAACTGGTCTTGTCAAAAGCAGAGCTGGGCAGAGCAGTGTTCAGCATGGTACTGCAGTAGAGACAGCAGCACTGACACAGGTCCACTTGACTTGAGCTGCTCTACATACTGGAAAAACTAGGTTTTAGAGTTTGTAAAGATTTGATTCTCTTCTACGTTTCATGTGAGTCCAGTTTTCCTACTTTACTGACGATGTAGAGCAGCTCAGTCCAAGTCCCTTTTAAGTTGAGAGGCCAGTGATATGGAGAGGAGTTTGGGTTTCACAAGTCATTTAATTGGTTTATGGGTATTTCATACTTTGATTAATTAAAAGACAATATTATTGCAGAACATCTGGTGACTCCAGGTTAGTCAACATCAGAAACCACTGCTCCTCACCAAGCTGTTCTCTTAGGTTTCATTTCATTAGGTAGAGGCCAGTTCTGTGTCTGCATTGGAATGCAGGTCCTTGTGACCTATACTATAATACATGATCACCATACATAAATCCTCAATACACTCAACCTACCAGTGGGGGGGGGGGCGCTCAAAGCAGAGCAAACACAATGCATTCATTCTCTTTTCAAAAGGCTGTCTCACTAAACAGTCTACAAACACATACGTGATACTGGGTACGCAATTATAATGTATGTACCCATTCCCATTCACTCTCATGATATAGAAAGAAGTCAAATACATCTTTAATTGGGGATATGACAGCACCGATCTTTGCCTTTAGTGTGAGCTGCTGATTGGGTTTGCTCAAACACGTCAGCACGGTGAAACCAGCCTTCTCTTCCTGATGCACTGCCAGATCCAATTCACTGAAACACGTTTGGCACACACGTTCTCCTTGACGTCACCGATCACGTGCGTTGCTGTGGCCACGTCAAACTCTGGAACCAGGTCGCCGTTGTACGCCACAAAGTAGCGTCGGATTCTGCTGAAGTCTTGGGCTGATGCAGGCAAATAGAGCCTTACTCCTGTAAATATGTCCAGCAGCGTCTACAGAACAATAAACAGCAATTATTATCACCGTTCTGCATCTCATTTCAGCTTCATAGGCTCCAAAGATTTCTTGTGTTTTAAGACTGCCATCATAAAATTTTAGGTTTTTAGGAAAGTTCTTGAATTCATTCTTATTTTGGAAGCTGTCTTACTCCAGGTCAAAAAGATCAGTGAAGATAAGAACCAAAGAAATCTGCTGGCGAAAGAAGACCAAGATCCAACTAGTTCGCCTTCCACCATCCTGGCAGTTGCTTGACATATCATTATCGCAAACTATATACTCTACCCCGATTATTTCTCACTCTCTGCTGCCCTATCAGACATAATAGTGTATCAGACATACACCATTCAAGATAAACCTCATCTGCCATTCCTTAGCTCATCTCTTACTTTATCCTCACTAATACTGGGCAAACTTTACAAGTCCTTTGTCTCCATATCATTTATTTATCATGTGTGCCCTGCAGAAAATCACCAGTACAGATCCCCCTAAATACCGCTCGGCACTTCCTTCTAGCCAGCGCTTTACTGTTTCCACTTTCCCTTGGTAAACCAGAACAACAACTTGATTTATATAAGACCTTTTCACGTTGGGAGGATGTCCCAAGGCACTGAAATAGCTGCAAGCTTACAAGAAATAACTTGCGCCTCCACCACAAGTTGTAGCAGATCATTCACAACTATTAGAGAGACTATTCTGTGTTTGTACCTGATTTGGAGTAGGCGATGTGGTCGGACTGGAGAGCAAAGAGCCGTTACTCTTTTCTGTCCCAGGCGATTTGATCTGGGGATGAAAACCAACACACAAACATTATAAAAGCCACCATTATTACCAGCTGGTAATAGAGGATCCATTTTAATTGCGTTAGCTTAGGATCTTGAGTGAGGCCTAGGTCACCATAACAGAACCAATACTTCCAGCCCACAATTTCACCTGTGGCAAGTTCATATTTTCAACCAGACAATTGATAGATTCGGATAGTGAGAGCCATTTATATATTTAAAAAAAAATCATTTCACCTTATTTCCATTCTGTTCCACTCCTGGCAATTTCCGCTTCAACCCCTTTCTTGGCGTTGAATCTGAATTTTCAGGGGTAACCTTTTGGGATGTACTGCTGTTGGCTAGGGCGGTAAATGTTGAACAATTAGTGCTGTTTGCAGAACTTTTCTAGATATTAGATTTTAAGCTTCACGGGATACTATGCAAAGCCTGTGTTGAGAACAGGTGTTCTACACGTGTGTGCTGGAAGGCAAATAAGAGTCTTGAAAAAGTAAAACAAAAATCATCCTGTAAAGAGGCAACATGGCGAATGTTTTATTGAACACACATCCAAGATGGTGCCTCAACCTCAGAACATCCTTGGTCACAGGAGCCTGACCTGACACCATGTACCTCACCTTTCTATATGCCACACCATGTGTCTCTGGCCTCTCAAAGAGTGAGATTGACAAATTAGAGGCATAGCAATTCTACCTAATCTCATCTCACAAGACTATGTGTCTTACAGACAACTCCACCACCCAAGGAGTTTTTCCTGGTGTCCTGGCAACAATCCTCATGGCTTTTTATGGGACTTTACCCCTTGAGCAAAATGGCTGCCACACCTGCCTGCAAATTACTATGGTAAACAATTACTGCAAAGCACTTTTAAGATGTTTCAAACAATACAGTATAAAAATGCAAGTTCTTTCTTTCGGACTGAGATTGTTCGGCCTCATCTCACTTGGACAGAGACGGAGAAAAGGAAAGGTCAATTGTATTGGAACTGGAGTCAAACACAGTTCCTCAAGCTGGAAACACAGCCATGCAACCCACTACAGCAATCCCTGTGTATTCACTGGACACACTTTGCTCACCATCTTGGCTTTGACGTTTTTTCCATGGAGACTTTGAAGGCCCTTTGGAGCTGCCTGGGCTTGGTTTGGGAGTTGGTCCAGTCTCGCTGCTGCTAGTGCCACCTGTACCCGATTCTTCCCCACCCCTGGCACAAGCTATGGCAATTTCAATATCAGACTTTTCCTTAGAAACCTTGTACAGTTCCTGCAACAACAACAATGCAAGTGGTCCATCGGAATATAATAATAATTCTTGCATTTGATAAAGCGCCTTATCACATGGTTGAGACGTCTCAATTATTATTGTTTTATTTATTTTTGAAGGGATTATTACCTCTGGAACGCGATCCACCAATTGACTAACAACTGGATTCCTACTTAAACAGAGGCTTGTGGAATAAGGAAACTTGCCTATGGTTTTGGACTGCCTGGGAATCGAACCCAGGTCCTCTTGCTTGCGAGGCGAGTGCTCTAACTACTACGCTACAGGACTCAGTCTGTAGGATCCAGCTCCAGACTCAGTCTGGACAGTATACCTAGGGGAGAGATAAATAAATCATGTAATGGGCAGTGTGCTCACACCATGTACTGTCCCTGGTCCTTCCTGGTTTTACCTTGAGCTGAGGAAGGTTAGTTGCAGTTTGCCAGTCCTTGTCATCACGGATACGGGTGCATCGGGGGAAGCGGATCGAGATGCCATCTGCAGTGTGCGCCTCCGACTTAGAGAACTCTGCTCCCGTGATCTCCCACACTGGGGCAGTCTGTGCGTAGGAGAAGGCAACAGAGATTAACGTTGTGGAATTGCAGACCCACCTCGACAACACAGCTCTGTCATTCTGTGTAACGAACCTCTTCAGGATCTCTACAGCGACAGTGCTGAGGCGAATGCTCTAACCACTACGTTACAAGTAAGGCAATGAGTATCAACTGGATAGGTAGACTATGGACCTACCTTTGGATCCCGGACAACAAAATCAGGGATGTAGTTCTTACTGATCTTTAGCCAGTCTGGTATTTTGCTTGCATCCTGGAATGACAGAATATTAACTTTAAGTCACATTTGTATAAAGAAACATCGTAGCGGCTGTCAGAATTAAAACAGTTCTGAAACAAGCAGGAAACTTTCATCACGTGGGAGCATCCGATTACCTTGCTGATTTTCACCATATCCAGTTCGGTCTGTAATCGGCCCAGCGTAGCGTCGTCATGGCCACCTCCACACTTGGTCACTGTGCACCAACATCCAGCTTTGGGTCGTAGCAGCCCATCAGGAAGATGGACATCATCCCACCTGAGTGCGAATGCAGAGAGCTCATGTCATCGGTTGCTTCTCAGTTACCCAACCACGCCATGTTAACAGCACGCTTTCCATTAACGCCAAACATACGGCATTTTGTCTGTTGAAGGTAAGCACACGTGGGATCTCAGCTGCGGTGTAATTCCACCACAATGTTCTTATACTTCACAAATCACAAGAAAGAAGCATCTATGCCTGAGCCTAGACACAGATACTATCCTTGATCCTTCCAGAATACCCACCACCATCTTACCATTATAACCTGCAACATCTGATGATTACCCCTATGTGTTAAGAGAAGCAGTGCTCTGGGCTGTCCAGTAAAAAGGCCTTTCTTCAGCACTCTCACTGCAACTCCACTTTCCCCATTACAAAACCTGAGGAAACACAGCTGACCGTAAAATACCCTCAAAGGTATGGAAAGGCAGTGCTAGAATGAGCGCTTTATGGCTTAATGATCAGGAGTGCAAATATGCAACACAGCAGCAAAGAGTAACTATCTGAACGTCAGACAAGTACCTTTGTTTCCTTGTCCATAGAAAGCCCCCAGCACCACCAGGTCTGCAGTGTCGGCCATCGCACCTTCATTCAGATAGTCCTTCTTCACTTTCAGCCAGTGACGCTTTCCTGGTTCGTACAGACCCTACGCACAGAGAACGAGCTTAGCTATAACAGGATTCAGCATTGGGGTAGCACCATCAAACGGCAAATGACAATACTTTCCATTTTAGTAGATTTAAAAAAATCTTTGTGCCAGAGTCAATTTATGAATTTTTTTTAAAAAAAATGATGCTGCTGCCACATATTTATTCTGGTGCAGTTGAAAATAGATTCCCTGGATACCGAGAGGATCTGAGAACCCCATCTTTCACAGTAAAGAGCATTGCAGCTGAAATCACTCAGGTTAATGTCTCACCTTAACGTCCTTTAGCACCAGTCCCTCCAGACCCTCTTTGATAACTCGATTGATCATGTCCCCCAGGTCGGAGGCCCTCTGTCAAAACAGGATACCAGATTAGATTGCAGTGATACAGTCTAGCTACACTGTAAAAGAGCATGATCATTTCATTTCACAGCCACACAGGAGACAACACAACACCCATTGTGTTCAGCGATCACAGACTGATTCAACATACAAATTTAACCCTGTTATAAGGTGGAGCCTTGGGTCCATAGAATTAAATTGGCCCCTTAAGGGGCATCAGATTACTGCTGGTGTCAGTGCCGATTGACCAGTACACTAAGCCAACCCAGTCAGCCACAAAGTGCACCACATTTCTGGTACAGTGTAGGCCCACAACCTATCCACCCTTTAAATGGTTCCATTTTGTAACCAGTCATTTTATAACAGGGTCAGACTGTACACTACCTTCCACACAGATTGAGATCCTTAGGTCTCCATGTAAACATGGCTGCACTCACATTCACGTGCCTCATCTCGGAAAACATGATCCTGTTGGGGATTTCCACCATGTTATCGTGAAGAAACTGCCTCCGCTCACGGATCGGTCTGTCAAGATAGAAAACTTAATGTAATAACAATAATAATCCTGGCATTTGATACAGCGCCTTATCACATCTTTAAGACGTCTCAAAGCGCTTCACAGGATATACAGTAAAGTGAATTGACTGTGTATTTTGTGGGCGAAACGCGGCAGCCAATTGCGCACAGCAGCGTCCCACAAACAGTCGTGGATTGAGTGATCAAATTATTATTTTTTTTGAAGGGATTATTACACCCAGAAAAGCGATCCACCAATCGACTAACAAACAGGTTCCTATTTACTGCTAGGTAAATAGAGGCGTGAGGAGTAAGGAAACTTAACAAGCGTTTCACCCTGCCCGGGAATCAAACCCAGGTCCTCTTGCTTGCAAGACGAGTGCTCTAACTACTAACCTACAGACTCCACAAAGTTTAAGAGAATACAGGGGTATAGATGAGGGGTATAGGGGGCTCATCTGGAGTATACACTAGACTAGTTGGGTTGAATGACCTGTTTCCGTGCTGTATGCCTCTATGTAACAAGATGCACAGACCTGTCCATGAGGCTGACACCATTGAAATAAATGCAGTCAAAGACAAACAGGCAAACGTTCGCATCTTTGAAGGCAGCTTTCTGGAAAAGAACATAAAACCCATTTAAAAAAAGATTCTTAAAACTAGTACACAATCACACCCAGCTCCTTGGCTTCACTGTTCTGCAGGTGTATTACAGGCTGCATCTCCCAACATAAAGCAAGACAAGTAATCAGAGGCATGGGGAATGCTCACAGAGCTTGACAAACCAACAATTACTGAGCTCACTATGCACTCAAAAAAACTTGCTGAGTAGCGTCCCGGTGCCCTTGACAGTGGGGGAGCCCGATGCCGAGCCGGAGTAAGGTGACCGTAGGCACAGTCGAACAGGAAGGTCTTCAGGCGCGATGTGAAGATGAAGGTTTATCGTGAATGAAAGAGCGCATTTTGATCACATTACCTTATGTACACCCAGCGTTCCAAATGGGAGGGGCTTCCCTGTGGCTGTGTCAATCAGAAGCACCTCAGAGTCCAGTATCATGCTGTCACCCGCCACAAACGCTTTGGGAATAAAGTCCTTAAAATGAGCAACCTGGAACAGAGTGAAATGGTCGGTTTAAGTAGATTTCATGCTAACGTGGGCAATTTAATGGTGTAAACTAATAGATATCAGAAGCCAGGTCGAGATCGACTCAAACTCATTGTAGATTAGTCAAATCAGGAGATAGAGACATCACCTTGTCCCACATAGAAGCTCAGGCTCTCAAAGTAGTGTGATTAGTCATAGACTCCACACCTTTTGGTTGTAAAGCATCATTTTAAACGTTTTATAATGGGTTTCATTTGATCTGTACAGTAAGAGAGAGAGAGGGAGGAAGCAAGGGATTCTTACCTTGTGAGGTAACACAGGTTTCAGACTCCTGCTATAGTACTGAAAGGTGTCTCCGTTCTTGTGCACCTGAACCCGCTCTCCGTCGTATTTGATTTCCGCGTACATGCCATTGGGGCACTTCTTCATAGCGTATTCTATCGATTTGCAAGCTTCAGCCTGGAGTCAGAGAGATTACACAAAACTTAAAATCTGTTGGGACAAGTAGGCTCTCTTAAAATAAATGCCAGTTTCCCTTTCCCCATTACATGGTCCGCTGGTGGAATAATCTAATGATTTTCACAAGCAGATTCCTACCACTTCACCATCTGAAAGTTTCATCTTCTGCGATTTCCCCACACGTATTAATCCCAGAAAAGCATTGGTCCACTAACCTATCAACAAATTGCTGTAGAAAGCGCCTACACCTCCGTAAATACAATTGTTGGGACAAAGGGGAAGTTTCTGCTGTCAAATGCAAGGATCATCATTATTATCATCATCATCGTAAGCATACTGCTTACCAGCATGGGCTGGACTGGAGTCAGAAGCGTTGCTGTGATGCTCAACATCTTCCTCATGCCTGGGACCTGCTGAGATTCTTGCTGGTTCTTGAGAACACGGTCCACCACGTCCTGTAAATTTCGTGAGGCTTTGAAGGCATCGTAAGCATTGGGATCCAGAGCGTCCAGCCTGATTGAAACCAACAAACAGGACAATCGTAGAATGACACAGCACTTTTGGCCCATTAAATCCGCAGAATTTTTCCTGCACGAGCCTGCATCTAATCCCACTCTCCAGCAAGCTCTCCATAACTGGTTATGAATTCAGTAGTTTATTTTGATGGGTAACTTCTGTTCTTTACTGATATGTTCAGATATATTACCTCCCAGAAACTGCAGTACACAAATCACACATCCAGATAAATTTCGTAGACCTATTTCTCCTCCCTCCTATTCCCCCATATTGGAAAATACAGTTAATTCTACTCCATTCAGGAAGGTGGAAAGACCTTTGTTTGGGACTAGAATGAAGAATTGTGTGGTTTCATCCGTCAAACAGCATGATCAATGAGACTGAATATATAGGCTGACATTTTAGTACAGTGCTGGGGGTCAGAGGTGCCACGTTAAACCAAGATCCCGTCTCCCCAGTCACTTACACATGTTTGGCTCCACTATTCATCCGCAGGTCGTGCTTGATCAGCCGAATAATGCATTTCAGATCATTTCCTGTACACCTGTAAGCCAGAAACAAACATATTTCAACCATTATTCTTACATTAGTCTATTCTGTGAAGCACTTTAAGACATCTAGAAGATGTGAAAAGCACTATGTCAAATGCAAGGTTTATTATTATTATAAAATATTTGACAGGCATTCCTTGAATGACTTGAAGCACAAATACAAAGGAAAGAATGGGAATCCCAATATAGCCAAGTGCAGCTTTCATACAGAACAACACGCTTCCACAGATGGATTACTCATCTTCCCGAGCAATCTCAGGTATCCTCTCGCCGGCTTTCGGCCAGACAAGCCCTTCATCTCCAACACTAGGTCTCACTGCCGTTTCATGAGGCAAGAAAAAACTTGAATCTTTATAACACCTTATCGTATTGAAACTTCTCAAGGTGCTTCACAGATAATTATTGCTAACAGAATCTGAACTTTTACTGCAAGTAGGCTCAGATATCATCAACGACTTGCATTTATACAGCGCCTCCTCATGCAGGGCAATGTCCCAGAGCAATTGGGACACTACTCTGCTCCCCCCAGTCAGACTCACTCCCACATCTGCAGCAAAGCACTTTGCACCCAGTTGGGGTTTACTCTAAAGATAGTAATGTTACGACTGTCTAGGGTTCAATCAATGACTGAGCCTTCAGCTACACCTTTTTCTGAAACTCTTTCCTAAAATTTCTTCATCTTGCAATCCCTCTCTTGTGTTCAAAAACCTCTCTTTCTGACCACGTCCTCAAATTCCTCCTCCTCCCTTCCCAGTGATTTCCCCTGTCGTACTCAAGGGGTCTGATGTTTGAAAGCTGCTGTATATCATCGTGAGGAAATGTGCCCTTGTGTGGCTCAGACTCACTTGGCAGTAATAGCCTGAAGCTCCCTCTGCTGCTCCTCCTCCCGAGTCAGCTTTGAGAGCCGAGTCAGAGCAGCCTCCACGTCCTGAATAGTCATCGTGCTCTTGGCTGCGGGAGGGAAGCTCGAGGTGCCTTCAAAAAAGATGCGCACAGTCTCAGAGACGTCCCCCTACACAGAATTTACACAACCCCAATTATTATACACGGAGGAGAGAAGGGTATCAACACAAAGACTTCAGTCACATAAACGATCCGAGCCAGCTGGGAGCTGAATTACTAAGCAGCTGAATGGTAGGAGGTGGGTTTGCTGGATCTCAGCCTTGCCATCGTGAGAGAAGGCATCATCCACGATCAGATATCTGGACTTTTACAATTTAAAATTAAAATAGTGAATTATAACTTTAAAGTTAACATTTTTTTTTAAAATTAATGTAAAAGTTTAGCATTTGTTTTTCAGCTTAAAGCACCCTGACTAACCCACATTAAAACACAGGTCTGTGCAGATCCAGATCTGGCACCAGCAGGTTCAATAATACTGTGCCACAAACCTGCTCCAGGTCTCGGACCATGTCATCCAGACTGCAGTTAAATATCCTACTGAAGAGCTTGACAATCTGCTTGTCGTTCAGGTTGTACACATGTTTGATGACGCCTGGGAGCAGGAGCTTTATAGTCAAATACACATCTCCATGGAATTTACCTGGGGAAGCAAACAGTGGACACTTATTCACAGCAGATCACTTCAAATGGAACCCAACAGAGAAATAAGCAAGTGACATGACATGAACATTACATGGCTTATATTGTTTGGATTGTAGTACATCAACTGCAGCTGGGCTCTTTGATTTGCCTACTGTTAGGCAGCAACCAACACCAACATATTTCTGCCCGAGTTCACATATCAGGCAAATTAATTAATTATTATTAATAGAGCAAATTAAAGGAACATCTCTCACCATCACCACTTGTGCCCTTCCTGAGAAAGTCCTGGATGATCTGAGTCTTGCTGTTGTAGCTGGGCCTCTCTGCGATCGTCGCGCACAGTTTGCGGAATTCCCGCAATGAGCAGTCCTTGTGGTTGGGATCGCCCGCGACGACTGGCAGCTTGCTGCTTGAGGGCGAGGCCTTGCCACCTGGGCTTCCTCCTTTAGCTGCTTAAGAAATAAAATCATGGAGTTTCTTTAACAAAGCGAAGCATTTACGTTCAACTATCAATATTTACATTCCTAAATTAAGCTGTAAATTATAGATTTAAGTACTTTCTAGAATTTTACATTTTAAGAACAGAATATTCTTATCACAGATTTACGTACAATGCCCTGATAGACCAACTACTTGTGAACAACATGATATGACTTGGATATTGGTCTTACCTGAAAATCCAGAGAATTTAAGAGGTGATGGGCTGGATGTCGAGGGGGTCACCTTCTCTGGGGTAGTCTTGTATTTGGGGAAAGTGTTGCCCATCTTGATTGCATGTTCTATTCACAAGAAAGTAAAAAAGGGCATAGATGAGGTTGTGTCTGTCTTGCCTTGCACATCAACACCTCTGGTCTCATCATCTCCTGTCCTCCACCTACTTTTTTTCCTTTGACTTTCCCTGCCCCCTTCTCTAGTTTGTTCTTATAAACTGCTCCGTTCCAACATTCCCAGGTTCTGAGGAAAGGTCATCAACCTGAAACGTTAACACACTTTTCTCTCTCCATAGATGCTGCCTGAGCTGCTGAGCGTTCCCAGTGACTTCTGCGTTTATATCAGATTTCCAGAATCTGCATCTGAAGTTTAGGGAAATCAATGTGCTGCAATATAATGTCGCACCATCACATTACAGGCATTAGAGTCGTGTTACTGGGGCAGTCTGCTGACAGGAATGGAGTACAACAACAATACAGTACAGTACTGAGGCCACATGGACTGCAACTTCTGAACCAACTGTATGTAGTCAGAATACCTTAACACCTGATGAAGTAATTAAAGCGACAAGTGATTTGGGTACAGTTTAACCAGTGATATGTTGCTGTGAAATGATGGGATAAAAATTTAACAACAATGTACCTCCCCGTTTTTGACCATTCACACATCTCCCAAAGCTGGAAGCAGAGACCTGTCTTGAGAGAAGGAACTTATTTGTGCCTCTTGGGCACAATCAGCTGAACCACTCACTGAGGATAGATGGTGGTTGGGTGTGGGATGAACTCTCAGTCTGCCTATACTGCCCAAAACTGTGCTTCTCACACGACTGTCGTGCACAGATCTTGGAGGCAGTGACCTGAAAGGCATCTCCAGCAGCAAACAGAGCGGCTGATCATGATGACATGGTAAGACACTATATCAAATGCAAGGATTCTTTTTATTATTAACAACAGAGGCGTTATTATTATTAACACAGATTCCCCGGTTCAGTGTGTGCTAACCTGTGATGTGCTTGTTGATCAGCTCTTTCTCTTCGTCCTGAAGCTCTTCCCAACCCTCCAGATCACTCAGATCATCGATCTTCTTCGTGCTCAGTCGAGCTCGCTCCAGCTTCTCGAACATACATTTGACATGGTACCACTCCTTCATCTCCCCCGACTCCGAGAAGGGGTTTGGGACGATCTTGCCGATGCGCACCAGCCCCTTTGGGATCTTCTCCTTGCATTTCTTGCAGCCGGCCGTGCCACGCTTGGAATAGTCCACGCAGTATCGCTGCTCGGCCATGTCTGCTCTTGAGATACAGAATGTGTCGCTGAGAATTCGGGAGAGAACCAAGGCAAGGAGGGACTTGGAGAGCAGCTTCTGGTTTTGTGCTGCTGGAGCTTGCACGCTGCTCCACACCCAATGTGCCGGGAGCAAACAGCCCGACTGATGACCCGACCCGAGCAGGAAAGGATGGGTAGAATTGCCGCTGCTTTGCTTTTCAAACACCGCCTTCACCAGTTGATTCCAAGCTGGCCAAATCCTCCTGGGTTGAAGCAAAACGTCCACAAAGTGCTGAGAAAGCTGCGTGCACAGCCTATGCATGGAGCACGTTCACCTCAGGCATGTTCTCCCCCCCCACAACCCCCTAAATACAGACACACAAGAGAGATCGTAAGTAAAGGGATAGAAAGCCCACTGTTAAAACCACACGGTACTCCCCTTGCGGTCCAGGGGCTCTGTGAAACGCGAAAGGTTAAACGTTTAATCCACGGCCGTCTGTGGGACGTTCACCGCTGCCGCGTTTCGCGCACAAAGCACACAAAGCCAATTCATTCCACGCTGCTGCATTCCGGGCAGCGCTTTTGAGACGTCTCGAAGGCGCGGTGTCAAACTGCCGGCATCGCTATCGCTGCTATAATATTTTGGAAAAGCTGCAGAGAATCGAGGGGATTTTTTTTTTTTAAAAAGAAAAAACCCAAATCATTTCCAAAGCATCGACACGACGACACCCACCCACCCACCCGCCCGCTCCAGCAGAACAGCTCAACACAACCCCCCAACACCCCCACCCCCGCTTCTTGGGACTTGGGTTTGCCCGCCGACAGAAAGCGGACTTTCCCTTTAAAGCGGCGCCTTTAAATAAACGAAGGCTGGTCAAGCAGTCGGGACTCCGGCGCCCGGGGCCGAACTCGAGCCCGAGGCTTGGAGGCCTAGGCGAGGGGGGGGGGTGTGGGGGGGAGAGCAGTTTCCTCGATGGGGGAGATACCCCCAGAGGGGACGTTGGGAGTTTAAACGCATCGTGAGGGGAGGGGAGGCGAGGAGGAGGCCGCGAGCTGTTTGAGGCGAATTAAATCGAGCCCGAGGCTTCAAAGGAAGGCCTCCTCCTCCTCCGCCTTCCCTCCCACGGGTCGCGGGGGCGGTTGCTGTCGGTTCCCGGGGTCGGGCAGTGAGGACGGACGGACGGACGGACTGACTGACTGACTGGCGGAGCCCGCGCCGCCGCGGCCTGAGGGGGACTCGGGTCGGTCGGTCGGTCACTCACTCACTCGCTCGCGCTCTCGCGCCACCTCTCCTTTAAATAACCGCCAACTCCGCTTTGTTTCTGATGACGTTTCCCCCCGTTAAAGGCGCTGGTCACCCCAACTCTGCCGACAACAAACATGGATTCCCACACACACACACACACACACACAGCAATAATAATAATAATAATAATAATAATCCTCGGACCTGCATACAGCGTCTTATCCGCCTCAGAGCGCCTCACGGGCTGCACCGTAAAGTGAATCGACTGTGCTATTCTGTGAGCGCGAGACGTGTAATTGTAATTACTAATAATTGAAAGGCCCCAATAAACAGGTCACAAGTTAAAATCAAACGCATCAAACAAAAACCCTGGGCCCGGTTCCCCCCCAATCCCACTCCCCCCGGAATATAAATGGTAATCTTTGTATTTGTCCCGGGATCCGAAACTGTAAAGCGCTCCGAGACGCCGTCCGGCGTGGAGGGCGCTGTATAAATCCGAGTTGTTGTTGTTGTTGTTGTGGTGCCCTTAGACTGTCGCCCACAGACAACACAGTCGCTCCACTTTACAATATGTACTGTGAGGAGGTGAACGTGAGCGGGCGAGTGAGAGTGTGAGCAGGTGTGAGTGAGTGTGAGGAGGTGAGTGTGAGCAGGTGAGAGTGTGAGCAGGTGTGAGTGAGTGTGTGAGTGTGAGCAGGTGTGAGTGTGAGGGGTGAGTGTGAGCAGGTGTGAGTGTGAGCAGGTGTGAGCGTGAGAGAGTGTGAGCAGGTGTGAGGGAGTGAGTGTGAGCAGGTGCGAGTGTGAGGGTGTGAGGGGGTGTGAGTGTGAGGGGGTGAGTGTGAGCAGGTGTGAGTGTGAGCAGGTGTGAGCGTGAGAGAGTGTGAGCAGGTGTGAGGGGGTGAGTGTGAGCAGGTGTGAGTGTGAGCAGGTGTGAGCGTGAGAGAGTGTGAGCAGGTGTGAGGGGGTGTGAGTGTGAGCAGGTGCGAGTGTGAGCAGGTGAGTGAGTGAGAGTGAGAGAGTGTGAGGGGCTGTGAGTGTGAGGGGTGGAGCGCCACCTGCAGGAAGCTGTCATCCAGACGTGACCTCACGCCGTAAAGCGGGGCGGTGTGTCGTGCTGCGGACACTGCCGTCAGTGGGATTGTCGCGGCGGCGGCGGCGGCGGCAGCAATGGCGCTGTACGTGAAGGCGGCTGAGATCGTGGAGCGGGTGGAGAGCAAACGCGGCTCTGTCAAGGACCTGGTGTACAACAGCGGCCATCAGGTGCGGGGGGTGGGGAGGGGGGAGTGTTGGGGGGGTGGGGGGGGAGTGTTGGGGGGGGAGTGGGGGAGAGAGGCCCAGGCCAGGCCAGGCCGCCTTAAAGGGCCCGCGTCCCCACCAGTCGGGCCCGGGGGCTCACAGCTGCCACTTGCAGCCTCTGGATGGTGTTGTAATAATAATAATAATAATAATAATTTAACAACACTAACGCTTTCGTTCGACACAGCGCCTCGTCGCGGCTTCGAGACGTCTCAACAGCGCTCCACGGAACGTACTGTCGAGTGTAGTGACTGCGTATTTTGGGGGGTGCGCGGGGGGGGCGAGGGACGCAGCAGCCGATTGCGGCACAGCAGCGACCCCCCCCACCCCCCGCGCGCGAACCGTCGCGGATCGAGTGACCGGTTTATTATTTATTATTATTAAGGAAACTTACCCAACGTTTCGTCCGGTTCTGGAATCGAACCCAGGTCCTCCGGCGTTGCGGGGCGAAGGCTCTAACCAATACAATGCTTAGTTTTTTCGGGCGACTCCTCTCTCTCTCTCTCTCTCTCTCTGCACCTTGCCTGCAGTCTGATTGATCTCACTGTGTCTGGTCTCTCGCAGAACATTAAGCAGCTTTTTGCACTGGTTTGCGAAACCCTGAAGTACGCCGGCATTCTGAAGGAAATCATCGGCTCCACCAAACTGCTGAAGCAGGAGAAGAAGCTGCAGCTTAGCGTCGCCAAGGTACCACCTCGCGCTACCCCCCCGGCCTCTCGCTGGAGGAGAGGGGACACACAGCGCAGCAGTATGGAGCTATATAGGGTCGGGGGCGAGAATTGGGACCCACAGTATAGAGCAATGCAGGGTTAGGGGCAATCTAAGCTTGGCACTGGTGTGGTAACTCACAATGGGCACCTGGCAGGACTCTGGTAACTTGGCCTGGCTCCAGTGTAGTGTCCCAAGTGTGTGACTGAGCTGACTGATCTCTGCGCCAGGTGCTGGTGTACGACCTGCTCTTCGGGAAGGGCGTGAAGTGCGGGGGCAACTGGAAAGCGATCATCACCAAACATCGCTCGCAGCTCAAGTCGGCGCTTGCCCGGCTGAAGGTCAAAAGGAAAGTCAGCCGCAATGAGGACCTCATCGTGAGCAAAGCATCCGGCAGCCAAGGTACTGAGCCTGGAACTGGCCCGACCGACTGACTGACCAGAGGCATTGCACTTCGTGTGTGTATTTTTGACGGGGTGTGGTATACATACGGAGTGATTGCATAGGTGTTTAAATGTGTGTGCTATACATGTGTATATCTGCAGGTACGTATACATCTGCGCACGCGTGTATGAAATATATTTAGTCACAACATTACAGTAAATCAGCAAAGTGTTTCAGACGTCCTCCCGCCAATGTAGCATGTTATATCAATGCAAGGGTAATTATTATTATTGTATAAAACCTGCTCTGAAGCTGAGATTTGAGGCATAGGAACAGGAGGAGGCCACTCAGCCCCTCAAGCCTAGTCTTCCATTCTATAAGATCATGGCTGATCTGTACCTCGACTCCAATTACCTGTCCTTGCCCCATATCCCTTGAGACCCTGACCTGACAAACATCTATCCACTTCAGTCTTGAAAATGTGAATGGATCCAGCTGTAATCCTTTTGTGGGAGAGAGTTCCAGATTTCCACTAGATTGTGTGAAAAACGGCCTCTGCCAGTGAATGGGTGAGATGTTCACACTCGGTGCCGTTATCTCTGTTGGTCCTCACACTTCCTCACGTGTGGCTTGTTCCCAGCTGAGGAGATTGAGTACAAGTGATGCTTCTCCTGCTGCTCTGCCAATGATTGTCTCGAGAGCCGGTTACACTGAGCCCTGTTGTGTAAGCAGTCTCTCTCTGTGGCAGGTTGCCGGGTGCCTCGCTACGTCAGGGTGAACCTGCTGAAAACCAGCACCAACGATGTGATCGACTACTTCAGACGGGATGGTTTTATTTACCGCGGTCGAGCGACCAGGTACGTGGATCTTGTCTATCAGATGAGACGTTAAACCGAGATTTTATCTGCCTTGTTCAAGTGGACATCCCATAGCACAAGTTGAAAAGAATAGGGAGCTTCTCTCTCCCGGTGTCCTGGCCAACAATCCTCCCAGATAAAATGAGTCGTTCACTTCATGGCTGTCTGTGGGGCATTGCTGTGGACATGTTTGCTGCACAGGCTGCTGGTGGCTGAGTGACTCTGCAGCTGATGGCTCTTCTCTTACAGTGTGAATGACCTCAAACACCTGAAGGGAAAAGAGTTTATCTGTGACCTCCACCTGCCAGAGTTACTGGTGTTTCCTTCGACCATAGACCTGCACCAACACTTCCTATACACGGCAGGCCATATCATTCTCCAGGACAAGGTAAATACAGGCTGTGTGTGTGGTGCGTTGGTGGGGGAGTAGCATGTAGATATCTATACAAACCCCCTCCCACTGCTTACTCGCCTTGTTAAGCACGCAGAGACATTCCTTAACGTTCACATCATGTGTATGAATTCACACTGTTCCCGGGCTCAGTAGCAAACAACTCTTTCCTTATCCCCAGGCCAGTTGCCTCCCGGCACATCTTCTCAACCCCCCGCAAGGGTCGCACGTAATCGATGCCTGTGCAGCTCCAGGGAACAAGACAAGTCACCTCGCTGCTATTCTCCGTAACAAAGGGTAAGTGCTTGAGGGGAAGGGTAATCATAGAATATTACAGCACAGAAGGAGGCAATTCAACCAATCCTGCCTGTGCCGGCTCTTTGAAAGAGCTACCAAGTAGTCCCACTCTTGGCAATATCAGGGGAGGATATCATCTGTCACCTCTCCACTTTGTAGTAGGCGACATTCCTTGTGATGAATAAATCCCTTCCAAAATAAATAATAATTCGGTCACTCAATCCACAACTTTTTGTGGGACACTGCCATGTGCAATTGCCTACCAGATTTTGTCCACAAAATATACAGTCATTCACTTTACAGTCTATTCTGTGAAGCGCTTTGAGACGTTTCAAAGACATGATAAGGCTCTGTATCAAATGCAAAGATTATTATTATATCAAATACCAGTGGAATCCAGCCATTGTTTCTTTCTTGTGTGAAGGAAGCTCTTTGCCTTTGACCTGGACATCCAGCGTTTGGCCACGATGGGCACGTTGCTGCTCCGGGCCGGAGTCACCTGCCACCAGCTAGCCAACGAGGACTTCCTACTGGTGGCTTCCAGCGACCCCAAGTACCAGGATGTCAGGCACTTACTGCTGGACCCCTCGTGCAGCGGTTCTGGTGAGGAGCGGCCGCGAGCATTAGTGGGGTGCGGGCGTTGTGTGCGTGGGGGGAGGTGTAGAGCTTCATTGGGGATCAGAGCTAGACTCTTCAGCTGACGAAGGGGATCCCCATTCTGACCAAAACTCAACCCACAACAGTTTGCGGGACACTGCTGTGAGCAATTGACAAAATACAGTCACTCCACTTCGCAGTATATTCTGTGAAGTGCTTTGAGACTACAATTGGGAGTCCCAACTCTATCTATGTGAATGTAATTTGTTGTTGCTGTTATGAACATTCCTCGGTTACTCCTCAGCCCTGATTCCCTCCCTTGTTACCAACGCAGGAATCGTCAGCCGCCTGAAGCAGGTGACTGAGGATGAGGAGTCCGCCTCGCCAGAGCGTTTGCAGGCGCTGTCCAGCTTCCAGCGCAAAGCCCTGTGTCACGCTCTCAGCTTCCCCCGGGTGCAGCGCGTGGTCTACTCCACCTGCTCGGTCCATCAGGAGGAGAACGAGGAGGTGGTGCGGGAGGTGCTGCAGCAGCACAGGGACAGCTTCAGGTGAGGCCACGCTCACAACCGCTCGTCACTTACTATTGGATTACAGCCGGTTCCTACTTGCTGCTAAGTAAAGACAGGCGTGTGTGTGGAGTAAGGAAACTTGCCCAACGTTTGGCCGTGCCCAGGAATCGAAGCCAGATCCTCTCGCTTGCGAGGCAAGTGCTCCAACCACCGAGCTACAGCAAAAACATTGCGCTTCAGAGTTTGACTGTTTAATGTGCAACGGTTTCTACTGTTCACTTAGCTCCTAAACGTGAATGGTTTGTTCCCTACAGACTGGTGAATTTGATGCCCTCCTGGCCATACCGTGGTCTGGACACATTCCCCGAAGGCTCCCTGTGTCTCAGGGCCTCTCCAGACCAGACTTTGACCAATGGTTTTTTTGTGGCCATGTTTGAGAGGTGGAGCGGAGAGAAGACAACAGAACAGACCAAGAGGTGAGAATTCTGTGTAGATACCTCTCAGCCCCAGCTTTGCGACGTCCTTCCGAAGTAAAAGGTGCTATAACGAATACAAGAATCATTATTATTACTTTACTCCCAAAGATGGGAGTGGGAACCCAAGCTGGGAGGGGTTGGTGGGAGGTGGCTGAAGACACAGCCAAAGAGATGAATCCTTAAACTGGCTTGGAAAGTCCTGAGTGAGACAGAAGGATTTTGTTAAACTTACTGTAAACTCTTCATTTTTAAATCCAGTCCCTCTCAGGCTAAGGCATCACTGTCTGCGGTTGACACGGTCGGAATGGATGGAAACTCTGAGGCTTCCCCATCTACAGCTCCAACCGTCAAGAGGAAACGGAAGAAGAAAAAGAAGAAGCTGCAACCATCAGCTTAGCTTCAAACATCAGCTGAGGAACAGAGGTGTGTGTGAAGACAAACTGGGAATCTGAAACACACAGTGGACAAGACCTAATTAACAGCTGACTTAGGAGTGAGGAGCCCTGTGCAGACAGAATGGATGAAATTGGTGTATGATGTATTGATTGATATTGCACTGGCACAGGTACCTCTGCTCTGGACCAGTCACTTCTAAACATTTTCTTGCCCATCCTGGGTCTGGACACAAGAAGGAGCTGAGGGGGTCCCAGCCTGACTCGTTTCCCTTCCACCTTCTCTTGCAACGGAGCCTAAAACCAACCTCAAGGACATGATCAACACACGTTTGTTACCCCCCAGGTGACTCAACAAGCAGCAGCGTCCAGTTCAAATGGATTCAGTGATTGGTTTGATGGGTTAATCGTCAGCAGTGGGCATAAGCTCTTCACTTCTCTCCTACGCTAGGAATGTCCCAAATTGTGCCAGGCAAAGTGGGACGGGCAGTGCCGAGAACTTGGATATACAAGAGCTGTACTGCACACAGTCATTGCACAGTGCAGTTCTGTAGATACAGTATTAAATGGTTTAGCTCTGGTTCACATTCGAGTTGAATTTGATTGCAGCAATAACCCTCGCATTTGATATAGCACCTTATCACGTCTTCAGTCTGTCTCAAAGCGCTTCACAGAATATACTGTAAAGTGAATTGACTATATTTTGTGGGCAAAACGCACTCAGCAGCGTCCCACAAAACAGTCGTGGATTGAGTGACCAATTTTTAAAAAAAAATGTTTTAAGGATTATTATCCATAAAAGTAATCCACCACTCGACTAAACAACCGGGTTGACTTATTTCCTGCTGGGTAAACAGGTGTGTGGAGCAAGGAAACTTGCCTAACGTTGCACCCCGCCCAGGAATCAAACCCAGATCCTCCGCTTGCGAGGCGAGCGGTCTAACTACTGAGCTGCAGGACTCCACAGGGTATGGGGTTTGCATTTGACACCAGAGAGAGATAGAGAGCAAATGAGCCAAGTTCCATACTGATCACAGCCTTTTATTTAAAACCATTTCCATTTAATGACATCATAAGAAGCAAAAAATCAAATCCGCACATTCACTCGCCATTTCTATCAAGCTACACGGGAATGATAGAAGTTCTGTCTTAAAAAAACGCAACAACATTCCACACCCACCCATTCTGTGACTGTTACCAGCATTTGGGAACCATACACTGCGTCGGTCGGGATCACAGGAAACTCACCGCATTTATTCAAGATTTGGGCAACGGAGGTATTTAAATGCCTGTTTTGGGTCAAAATCTTTTTAACTAAACTACCTTTTTAGGAAAATTCCTACATTCAGGAATAACATAACGGAAAATATCACAAGGAGCCAGTGGAATCCGAGCTTTATTTAAGCAGGTTCCAATTTAAAAATGGTGGATAAACGTCTATTTAGAGACTTAAGAAAAAGCTTTTCCCCTTCTCCCCAGCAAAACCTACAGGCAAAGGTGAACACACTATAGATCTAAGATCACTTTCTGAACTTTAATTTGCAGCACTGAATGTCTAATGGTTCCTCTTTACCTCACTCAGCAGACATAGGGGACAAGCTGCTGTGCAATACTGCTCTGTAACAAAATAGGTGAGATGCATCCTCAAACTGCCTTTTTTGACCAAGTGGTAAGCCTTTACCTCCAATTTCCCCACTATTCCCGCCGAGCCAAACCCCAAAACATGTCCCGAGGAGGGCAAGAAGGGATGAGTTAATAAAGGTACAGCCTTCATTACACAATATGCTGTTCCCCACAACAGACTAAAAACCATCTCAGGAAGCTTAGGTATAACATGCCTTTTGCCTGGACAGTAGAAGCCATTTACTCTGTTTAGTGTAGTTAGTTTTTATTGAAGTGCTAGTTATCGGAGTATTATCCAGTGTAAACTACCCTGTCAGTCGCTTCCATAATCCAACGGCAAATACTCAAGTGTTTTCAAAGTAAATAAGCATTTATATTGTAGCCTCTGCCACCTGAGCCGCTGGGACAATGTTAGGAATGTGCAAACAAGCTTCCTGATAGTGAGCTCGATGGTACTGGTCAGAAGGTGGAGATTTCAAACAGCAGTTAAATTACAATTCCACCACAGCACCAAAAAAAAAAATTCAGACAAGATTATAGAGTAGAATAAAGTCCTTCACCCAACCCTAAACGTGCAACACAGCCCACACTGAAACACTTCCTAAGCCCCTGTAATAACAGGACTGAATGGAGCACACGGGAATAATGGTGAAAGGTAATCTGCTTCCTCACCAGAAGGCAGCAGACTGGAGCCCCAGAATCGCCACGCTCGTTTGGGCATTTATGCCATTTTGGTATTGCAATGTTGCTGGGGGGGGGGGGGGGGTTTAAAAGTAACAGCTTCACTTCCGATCCCACCACAGACAGCGCTCTCAGCCAGTTGCGGGCCCTGGCAGAATTGGTGTCCCAGGCCGTCACAGCCTAAGACGTGGTATGAAGCGACTCTTGCGGGCAGATAAAAGACAAACAGGCTGAGAACATCCGGAAACTTTTTCCCTCTCAAAACGAACTGAATCAGATGCACAGCCCCTCCAGCTCTCTTCATTTGCTGCATTACATACCTGCTCACGCTGAGAGAAGAGCCTCATTGACACCAATCAAAACTGCCTTTTGCAAAGTTATCAAACGTGTTGTGCGCTTTCTAAAATACATCTCTAGCTAGCAGCAATTCACAAATAGATAGAATATTTCTCACCTCAAAGAGGCTTAACGGAATACATTGCCCCCTGTACCATTGGGGGTAGGGAAAGGGTGAGAGAGGGAGATCAGAATCTTAATCATTCTCTATCAAAGGAAAAACAGCCAATACCTGAGGTTACTGTCTGAACACAGCAGATTCTGTCAGGCTCGCGACATCTAGTGTGGATTTAAATAAAAAAAGTAGAAAAATGTAGATCTGAGAATCTAGCAATTTACTGCAGATGATTGGCAGAATTCCACTCACATGAATATTTCAAACAAAAATGTCTCTCTCCCACCCACCACCCAATTTGCAGATCCCAGGAACACAACTGGTTATAATTATTATTATTTTTTTTGAAAGGGAATATTACCTCTGGAAAAGCAATCCGCCAATCGACTAACAACTGGTTTCCTATTTACTACCTGGGTAAACAGGCGCGTGGAATGGAGTAAGGAAACTTCCCCTAAGGTTTTGTCCTGACCGGGAACCAAACCCAGGTCCTCTCGCTTGCGGGTCGAGTGCTCTAACTGCTAAGCTACACAATGTAATTTTGACCCATCACAGACATTACTATAACCAACCCATTTGCAACGTTCAGCAAAAAAAAATTCACAGCAAATCCCGACCGTTTCTCTTCACACCATTGGTTCTTTGCCCAGACCATCACTCACACATTGTCTTTACATTCCACATTTAAAAACCAATTTGCACATACAATTATGTTTACTTGAAGTTATACTAACTATTTAACCAGTGTAGCGCAAGTCTCAATGAACCAAGCTTGAAGGAACTTAAAAGGCAGTTTTTGCTTAAATATAAAAATAAAATTTCTTTTACAATTTGTTATCTAAATTTAGAAGTTGCCAATCACCCGCACGCACACATTCATACTCAGACATCATAAAAATGGCAGCCATTTTGCTAAGATAAGGAGGGAGCTTGCAGTGTTAGGACCGGTTTATCAATCAGCTGTAAAACCTTTTTTTTAAAAAAAAGTAAAAAAATGCTCCAAAATTTGATAAATCCGATGAAAACTGTACAAAAAGGCTCAAGATAATTTGCAAATGTTCAGGTTAAATCAGAATTATTTAGTGTTTCCCAATGGAGCAATGCATGTGATCAAGTCGGCTGTTTGCATTAAAGTCAGTGCTTTCAATATGCTCTGTAATAATACCCACAGGAAGTCCCGCAGGTGTGCATAGAGGTTACTCAGCAATATTATGGCCAAAAGCATAGAAATAATAATAATCCTGGCATTTGATACAGCACCTTATCACGTCGTCGAGACGTCTCAAAGCGCTTCACAGAATATACTGTAAAGTGAATCAACTGTACATTTTGTGCACGAAACGCGGCAGCCAATTACGCACAGCAGCGTCCCACAAACAGTCGTGGATTGAGTGACCAAATTATTCTTATATTTTAAAGAGATTATTACCCCTGGAAAAGCGATCCACCAAACAGGTACCTACTTACTAGACTGACGCTTGTCAAACTTCACAACTTACTGCACACTGCAGCCAAATACAATGCAATTGCCCCACTTTAATGTGAACCACACTTTCACTGGTACAAGTGCATAGTAAAGTGTGGATGGAGGTGGGGTGGGCATTAATTGCAGCGATTACAACACATCAGTTGCAAGGAAAGAAAGACCACATGTACCATTGCTCCTTCTAATTAAATTTGGCTCTAATTTCAAGATTATTCGAGAAGCTTTCAATGAGCCACGTGGAGGGGGGGGGGGGCAGGGAAAACAAACTTTGGAAAAATCTGTTGTGTACGTATATAGTCTCCGAAATAAGAAAATTAAAGTAGGCACATTTTGGAGTTGCACCTTAATTAGATGCAAGTACATCGTCAGTTGCAGATAAAATATACACGGTATATACACACACATATACAATTCTCAACACTGCCAGCCAAAGTTTTGGTATAAGCCGATGGAATTTGTATTTAACCTTATAGCACCGGATTTTTTTTTTTTTTTAATAATCTCTATTTGAATCAGTAAAATACTCCTACCTGTGTGAACAGGAAACTCCTCCAAATCTATTCATGACTGCCATTTCTCCATAGAACACTGTTTAATGTGTCACGCAGTTATAAGTAGCAAAACACTATCGCATCAGATTAGCAAGAGTCAGATTCACATTTATCCAATGAACCAGCAGAATCCGGCATTACTAACATGCCGCCACGCACACACTGAAATTCTTCCTCCAAATTCGATTCACTGAGCAAAAGAAGTGAGATATACAAGCAAACACTGATAACATTACCTTATATAAAAAAAAGGGTGGGGGGGCAGGGGGAGAGAAATGGTCAACACTAGGAGAGTAGCAGGAAGGGAAAGGGGTAGGGGGAAAGAGTCGGAGAGAGAGAGAGAGGAGAGCTAAATTGGATTATTTTCTTCCCACTTAACTAGTTTAATGAGGTTTTAAAAAAAGAGGCAATAACATCATTCATGGAGTGGGGGGGACAGGGGAGATAAGAGGTAGACCAGCCTAGCGAAAGTTGTTGATACATGAACTCAAAGAGGCACGAAAAAAATAAAAATAGGTGATTTGGGTTCACAAGATTCCTTCAAATCGATTGAATTAACAGAATTGTTTGGAGGGGAGGGGTGGAGGGGAAAGGGAGTTAATATCAGCCTCCATTTCATGTTGTCTTTGGACATAAGCGAACACAGTGAAATGTTTTGAAAACATTACTGTGACCTTCTGCCTTTGAGAAATCCAATTTTTAAAAAAACAATATCAAGTGCAGCGATATGTACAAAAGGTTTGGGGTCAAAGAAAAGTCTGCGAATAGCATTTTTTTTTACAGCAACCTTTAAACCAAAAAGTTTCAAGTAAAGTAAAGCTATGTGGGCTGCTAGTTGGGTCACCCCTTCCTTCACTGCTACACCCTGAACCAAAGTAAAACCACTGCTCTGTACCAACCATCGACTGTCTGGAGTTTGTTTGAAAACCTCACTGTAACCTGACATGAGTCACTGTGGTTTCAGCTGGAGTTGCAGCTGGTAATGGAAGGATGTGTTGTGCCAAACTATGAGACTCAAAACCGTGCCAGGCTGGACTCAGGCTTGGGAGTCAGTTCTCTGCATAAAGAGCTGGCTGTATTCCATGCTCATTTATTGGGCTCACATGCCCAAGACACATAAACTCAGACAAGGCTCCCGAGTGACAAGAGTTTTGCAATGGCTTTTCAATGTGTACCAGGCCAGTGTTCACAGCAAGGTGCATCAGGCTACCTGCTTACGTAACCCTGTGGCCTCTTGAGTGGACGCTTTGTGCAAGGCGCAGTGGGCAATTTCTGAATACTGGAGACGCCTCTATCTCTGCCCTCGGTGGGCTGAGACAGAGGATAATAAACATTGAATCAGAACACACAATTCCTTTCTCTCCCACACATCAATAAGCGCAATCAAGAGACTGATGGATGCTGAATGGGTAAAGCTCCCTCTTGGTAAAACCATTGACCTAATTATTTCAGGAACCTAGTTTCTGTTTCTCTTCTCCGACTAAAGATCTAGCATTTCGTTCACATCCGATTTCCAAGTCACTCGCTTGACTGTGAAGAATGTATCCAGTTTTTAACTGATAACAGATCATTGTTAATGTTCGAAAAGGAAGGAAAAAAAAAGTCACATTCGAGATACGTTTCAGCAGCCGTAAGCCATTTGTTCTGACAGTCGAGCCTCCCCACCCCCCCACCCCCTCCCCCAATCCCTAACTTTATACAGGACTTCTTCAGAGTATATTCCGAGTTTCTGAGGTTAGTTGCCGCCTGCACTTCCATCGTTTAGGGTACAAAAGTAAAAAGTGGTACGGTTCTCAGACAGCTAACACGTGATGTCCTTCTGCATTGTGTTATTCACATCCTCAATGTCTGTCTATCTCTTCCGTTGATGCTGCCGCCTGGCCTGCAATCTCTGTCTGGCTCCTGTGGGTCGAGGTCCAGATCCTATGGAAAAGGTTGCTGAGAGCAACAAAATACACAGTCAATTCATTTTACAGTGTATTCTGTGAAGCACTTCAAGACGCTGCCTGGCATGAAGGGCACTATATAAAACGCAAGTTATATAAATGCAAGTTGTACTAGTCGCGAAGACACGATAAGGCACTAAATCAAACACAAGGATTATTATTTACTGTAAACACCTGTAAGGAACATAGGGACAATCTGTCCAGACTCTCCCGACATTTTATCAGATCACTGCTGATTATTTTATCCCATTTCTCTAATGTTTCCGTATCACTTAATAGCCTTAGGTATCCCCTTAAAAAATTCCCATGGATTCCACCGTGATTGTTGAGTACAATGTTGTTTTGGTGTTGGGGACAGAAGCAGATTCTTACGGAGTCCTGGAGTCGCTGCTGCTACTGCTGCTGCTCCAGCTACCGGATTCCCGAAGTTTGTGACCGGAGTACCGGGGTTTCCAAAGGAAAAGCCACTAGTTGGGGTATTCTGCCCAAAGCCCGGTGCATTAGATCCTGGAAGAACATCAAGGAGAAAATATCAGACAACATATTTGAATACCCTGAGGCACAATACTGCAGGTGCTGTAAATATGAAATAAAAACAGAAGTGGCTGGGAACACTCAGCAGGTTAGGCAGCATCTATGGAGAGAGGAAAGTCAGTTAACATTTCATCAGAACTGGGGGATGTTGGAGGGAACAGTTTACAAGGACAAACAGTGAAGGGGGCAAGGAAAGAAAAAGGAAAAAAAGTTTGATCTCATCACCTCCTGACCGCCACCTAATTTTTTTTCCTTTGTCATTCTTTCCCTGCCCCCTTCCCTGTTTGTCCCTATAAACTGCTCCCTTCCAACATGGTGTCCTGGCTAAATTCTTCAGCTAAATTAGTCAGTCGTTTGATGGCTGTTTGTGGAACCCTGCTATGTACAAATTGGCAGTTGCATTAGCCTACAAATACAGTCACTACAGTACAGTACTACAGCAAGGTTTATTATTGTTAAAACATGATGCTTTATAATTGCTTTGCAGGAATACAGCAGCCCTTGAATTCTCTGGTGGAGATGACTAAGGAAGCAGCCTGTAAGGTTATTAGGGCTCTGTCTGCTCAAGAAACTAGTCTTGTGTCATTTCTAGCAAAGCAGCCAGCCTAGAGAGTGACCAGCAAAGGCAGCCGAATCAAGTCAGACTGAAGCAGATGTTGGAAGCGGGCAAAGCTTGTGACGTTCCATCAACTTACCAGCCCCAACATTCATGCTGCCAGCTCCAAAGTTGAACCCTGGTCAAATTTAAAAATAAGAAAAATACGGATGATCGCCAGTAAGTACTTATTGATGGTTATCAAGGGGTCCGTCCGTTTGAAGGCCTGAAAACACTGTATTCACCACACTGACTATGGTGGAGTCATGTGTGGGCTGATATAAGGTTTTGAAGTTCACAAGTAGATGGACAATTTCTATTCTGGCGTTAGATCAATCACAAGGGACAAAAGGCATTGATCATCCACCCCACAGCTGATTCCTGAAAGTGCTCCACTACCCAGGAAGGACATTTACCCTCCCTTATCCCCCACCAACCCCAGCTCGGGTCTGAAATGCTGTTCTCTGTCCAGCATCTTGGGACATCCTCCCGACGTGAAAGGCGCTATACAAATGTAATCTTGTTGTTGTAAATATTCCTTGCATTTAGTATAATGCTTTATCATTTGGAGTCCTGTAGCTCAGTGGTTAGAGCACTCGCCTTGCAAGTGAGACACCTGGGTTTAATTCCAGGCAGAGGGCGAAACCTTAGGCAAGTTTCTTTACTCCACACAGAGCCTAATAATAATCCCTCCAATAATAAATCGGTCATTTCAATCCACGACTGTTTGTGGGACGCTGCTGTGCCCAATTGGCTGCCGTGTTTTGCTCACAAATACACAATCAATTCACTTTACAGCACATTCTGTGAAGCGCTTTGAGACGTCGAGAAGACGTGAAAAGTGCTATATCAAATGCAAGGATTATTATTATTATTTCTCATCTTTAAGCACAATGTATGAAGCGAAGAAAAGGAATTACCCACCTCCAAAAGCAGGCTTGTTGTCAGTCGTTATTGAACCTCCAAAGTTGAACTGCGGAGTGGCCTGGTTGGTGGGTCCGTGGCTAGTCAATGGTGAAGCAAACATATTCTGAGATGACGCTGTGGAGGTGGAAGCTGCAAACGGGACCAAAGTGCTCGAAGAACTGAATCCACCCTGACCGGCTCCAAAGTTGAAGCCTGCCTGTGTTGCTGTGTTGGGATTCGTCACGGTCGGCTGACTGGACGAACCAAAGAGAGGCAATTGGGAAGAGCTACCAAAGATGGAGGCCGGAGCACCACTGGCCGAGCTCTTGGTTGTGTTGCCAAACAAAGAGGAGGAGGTGGTGGTGGAAGAGGTGTTGGTATCAAAGGAGAATCCTGCTGTGGTGCTGCCGAATGTTTGTTGTGTGGAATTGGTTCCAAATCCAGCCTGAGCGGCCACGGTTGGCGTCTCTCCAAACTGGCTGGCAGATCCAAAGGTAGATGGTGCCGTGGTACTCGGGAAGGCCGGCTGGACAGGAGAGGCTCCGAAATTGAAGGGAGTGCTGGTGTTCGCAAAGGCAGACGCCTTGGTGGGAGTTTGCTGAGCTGTAACAGCATTGACACCGAATGGTGGTGGGGCGCCAGAATTTCCGAATTGAAGCTGGGCCGACTGGCCTCCAAAGGACTGCGTGGCTGTGCCTGTGGTGCTGCCAAACAAAGAGGCTTTTGACGAGTTGCCAAAGCTCAGTGGGAGCTGGCTTGCTGAAGTCGTGGAGGGAGCAGATACTGTGGCTCCAAAACCTCCGAACATCTTCGAGGTGGCAGGCGTGCTCACTGCTGAGTCCTTGGCAGCCACTTTGGGCTGACCAAACGTGGGAGCTGGTGGAGCAGCTGATGAGGGAACTGGATCGGCGGAGGTGTTCCCAAACTGGAACATGGCACTGGGCTCAGCATTGGTGGCAGTGGTGATGGGTTTAGTCGGGTTTGGGCCAAACTGGAATGGCTGGGCTGCTAAGTTGTTGCTTGCAGAAGAGACTGCGCTAGGCTTTGTAGAAAGAGGAACACTCAAGCCAAAGCTGAACGTTCCCTTTGAACTCTTCGCTTCCGAATCAGTCTTGGATCCCGCTAAAGAATTGAAGCTCCCAAAAGGGAAGGTGGTGGTGGAATGAGATGTCACAGAAGTCGTCAGGGCAGCGGTTTCATTGCTGAGCGTGGCTGGAGATGACTGACTGAATGTGAATGGTGAGGATGAAGAAGCAGGTGGGACAGACTTTCCAAAGACAGGTTTGAATGCCATTGATGAGGTAGCTGAGCCGGGCGATGTGATCGTTCCTACCGAGCTTACTAATGATGTGAGGGGAACCCTGGAGTTCAATGCTGGACTTGCAGTGCTAGTCTGAGCAGTTGTTGGCTGACTAAACACCAGTTTAAACTCAGATGCAGGGACAGATGAGAGGGTCGGGGTAGAAGTGGCCGTCGCCATTGAGGTCAATGCGCTCGTCAGGCCAAAGCTTGTGCTTGAAGGTGCCACGCTCCTGGCACACACGGTAATATTGGTTTCAGGGCTTTTGCTGACAACCGTTTCTTGTGTAGGAGCTGGAGTAGAGATCTGGGACATGCTGTTGCTGGTGATGGTGGGGGGCGCAGGAGACTGATTGACAAGATTTACAAGCGGCTGGGAGATCAAGGGAGACGAGAAGTTCAAAGTGGGAATCGGCTTTGTTGCAGCGCTGTAGGCTGGGGGTGGGGTGGGCATCTGTCCCATTGTGGTGGTTGTGAAGCAAGGTTCGGAAACTTTAGCTGCATTAGCTGCACTGGTTAAAGTCACTCCAGCAACAGATTCTGAGAAGAAAAAGAAAAAAAACACGTCGATTGTAAAATCGCTATGGTGGACAGTGCCATTGGCCACCGAGCAAAGTTAAAAGATCCTCTATCAAGGGTTTTGCCAGAGAACTGAAAAAGGAGGCAGCGCTAACCTACACAACCCACGGCTGCAATTGAAATGGTCATTTCTCCCAAACAGACAGTTGCGATAACACATCAGCTTGAGAGCAAATGACGTAAACGTTTTAGTGCGCAAACAGGAATTTGACCCAGCAACGGAATTTGGTGCAGGTGACCATCTGTGCAATTACGGGTAACTTTACTGTCTTGTGGGAGTTAGGATTACCAACAGTATTTAAAAGGGATACTGGACAAGTATTTGAGGAAAATCATTACAGGATATGGGTCAGGAGCAGGGGAATGGGATAATAATAATCCTTGCATTTGATATAGCGCCTTATTATGTCTTCGAGACATTTCAAAGTGCTTTACAGAATATATTGTAAAGTGAAGAGACTGTATTGAGGTTAAGAGACAGTGCTGGTACACCTCTTCTGTGCTGTAAACCGTTGACGCTCATTCCAAATGACTGCTGATTAGAACATACCCGAGGTGGCAGCAAGGCTGGAGGGCTTCTGCATCTTTTTCAGAGTGTCCAGTAGAGGGCTGGAGATGGCCACAGGGCTAGAGAAGGTGACAGGGCTGGAGAAGGCGACAGGACCGGAGATGGTGACCGGGGCAGAGGTTGCTGTTGTGGTTGGGGGTGCGGAAGTTGTTATAATCGGAGCTGTGAAAACAGTCGTTGGTAAGGGTGTCACTGTTGTCACAGCAGCTGGTGCTTTTGAAGGTTCTGCGAAGAAACATACTGGTTATTTTAGTTCCCATCGGCTAAGCCACATGTATTCTAACCCTGTAAAGAGAAGAAAGTTTTTTTCTGGTTGGCATTTATTAGTGCAGCATTTCAGTGCTAAATCAGGCGTGATTACTAAATCAAATTCATTGCAACATTATAAAAAAACTATAAGCACAGTTGCTTGATATTAACATTCGGTGCTTAAGAGAAAGCATTGTTAAGCTGATGAATGAAACCCAACATTTCACCCTGGCCAGGAATCATACCCTAGTCCTCTTGCTTTCGAGGCAAGTGCTCTAACCACTAAGCTACAGGACTCCACTAACACACAACAAACACACCGGGCTTACCATCAGATTTTACCACAGAACCCAGAATGGAAAAGGTATTTCAACTCGACAGTTTTTCTCACCTTCTTTTTCTTCCAGCACTTTTTTGATCCTGTCCAGACCTGCCTTCTTTTCGGAGTCCAGATCATCCACCGTGATAGTGTACCCAAGTTGTGGTGGAGGAGGCTGAAGGAAAAACATTCAATTAGAACCATTTTCATACATCAATTCATTTACACATCAATGTGAACCAATGTAAATTTTATGCAAGTTGCCCCGCCACACTATCTACTCCAAATGGCTCTGCTTACTGCTAGGTAAACAGGTATGTGGAGTAAGGAAACATGTCCAACGTTTCGCTCTGCCCGGGAATCAAACCCAGATCCTCTCGCTTGTGTGATAACTAACCACTAAGCTACAGGACTCTATGATAAAGTTCTTGAAATTACAGTAAATTGTAATCTGCTCCCAAATACCCAATGAGTTGTGAATTGTGATTTAAGAAACAAGAGAGGGATAGAGAGAACTCAGCGTGTAGCAGGGTAATACTCAACCAGAGTAAGCTGATCGCCTTTGCGCTTGGACAGAAGAGGAACCTTCCGCTTGCGTTTGCCATCACCCTCGGAGGTGGGAGAGTCCACAGTGGAGGTTGACTGTTTTGATAGAGGAGAGGCCATTTCTGCAAATGGAACACACCAGCATTAGGATACCGAAGCAATTAAATGTTCTTCTGATTTGCATTCTTCTCATTTGAACATTTGCCTATAAAAATACACAGTCACTACACTATACTTGAGAACCCCCTGCTTGGGTCCAAATCCCTGACTGTCCGGTGCCTTTCCTACGTGAAAGGCGTGTAGTTTGTTGTTGTTATTCCCTGTATGTGTAATTCTGTCCCAGATTAGTCTACAGTCTAATAGAAGAAAGAGGATTGCCAGTAATTTCTTACCCTCTTCCACTGGCTGATCTCTCTCTGCCTTGTCGACCCGAACTGGAGTGGAGGCGTTTGACCTTTGAACTTCTTCCTCTCTGTGAGCGAAAATCATAGGAGAGATTTGTACAGTTTATACTAAATCCAAACATACATTAATGTCTCACCTTATAGTCCAATATAATCCAATCGGGTCAGTCAATAAGGAAAACCAAGAAATGTGAGCAAAACAGGGTAATGCACCATCCTGTCACCACCGGGACTTGGGGTCCAATTCAGCCCAGATCATGGATGAACATCTCCCCTGATGACTGCAAGAGTCCTATGAATTTGCATGATTTCAGCTTGCCAGTCTGCTTTGTGCCAAGTTGTTGTGACTCCTCAGCACAAAGCAGACAAAGACAGTTGACAGTCACAGAAAGCTTCAACGGGCAGAAAAAGTCTCCATTGTTATGGGGGGGGGGGGGGGGGGAAGAGAGCACAAGGAGCATTTTCCTCCAAGTTCAAGCTGTATCTGACCTCAAACATGCTGATACCGGGTGTGCACAATGTCGAAAGTATCCACATAGCCGGGAACAGAGAAATCTCTCCCGCTGACCAGGACAAAAACATGCAATTCAAAAAATTATTCACAAAGCAGCCAAGCCAACAGAAAGGCAAATGGAAACATAGTCAATTCACTTTACAGTATATTCTGTGAAACTCTTGAGACATCTTGAGGATGTGATACGGCGCTATATCAAATGCAAGGATTATTATTATTATCAACAACCATGAAGTATGTTAGCCATTTGTAAATACTGTCTTAACACTAACTCCAAGACTTCCAAGCATTTTGGGTGAGATACAAATTTATCAACCAGCACAAATAGACTGCTTGCACGAGACAAAGTAAATCCAGTGTTAATAAAGAGATTTAAAAACATTGGTCAAACCCACCCAACTAGTTTCCAGCTGATTTCAAATCCAAAGGAAACAACAAGCTAAGTGGATAGGTAACCAAGTGGCTTAGTCCCACACAGCACGACTGACTCCTGGCTCAGTTCTTTTGATTAAAGTATCTGACAATCGTTTTCAATTGTGTCAGATCTTGTGAGACATAATAACCAGTATTGCAATCAATAAAATGCCAGCCTCTGATCCGAAAAACCACTGGAGGAAAGAACGACACAATTCCTCAAAAGGGAAACTGTATCCCACCCACGACATCCCAATCAGGAATCATTGCAGTCATTGTCCGGGCCAATGGTAGACGTACACTATTGAAGGTGAAGGGGAAATGAGTTACCTTGATTTCTTGCCCGGTCTCTCAGGTGTCTGTGAACGTGAAGACCCGGGGCTCGAGAGCGGAGATGCATTCCGAACAGAGAGATAGTGCTTCAAACCCTGTGGTCAGACAAGTCAGATTCAGAGTGCAGCTTATATAGTATACAGAATAAAAATCAACACAAGCCGTGATAATAAATAATAAAGCTTGAATTTCACATAGGACCTTACCTCTGGTTGAGTATTACCCTTATCAAGCGCGTCACAGATTATACTATAAATTGAATCGACTGTATATTTGTGGGAAAAACGTGGCAGCAAATTGCACGCAGCAGCGTCCCACAAACAGTCAAGGATTGGGTGATCCAATTCTTCCTCTTATTGTTTTTTTTAAAGGGATTATTATCCCTAGAAAAGCAATCCACCAATCTATTAACAACCGGGTTCCTACTTAATGCTAGATAAACCAAAGCGCGTGGAATAAGGAAACATTTCACCTTGCCCGGGTATCGAACCCAGGTCCTCTCGCTCGCGAGGCAAGTGCTCTAATCACTATGCTACAGGACTCTACAAACCTGCGTGTGGCCGCGGGTGGAACTGTAGGAGCTGAAGATGGGATTGCGAGCAGACGTAAGTGTCCCGCCCACGTACATGCTGTTAAGCGAGCTGATGGATGACGTTCGTGACCGCTTGGAGACGGGGTCATCCGAGCACTGAGAGTTGGTGCCTCTCTTCAGGGTTCCAGGTCTGGAAAGAGGAAATGAAAATAATCAGGACAGAGACACAAGTGGATTCAGGACCAGAGTCACCATCTCCGGAAAGCGATCCACCAATCAACTAACAACCGGGTTCCTACTTACTGCTAGATAAACAGAGGCTTTAATAAAATAAAACATTAAATCAATGGGGGCGGTGGGATTTCTCATCACCATTTAGAACAGTTTACTCTGGACACTGTTCTGCCCATTCACTTGTGCTCAACTTACTTGGGAACTAACGAAGCTGGGGCTCCGTTAGCCAGGAGAGGTTCAAACGCAGACTGACCACTTCCGCTGCTATCATGGCGCCTGGAAAAATAACAGGAAAAGAAAGCAACTGTTAAAGAATTCTCCAGACATTTCAGCCCAAGCTAAACATGTACCAAACACATATGCGTGTGTAGGGTGGGGAGGAATAATAATAATCCTTGCATTTGATATAGCGCTTTTCACGTCTGGAGGACGTCCCAAAGCGCTTCACAGAACACACTGTAAAGTGAATTGACTGTATATTTGTGGGCGAACGCGGCAGCCAATTGCGCACAGCAATGTCCCACAAACAGTCGTAGATTGAAAATGACCAATTTATTATTGTTTTTGGTTTTGGAGGGATTATTATTAGGCTCTGTGTGGAGTAAGGAAACTTGCCCAAGGTTTCGCCCTCTGCCTGGAATTGAACTCAGGTCTCTCGCTTGCAAAGCGAGTGCTCTAACCACTGAGCTACAGGACTCCAAATAAGACAGGAACGGGTTTGGCTTCAGTCCACTCGTAACTTCATAAATCTATCCCCACCCAACTCATACCTGCGTTTGTTCTCCTGCTCAGAAATCAGTATTCTTTCCCCTTCGTCCACCATTCTTTTTCTGCTCTCCTTGAGTGCACTGAGCACAGTTTCCTTTGAGCAAGGGTCAGTTAGAGGAGGCAGAACTGGGGAGAGCATCATATGCGCGAACCTGCAAAGATGATGAATGGTTTATGATGAATTCCAGCTTCCACACATCCAACAACAGACGAGCTGAACACTTTATAGAACGTTATAGCAAGGTTTCTACAATCCAAAGATCATAGTTTTGGACAAATACTTGTCACAGTGACTATTACAACAATTCAACCACTGCATCAAAATCATCTTTAAGAAACTTAGCTTCCCAAGTGAACATAACGGATTAAAATCACACACAACAAGGAAATCCGAATTAGTGGCTAGACATTTGTCAGATCAGGGTATCAAGGTATATGGGGCGAGGGCGGGTAATTGGAGTTGAGGTTCAGATCAGCCATGATCTTATAGAATGGCGGAACAGGCTCAAGGGGCTGAACGGCCTTGGTGCAAAAAAAGGCAGGTTTCAAATGCTGAATCTGTCCTGAAGTTGAACTCTTGTGTACACTCTGTGCCTTTCCTCACCAACCTGCAGCTCACTTTACACAGTACGCAGGCCCCACCTGTTGTTAACTCCAGTTGACTTGGATTTGGCCATCCAGCAATAAGCTGTTAGCCAGCATCTGGCTGACTGTATACTGGAGCAGCTGTTAGCAAAAACGGTCACTGCTAGAACACAAATGAGTTGCTTCAGAAATCAATGACCCTTCATTGAAATCAAGGCTAGCGGCAAGAACACCATCTAATGCATTTAGTACTGCAGAACTCCACCAGCAGATTGACTAACACAAGAGGTACTGGGTCGATTCTGGGTGAAGAAAGCTGCCTCTTAACAGTATTTTTTTTGGTCAGCTGGTTGTCTTGACACATGCAGAAGCTCATCACCATGCTTAAGAGTATTCAAACCAAGCTGAGAATACCATACATGTGGAACACACACCACCTACACATGGAAATCTCAGAGATAGGTTGGAATGGAACCAAAATACTGCAGATGCTGGAAATCTGAAACAAAAACAGAGATCCCAGCGATCTCCATTTTTTCCGGAAAGTATTAGGCGCAGATTGGCAAGAGCCAAGGCTTGGGGACCCCAGAGTTTGCTGAGTTGGATGACTCCCTGCCTCCAGTGACTGCCTTTCCAAGTCCTGCAGATGAGCCAGGACTGTGCGGTCATCAGCATTGCCCTAGAATACTGTATTTCACAGATGAAGGGAAGCATTGTCGCACCCCACCATCCGCCACACACACACTACACACACATGAAGCAGCATTGGCTGTGGCCATCTGCCTGCATACGTTCCTCTCCATCCGGCAGCAACTGACCTTTTGAAATCGCTATCTTAGATTGTGAACCAACTGAAGCAGTAAAGATGGCCACAGGGCTACATGCTAGTACTTGGCGGAATAGAAAGCGCTCCTGGTCCAACGCACTGCACCACCAAACAGTGTGACTCAGCAAAGCCTCTTATGGTTTATGACAAGATAACTCCACCCCTTAATGTAGTATTGCTTTGTGCTGCAGACAGCTCTATCCTATTTAACAGCCTCAATAATGAAACTCAAGCCGTATTAAACCATTTTCAACACAGTAGGTTATTGGTTGGGATTGGACAATTCTGCTTCCCTGAAATGAATTGGCTTTTACTTACAATTGAGACAGATTTACAAGCGGCATTTTTGCCACTGTGTTTAAGGGCACAGGAACATTGCACTGAAACTGCATCTCACTGTTTAAACAGCATCATTACTGACAACTATTCATGTATTCAGAGCAAAGCCAATACAAGCACAAAACACACACAACTGTAGACAGGGAAATATTAAACCAGCACTGACTGGTAAACGCTCGCTCACAATTCCACAAGATTAGTAAAAATGGATTCCACTTTGAACATAAAATCTAATCTCAAGATATTCCCAGGGTATTTCCTGGTTATATGCTTATTCCCCCCAAAAAATTCTGTGGCTATCAGTTCTAGTGGCCGCAAATATTTCTGAAAAAAAGCGAATCGCTGAAGAGCAGTTTGTAAATTTTTTTTAATATTACAAACTATTGTTTTTTGTAAATGTTTATGAAAAAATTTGGTGCTAATCTAAAAGCATTTCTTGTCACCCACAGGAGAACAGAGAGATTTTATAGCTAGCATAGCAGGTAAGAAAGTTCGATTTAAAATGAAAACAGATTTTAACAGGGTTTAATTGGGGAGTTTTAAATTTATTAGAAGGCTTTTAAAACTGCTACATACACTTGCTGTCGAAGAGGAAGGTCTTCAGGGGCGACCTGAAGATGGGGAAGGAGGGGGCAAGTTGTCTTCAGTGGTCAAGGTGAGTGTATTTCTTTTGACAGATGAAAAGAGTATCAATGGCAATGAGGCACAAACTCATATTGATGACTCTCCGGTTGGGACTAACCACACTGTGCTGCTGGAGACAATACTGGATTCTCGCAGATTTCAAACAGATCAGGATTAATCCCAACAGTTGCATTATCCTCAATGCAGTGAGGATGTAAAGCAGAAACAAAACCATGACAAGATCAAGTCTCTCAATGTAACAAGAGAAATCAGGTAAAGAACCCATCAGCTGTATGCTACAAAAGATTGGAACACGAACCCATTCATTCCACTTCAATGACCTGGGAAAGCACCAAGAAATATTTAATTTGGAAGAAAGCGAGTACTTACAAAGGTGATCGGATTATACTAGCATCGGGGCGCGCAATTTTGACAGTCACTGGGCTGTGTACCATGGTTGAGTTTCTGGAGGACAAAACATTCTTCTTCTGGTAGCCATCCCACCGCACGGTTGGCAGAGTCCCAGGGATGGAGTACTGCAACTGCTGGATTGGATACCGTCGGCGGGGAGTGGCTGCAAATCGGTTTGCTGAAGCCAGGTGTTCCCTAGAACAGACGAGAAGATAATAAAGCACCAATTTGGCAGCAATTTCCACCCTGCAGTTACAGACTTTTACAAGGTACAATTCCAAATCCCAGAGCAGCAACACTATCCAAAACCTCACCAAGAAGCTGCTACTGAACAACATGCATTAATATAGTGCCCTTCACACAAAGTACTGTCTTGAAGCACTTAACAGCGATGAAGCTTTACATCAATCCTACTATGATTGTATTAGGCATGGTCAAAGAAGGTCTTCAGGTGTGATCTGCAGACTGGCAAGGAGGGGGCACTCACAATTCATATGCAAGCCTGGAAAATGAATATTAATAGTAATCTTTGCATTTGATATAGCGCCTTATCACGTCTTTGAGATGGCTTTAGAATATAAAGTGAATTGACTGTGTATTTTGTAGGAGAAACACTGCAGCGAATTGCGCACAATTGATGCGTAGCTCTCTTTAAAATTGGGTTATCCTCTGTACATTTAAGTATAGTATACATATTGCCAACTCCTGTGATGTTGATGTATGTTTACAACTGCCAAATTGTCCGATTCCTACACAAAATGTGGTCACTCAATCCGCAATACAATATTACATTTGTAAAGCGCCATTCACATTGGGAGGATGTCTCAAGGCGCTGGGCCATCCACGACGGTTTGTGGGACACTGCTGTGCGCAATTGGCTATACAATCTTTGGTAGAAAAAAATTAAACAAAGCTTCCGTCTAGTTTTGCACATGAACAATAAAGAACCCAACACCATTTTAATATTCTGACTGTATTCAAATTAGTCAGTAACTATTATCACATGATTGCTGTTTATGTGGTTAGTGAAGATTAACTATAGCGGTGCCTATATATCACTTGAGTTAAAGGTAACTCGTTATGTGAAGTGCTTTAAGATACATTATGACGATAACATCATTTGATTTTACATCTATACATATAGACATTTGCCTTTGCCTACAAATTTGCCTCCAAAATAAGCGTTATTACACTTTACAAGTATAGCCTGTAAAGGGTTTAGAGACACCTTTTCCAATATGAAAGGCTCTATATCAAATGCAAAGATTATTATTCCATAATGTCAAAACTTCTCAATGCACTTCACAGGTAATTGCTTTCATGTGACCATTTATCACCAATGTAGAAGGATATTATGATGATAAACATAAAATGCTCATTTATATTAAGGAAAGTTATTGGAAATGTAGGACAATAGTTATTTTCATAACTGCCCAAGTAAACCAACAAAAACATTGCATTTATATAGCACCACTCACACAGGGAAGCATCCCAAAGTGCTTCCTATTCAATACCCAAACCAACTGAATACAAAATGTTAAGCGATTGGATTAAAACTGGATGCAATAACAAATCTAGAAGAAACTACTGTTAAAAATAATAAAATACTACACATGTCAGAAATGAAATACAATTCAAAGTAAAACAAAATCCCAAAATGACTAGATCAGTCAGCAAATGTGTTGGGAAGTGAAAGGCAGGCACAGACTTGAAATGAAACAAACATTTGATGATTTAACAGTCATTTTGAGAGCACATCAGGGAGCAGTACTCTTCTGTCGCAGGTGTGGTGTTAGTTACTGGGTGGAGACTCAGATGTATTCCAAAACATGGGAAATTCCTATTGTTTCACTCATCATATGAGGGTGAAATGTTAAACCCAGGTTCCCTCTGCTTGTTCAGATAGACGTTAAAGATCCCAACACTATTTGAGCACTCAATCCACGATTGTTTTTGGGACAATAGTGTGCGCAATTGGCTGCCGTGTTTCACCCACAAAATATACAGTCAATTTACTTAACAGTATATCCTGTGAAGCACTTTGGGACGTCTCAAAGACTTGATAAGACGCATTATCAAATGCAAGGATTATTATCATTAATTATTTGAAGAAAGAAGTTTCTCCTTGTGACCTGGATAACAGGCCCACTGATAAAATTGTGACCATCTTGTGCCTGTTTTGAAGTAAAGCTAGAGGATGTTGAGGAAGCATGTAACATTGCTTCACTCATTGCGTCTTAATTTTTTGGTTTGGTTTCGGAGTGAAAAGTTGACCCCAATCTTTAAAGGTTTAACTGCTCAACTATGTTTGTTTCTGCTCTGTGTTTTATTGTGGTTTTAACAGTTCTCGTCGGACGAGTCTTGACTCGGAAACAGGTGCACCTGTGTGAAATAAGTGTTGTGGCTAACTGGAAATATGAGGGTCATGAAAAAGCAAAAGGCAACCAAAATCTATTTTACAATGAACATGAGCAACAGTCTTAAACTCCATCCTTGTGATAACAAATCAGATGGGATTAATCTATCACCTTTGTTGGAATGTTAAATCTTAAATTATTTGAAAAACTTGTCTCCTTACTGGGCCGTTAAAAATTATAAACGCTTGTCAGTGCCGAATTAGCTAATCTATTAAATTTGCAGCTCACAAGGAGGCCATTCAGACTATGAAGAGAAGGGAGTTTCTCTCCCCTGGTGTCCTGGTCAACAATACCCCAAATAAAAAAAATTGGCCTTTCATTTCATGGGACAGTGATGTACGCAGAGGACATCGGTTTGATTCCCGGGCAGGATAAAATGTTGACAACTTTCCTTCCTCCACACAGGGAAAGGGGTAATAAACCCTTCATAAAATAAATAATAATATGGTGACTCAATCCATGACTGTTTGTGGGTCATTGCTGTAATTAAATGGCTGCCGTGTTTCGCCCACAAAATACAGTCCATTCACTTTACAATATATTCTGTGAGGCGCTTTGAGATATCTCAAAGACATGATAAAGTGCTATATTAAATACATGGATTATTACAATACATGTGTTTCTCTCTCCTCCTTTGCTTGATTGCCGATGTAATAACTCTTCCCTTTTTCCCCTTCACTGAGAATTATTATTATTATAATAATATATGAACAAGCTGACTTCATTTCATACAGTTGGCACATGACAACAACAACAACAACAACATTCCACTTATAGAGCGCCTTTCAGTCGGGAGGACGTCCCAAGGCGCTGTGAACGAGGAGTTAAACCCCTGTGCGTTGGTACGTGACCCTAATTAAATCTGATCAAGCATAGGGTTTCTTAGCAAATTACGGATGAACTTTCTTGGTTGATTTAATTGGATGGGCGTGCGGTAGGCTTTGCGGGACACTGACGTGCGCAACTGGCCGCCGCGTCCCGCCCCACAAAATACAGCCCCAAAACCCTGCGATGCGCTGTGAGACGTCTCGATAGAGGCACTGTATCCCCGATGCAAGAATTATTAATAATGAGGGAATTATTAATAATGAGGACCAGGTTTATTTAACTGAGACAGTTGTATGGCAGACGAGGGTTTGTTTAAGCTGATGCTCATGTTGGGAATGGAAACGTCTCTCTCTCTCTCTCTCTCTCTAACGCTCAGTCCCCTGGGGGTGGGGGGTGGGGGGGGGGGAGGGTCGGCCAAGCTCCCATGTGTGGGGAGAGGGTCAGTCAGACTCGGTCACTTACCCAAATGACAGTCTCTTGTGGGGGGTCTGGACGAGCGGATTCGGCCGCTTGTAGCGTCTCCTCAGCTCCTTGGAGCTGATGTCCGGCTGTGTCGGGCTCTCCTTCGACAGGAAGCTGCCCATCATGACCTCGGGCGGGCTGCTCCGGCTCTCGCCGCCGGCCTGCAGAGAGTCGCAGGTCACCTCCCACGGCCAGCAGTCGGCTCGGGCCCGACCGCGGCCCGGGTTGGGGCTCTTCCCACCACCGGGCAACGCCGCCGCCGCCTGAGGCCTGCCTCGGCCGGGCCTGTTCCTGCTCCTCCCGCCTTTCCTCCTCCCCTGAGCGGCGGCGGCGGCGCCTCCACCACCACCACCACCACCACCGTTCAACTTGCTGTGCACCACTCCCGCCAACAGCGTCCCGGGCAGCCACGCTCTGAGGCGGCTGAGGTAAAATCGAGTCCCGGGCTTGAGGCCCAGACCCGGCGTCGCCGTCTGATGATGAGGAGGCGGAGGCGACGAGCGAGAGAAGAAGGCGGCGGCGGCGGCGGCGGCCAGCAGCAGCACCAGGCCCAGCAGCAGCAGCCGCAGACACCACCAGCCGCCTAACGAGCACAGCGAGAGGAGTAAAGCGCAGCTCAGCCCCGCCGCCCAGGTCACCAGCGAGCGCTTGCGTGCGGGAGACATGGCGGCTGCGGCTGAGGCGGCTTCAATGCCGTCGTCTCCTTCTGCCCCATTCTCCTCGCGGCCAGTCCGCCATTACCTGACTCTCTCTCCCGCCCGCGCGCGCAAGCCATTACCCCCTCCCCCCCCCCGGCGGCGGCGTCGCTCCCCCGCCGGGCGTGCTGACGCAGAGCCGTGCGTGTCTCCTGAACTTACGTGGATGCATGCGTCGCCCCGGGCAACGGCGAGCCCGGCGTGGCGTGGCGTACCGTGCCGTGCGTGCCTCTGCTGTGTGACGTCGCCGTGCGTGCCTCTGCTGTGTGACGTCGCCGTGCGTGCCTCTGCTGTGTGACGTCGCCGTGCGTGCCTCTGCGTTGCGACGCAGGGTTGGCTGCCTGCGCCGCGCTGCACTGCGCACGCGCAGACCCAGGTTGCCCCCCCCCCCTCAGGGAAGATGATAATAATAGTCACTAAAGGAGAAACTCCTTCTTCTCACTTCAAATAATAATAATAATCCTTCCATTTGACCCCCGTCTTCGAGGCGTCTCAAGGCGCTTCGCAGGATACGCCGTCAAGTGTAGTGACTGTGTATTTTGTGGGCGAAACGCGGCGGCCGATCGCGCCCGGCGACGTCCACCCCACCCCCCCCCACCCACCAAACAGCCATGGTTAGTCACGGACTTCCGACACTTGTCAAGCGCTCTGGGACGCTACCCCGCATGAGGGGCTACATAAGGACATGAGAAATAGGAGCAGGAGTAGGCCATTCGGCCCCTCAAGCCTGTGCCCCGCCATTTAATAATATCATGGCTGATCTTCTCACCTCATTATAATAATAATAATCCTTGTATTTGATATAGCGCTTTTCACGTCTTCTCGACGTCCCAAAGCGCTTCACAGAATATGCTGTAAAGTGAATTGACTGTACATTTGTGGGCGAACGCGGCAGCCAATTGCGCACAGCAATGTCCCACAAACAGTCGTGGATTGAAAATGACCAATTTATTATTGATTTATTATTAGGCTCTGTGTGGAGTAAGGAAACTTGCCCAAGGTTTGGCCCTCTGCCTGGAATTGAACTCAGGTACTCTCACTTGCAAAGCGAGTGCTCCAACCACTGAGCTACAGCTACAGGACTCATTCCATTTCCCCGCCCTATCCCCGTATCCCTTAATGCGTTTTTAAAAATCTATCGATCTACATAAACGCAAGTTTTTGCTGTTATTTTTTTTCAGAGGGATTATTAACCCCCAGAAAAGCGATCCGCCGCCAATCGGCTAAGGCCGTGGATACCGGAGCAATGGATAACATTGGCCACCAGGTGGCCAGAGATTCCTGGCAGAATTCCCGAGAGAAGAACGGCAAACGTCGATGGCAAAGTCACACCAGAGAGGTTTGGGTGAAGAAGGCACTTTGACCTATTTGCTTTCATCCTTTTTTTCCCTTCCAGAACATGCACCCGCCCATTATGAATGTCACTGTGTGCCACAAACAGGCCATTTGGCCCATCAAATATTTTTCTCCGACAAATCGAAAACAACTCTTTTTTTTATACGGTTTTTTAAGCATCCATCTAATTTCCTTTTGAAAGGATTTATAACTCTGTTATTAATGTGGAGTCCCGTAGTTTAGTGGTTAGCGCACTCGCCTCGCAAGCGAGAGGACCTGGGTTTGATTCCCAGGCAGGGTGAAACGTGAGGCAAGTTTCCTTACTCCGTGTATCTCTGTTTACCTAGTAGTAAGTAGGAACCCAGTTGTTAGCTGATTGGCAGATTGCTTTCTGGGGTTAATATTTCCTTAAAACAAATGTGGTCACTCAATCCATGACTGTTTGTGGGACGCTGCTGTGTGTAATGGGCTGCCGCGTTTTGGCCACAAATTTCACAATCAATTCACTTTATATTTTGTGAAAACTCTTTGAGACGTCTCAATGACGTGATAAGGCACTGTATCAAACGCACAGATTATTATTATAAGTACTGCTGTTTCCGGTGCTGTGCCACAAGTGGTATTGACAGTTTACATATCTCGCAGGTGCAGCCAGGCAATGTGAATGAGCTGCCAGTTATTTCCGCGAGTTCCTCAATGCCTCTTCCTTCAGCTGTGTTCTACACAGGCTGTTCCGCTCCTGAGGGATTTGCCAAATCATTTGATGCTCACTTGTGAAATTCCTTCTGTATTCTTCACATCCTTTGTGCATATAAATCACCCCTTTGTTGGTAGTATGGGAGCATCTCCAGAGAATAATATCCTCTTTATTCCAAGCCAGTGACCGATGGGATCAGCCTAGGAGCAGCTGAGCCAGTGATTCTCTCTATCAGGGGGACTCGAACCTCAAAAAATAACATGACAGGAGATGCCAATGAGTAATTAAACTATGATTTAACCTACTTTCAATTTATGAATGCGTGCAGAACTCTTGAGAATGAATTACAGTCTTAAACACACTTTTTGATAGTTGTTACTACATTTAATAACACATCTATCTGCCATAGAGATATAATCTTGGAGACACCTCAAAATGCTTCACAGAATTCAAGTCCATTGACTGTATTTTTTGGGCAAAGTGCAGCCGCATATCTTTGAATTCACTGAAGAGTATACAGTGCTTTGAAGTGTATGTTGTTGTTTTAATTCAGATTTTTCTTTTTTCGGCCAACTTTTGCCAGCAGACATAGATGGCTAGACTGCTCTGTGGCATTGATGCACATTGAACACTAAGAGATTATGTGTACTGAGCAGACAATGCAGCCTGCAGCCGTAACATACAATTAATTGTTTGAAGGCAGCGATGCAGGGATTTGCAAGGAACTCCATTCTGCTCAAGCAATTTACCCTTTCCACCATTATTTCAGTCAGTGATCATTTCAGAAAGAAAGAACTTTGCATTTTACAGTATATTATCATGCTGGAATGTCTAAAGCACCGTAGAGCAGTGGTTAGCACGTCCTGGGCGGTGGGGGTGGGGCGGGAATCCTTCTGCTACCCTTCCAAGCCAAAGCCCTCATGGGTCGGGTGGTCCGAGCTGGACAACGGCAAGTCACGCGGGTTTAGCTGGTTAGGCTCCAGCAGTTACCCCAACACGTTCCCCCCCCCCACCGCCGCCGCCGCAAGCCTCGGCTCTTGCCAACCTGCGCCTAATACTATCCGGAATTGGGTAAACAGGATTCGTGCCACTGGCGAGAGAGAGGGAGGGAGAGAGGGAGGGAGCGTTCCATTCCAACAACCTCTCTATCCCTGGGGTTTGGGTGTAGCTGGGAATCTCGGGTTGGTTGGGGGGGTTGGGGGAGGGGTCGGGTTGGTTGGGACGGGGGTGGGGGGGGTTGGTTGGGACGGGGGTGGGTGGGGGGGTTGGTTGGGGGGGTGGGGGGGGGTCGGGTTGGTTGGGACGGGGGTGGGGGGGTAGGGGGGGGTTCGGCAGGTGATGGGTCTCCACGTGTGTCGGACACCAATCTCCTGTCGGCCAACGGTGTGAAGGGGGAGAAACTTTCAGCCAATGGACGTTGGGCGGCCTGACCTCTCGACCAATAGGCTTAAGGCGGAGTGGTTGCCGGCCGCTGATTGGCGGACGCCGCAGCCCAATGCCGTGTGGCGGGGGGAGCAGGCAGCCAATGAGCGGTCGGTGGGCGGGGCCGGGCCATGAGCGACCAATGAGGCGTCTGGGGGTGGGGTGGGAGGGCGGGGCGAATGCTACAGGCGACCAATGAGGCGTCAGAGGGCGGGGCTACGGGTGACCAATGAGCAGAATGGGGGCGGGGCTGTGGGCGGGGCTCGGCACAGCTGGAGTCGGGGCGCGGGGGCCGCACTGACACAGGGGACGGGATGAGCTCCAACCAACTGCCCAAAGTGCTGAGGGGCCGCCCGGCCAACAGCCTGGAGGCCGAGAGGGAGAGCTTCGAGAGGGGCCAGGTGAGGGGCCACGGTACAGTGAGGGGGGGGGAGAGAGAGGGGGCGGAGAGAGAGGAGGGGGGGGAGAGAGAGGGGGGGGGAATAGAGAGAGAGAGGGGGGAGAGAGGGGGGGTAGAGAGAGGAGGGGGGGATAGAGAGAGAGAAAGGGAATAGAGAGAGAGAAATAAAGGAGAGAAAGAGGGAATAGAGAGAGAGTCAGAAAGAAAGAGAGAAAGAAAAAAGAAAGGGGTGGGAGGGAGGGACAGAGAGCAGGAAAGTTGAGACGAAGGGGAGAGAAGAGGGAGAAGGGAGGCGGAGGGCGAGGGCGGGGGGCGAGGGCGGGGGGCGAGGGCGGAGGGCGAGGGCTGGGGGCGGAGGGCGGGGGCGGAGGGCGAGGGCGGAGGGCGAGGGGCGAGGGCGGGGGCGGAGGGTGAGGGCGGAGGGCGAGGGCGGAGGGTGAGGGCGAGGGCGGGGGGCGAGGGGCGAGGGCGGGGGGCGGAGGGCGAGGGCGAGGTGGACGAGAGAGTGAGATGAGTTTATCTGCTGTGGTGCAAGTGTGTGAATTGTGCAAATTGTGTGTCAGTCGGAGAGCTCTCTCTCTCTCTCTCTCTCTCTCTCACTCTCTCTCGCCTCTGAGTCAGAAAGTTGTGGGTTCAAGCCCCAAATCAGGACTTGGCATTCGCATAGTCTAAGCTGACTCTCCAGTGCAGCGCTGGGGAGTGGGGGAGTGGGTGGGGGGGTGGGTGGGGGGGGGGGCAGGGGTTGCGTGGTCAGAGGTGCTGTCCTTCGAATGAGAGGTTGAGCCTCACTCCCCGTCTGTCTGTTCAGGTGGATGTTAAAGATCCTGCGGCGCTGTTCAAAAAGGGAAGGGAGTTTCTCTCTCTCTCTCTCTCTCTCTCGGTGTCTCGGCCCATAAATCCCCCAAATAAAATGGGTCGCTTGCTCCGCGGCTGTTTGTGGGGGTCGCCGCTGTGCGTAGATTGGCTGCCGCGTGTCGCCCGCAGAAAAATGCACAGTCGATCCACTCCACCGCGCGTCCTGTGAGGCGCTTTGAGCCGTCTCGATGACGTGATTAAGGAGCTGTGTCCCGACGCCAGGATTATTGTTATTAAATTAAAGCCTCGGGAGCGCAGCATTTGCTGGTGGATGTTCAGCTGCAATGTTGGCACCAACGGGGATGTCTGTGCAAGTCTGTCAGTGTGCAGTCTGCCCGAGGATGTGAAACTGTACATTTAGTTTGAAGTCTACCACAGGCAGCTGTAGTTCGTTGGCCCACAAATTAATGTCAGTCGTTACTGAACACCTTTCAAACATTCTCAAACTTTTATTGGTGGCATAATGACTGTTACACCTTTCTTTGGGAATGATAATTACAGCCTTTCAGGCCCAGAATCCCCACAGGTTAAGCTGCCTTTTATTTCCCGTTCCTCTGATTTTCTCCCCTGAGTGTTTCTCTCCCGGAGAGCAGTCAGCCTTTAGGTTCCTTGCTCCGTTTATAATAATTCCTTCAAAAAAAAAATGATTTGGTCACTCGATCCACAACTGTTTGTGGGTCACCGCTGTGCACAATTGGCTGCCGGGTTTCGCCCACAAAATACAGTCACTACACTTTACAGATAAAATGTGTAAATTTAACTTTACAGATAAAATCACCTCCCGACGTGAAAAGCGCTATGTCAAATGCGAGGATTATTATTATTATTATTCTGTGAAGCGCTTTGAGACTTCGCTAAGACATGATAATGCGCTACGTCAAATGCAAGGATTATTACTATGATTATTATTTGTGTGCCGACCTCGACTGGAACGATGATGAGGGCACTACAGGTGGACATGATGCCCCTGGGCTAGGGACGGACAAGAAGATAGCTGGCAGCCAGTGAACACTCCTTACCTCTCCAACCTGCTCACTCCTCGACCCACTACCCACTGCCTCCGCTCCGGTCTCCTGCAAGTCCCTCGTGCCCTCCGTTTCTCCATCGGTGGCCGCGCTTTCAGGCACTACGTCCCGAACTTCCGGAACACTCTTCCTCTATCCATCCGCCTTGCTCCTTCCTCTTTGACCGTGCCTATGGTCACCTTTGCCTCTGCTCGGTGTCATGCTCCTCCACTGTCAATTGCTCTGGACTGCGAGCCTGCATGAAGCCCACCCAGTCCATACCCAACCCTCACCTACTTGTTCGATGTGCGATTTTATTTTAATGCACAACAGAAACCTTCCACAGACGGGACCCATTCAGCCCCTCGTGCCTTTGATTCCAAACGAAGCTTGGCGTTAAATCGGAGTTCTAATCGGAGTGGCTTTGTTTGGGAGCTGGTGAGGGGAAATCCTGTCGCAATCCTCAGCTTTGTTTACAAGAGGTCCCTGACCAAAGCTGAAAGTCACAAACAGCTTCGCTCAGGAAGTCAGCAGTCCCCATGTCTGGTGACATTCGTGCCCTTATTTCACTTCCGTTTAATATCCTTTAACTTCAAATATATTATTTGCTGGACTTGGACATCCTGGCTGAGCTATTGTTTGTCTTTCAGTGTGAACGTAGTACTGTCAGGATACCTAACGCAAACCCCTGGAGTCCTGTATCTTAGTGGTTAGTGCAAGCGAGAGGACCTGGGTTCGATTCCGGGCAGGGTGAAACATTGGGCAAGTTTCCTTACTCCGCACGCCTCTGTCCTGCTGATCTATATAGACCAATACCATGGTCCATTGGTAAATGTAAATGGCCAGAAATCAAGGTACTATTTACAGGGAACTTCTGACCACAGGTGATAAACACGCCAGCCAGTATTTACAATGCTGTTTGCTTCTGAATTAGTTGAGTTTGTATTTGTGTAATTCAAGTAACAGGGATGGCAGTGGCTGGGTGTAAATGTGCGAAGTGTTTCAAGCATGTGTGGATTCACTGTGCGTGCTGCAGCAGCTGTTTAACAACACTTGCTCGTACCTTCTCTGTTTACTGAGCAGTAAGTAGGAACCTGGTTGTTGGTCGATCGGTGGATTGCTTTTCCGGGGGTAATAATCCCACCCCAAAAAATAGTAATAATAATTTGGTCATTCAATCCGCAATTGTTTGTGGGACACTGCTGTGCGCAATTGGCGCAATTTCACCCACAGAACATACAGTCAATCCGCTTTATAGTATATTCTGTGAAGGGGTTTGAGACGTCTCGAAGATGTGATAAGGCTCTGTATCAAATGCAAGGATTATTATATTATTATCTGGTGTGGCCCCATGATTGGATTCATCACACACAAAAACACTCCCTGTTTTGCTCTTTGTTTTTACGCCCTTGTCCTACCCAATCTTACCAACCGCGTCAGGCCGATACCAGCCCAGAGGAGCAGGAAGCCCTTCCATCTGACTGATGTTGTCTATCTATAACTGTCCTTCCTGCAAGTGCTGGCTCCTGAGCGAGTGCTGATAGTGGCTGAGTGTGTTGCATTCCCCGACACTGACGTCCTCCATTCCCATTTGTAAAGCTCTTTATGCAGCATCTCGTGCTGAGCCAGTAGGATGTGCTCGACAGGAATGGGCACATCTCCAACATAGGAGTTTGCAGTGATTTTGTACACGTGTCAACAAAAGGACTTCTAACAAAAGGACATCTTCTAAGTGTCTCACAGCGATTCACAGAATATACCGTAAAGTGAATTGACTGTATATCTTGTGGGCGAAACGCGGCTGCCAATTGCTCGAGGCAGTGTCCCACAAACAGTCGTGGATTGAGCGATCAAATTATTATTATTATTTATTTTATCTTTTTTGAAGGGATTATTACCCCCGGAAAAGCGATCCGCCAATCAACTAACCCCCCGGTTCCTACTTACTGCTAGCGAAACTTGCCCAACATTTCATCCTGCCCGGGAAACGAACCCGGGTCCTCTTGCTTGCGAGGCGAGCGCTCTGACCACTAAGCTCCGGCTCTCAAAGCGAGTTTGTGACTGGCATCTGAGCACCTCTCACTGTTGAGCTACACGGCCGTCTCTGAAAGCCACCCGCGGTAGGTTTCCTTCTGCTGAAGCGGAAACACGACTGCTAGCCTGTGGGCATCTTGGTGCAGGGATCGTCCTTGTCAGAACAACTCATTAAAACGGCATCACTTTTGATGCCTTGGGCCGGAGGGAAGAGTCTCCACCCAGCGAGCTCCCGAGGGTTTCAAGTTACTACAGGCTTGGGCTGGATTGTCAGCCGTGCCTGGGAACGTGTGGGGCTGTTTTACACTTTCTCTCTGGAGTGCCAGTACCTTGCCTGTACTTGCTGAGTGAAGCGTCCAAACGCGGCAGAGTTTAGTGTCATTATAATCCGGGCTTTCAGCAAACGCTGCCTCCGCTCCCAACTGGGGGAGGGATTGTCACAAAGCGTTGCTGGATTCAGTGCGCAGAGTGGCCCAGATTCAAGTTAATAATAAATAGTAACGATCCTTGCATTTGATGTAGCGCATTATCACTATTATCATTATCGAGACGTCTCAAAATATACTGTGAAGTGAATTGACTTTGTGGGCGAAATGTGGCAGCCAATTGCACACGGCAGCGTCCCACAAACAGCCGTGGATTGAGTGACCAAATTATTACTATTATTTTTTTTAGGGATTATTCTCCCCGGAAAAGCGATTTGCCAATCGACTAACAACCGGGTTCCCACTTACTGCTGGTAAACAGAGGCGAGTGGAGTAAGGAAACGCACCCAACATTTCACCCCCTGCCCGGGAATAGAACCCAGGTCTCTCGCTTGCGAGACGAGTGCTCTAACCACTGAGCTACAGGACTCCACACGGGATTGAAGTTAATGAGGAGGTGGGGGGGGGGGGGGGGTGGAGGGAGTGAAGAGCGGGGGAGTTCAATCTTGCAGATGAAGGCAATATCTATTGGAGCTTTGCAAGCTGTTTGGCATTCCCTAGACACGAGATTATTGCGTGTGTCGGGGTGTTTATTGCCTCCTGTAAGACTTGCTCGTTGTGTTCATATTGAGTGTGTAATGAGCCCAGGCGCTCCAACTCCCGTCAGGGTTTCCTGCTCTTAT